CTGGGGGGATTGGGGGTTCTGGGGGTGTTTTGGGGAGATTTTGGAGGGTCTTGGGGGTGTTTCGGGGAGCCTTGGGGGGATTTTGGGGAGTCCTGGGGGGATTCTGGGGAGTCCTGGGGGGATTTTGGGGGGGATTTGGGGGGTCCTGGGGGGATTCTCGGGAGTCCTAGGGGGATTTTGGGGGGTCCTGAGGGTGGTTTGGAGGTCCTGGGGGGATTAAGGGGGGATTTTGGGGTGTCCTGAGGGGACTTGGAGGGTTTTTTGGGGGATTTTTGGGGTCCTGGGGGGGATTTGGAGTGTCCTGGGCGGATTTTGGGGGGTCCTGGAAGGATTTGGGGGGGCTTGGGGTGCATTTGGGGGTGCCTGGAGCAGGTTTGGGGGGTCCTGGAGGGGTTTGAGGGGATTTGGGGTTCCCAGGGGAGTTCAGGGGGTCTGGGAGGGGTTTTGGGTCTGGGATTGGACTGGATTTAGGGTTCGGGGCTGGTTTTTGGGGTTCAGGGCTGGTTTTTGGGATTCAGGCTGATTTTTGGGGTTCAGGGCTGGTTTTTGGGGTTCAGAGCTCATTTTTGGGGTGCTATGCCCCCCCAGCCGCTGCCCCCCGGGGACTGGAAACCCCCCAGCTCCGGTACCGGGTGCAGTGGCCGGGGTGGGGTTCAGGGCTGGTTTTTGGGGTTCAGGGCTGGTTTTTGGGGTTTGGGGTGGATTTTTGGGGTGGATTTTTGGGGTTCAGGCTGATTTTTGGGGGTCTCTGCCCCCAGCCGCTGCCCCCGGGGACTGGAACGCCCCCAGCTCCGGTACCGGGTGCAGTGGCCGGGGCGGGGTTCGGGGTTTTTGGGGTTCAGGGGTATATTTAGGATTTGGGGCGGGTTTTTGGGGGTTCATGCTCATTTTTTGGGGGTCTCTCCCCCAGCCGCTGCCCCCCGGGGACTGGAACGCCCCCCAGCTCCGGTACCGTGGTGGCCAGGGTGGGGTTCAGGGCTGGTTTTTGGGGTTCAGGGGTATATTTGGGGTTCAGGCTGATTTTGGGGTTCAGGCTGATTTTGGGGTTCTCCCCCCCCAGCCGCTGCCCCCGGGGACTGGAACGCCCCCAGCTCCGGTACCGGGTGCAGTGGCCGGGGTGGGGTTTGGGGCTGGTTTTTGGGGTTCAGGTTGATTTTTGGGGTGGATTTTTGGGGTTCAGGCTGATTTTTGGGGTGCTGTGCCCCCCCAGCCGCTGCCCCCGGGGACTGGAACGCCCCCAGCTCCGTACCGGGTGCAGTGACTGGGGTGGGATTCGAGGCTGGTTTTTGGGGTTCAGGGCTGGATTTGGGGTGGATTTTCGGGGTTCAGGCTGATTTTGGGGTTCAGGGCTCATTTTTGGGGGTCTCTCCCCCAGCCGCTGCCCCCCGGGGACTGGAACGCCCCCAGCTCCGGTACCGGGTGCAGTGGCGGCCGCTGGAGCCGGGCCGGGGCCGCTGGGCCGAGGCCACGGTCGGGTCCCCCCCTGGTGGTCCGGGACACCCCAACTTTCAGCCCCTTCGAGATCCGGGTCCAGGCGCTCAACGAGGCCGGGAAGGGCCCCGAGCCCCCCGTGGTCATCGGCTACTCCGGGGAGGACCGTGAGGGGGGGCACCCCAAAATTCCCGGGGGCAGAAAGGGGGGACCCCACATTGGGGGTGGTGGGGGAGCCCAAATCTGGGGGAGAAATGGGGGAAATCCCAAATTTGGGGGTACTGAGAGACCCCAAATCCGGGCTGATGGGAGAGCCCAAATTGGGGGTGGTGGGAGACCCCAAATCTGGGGGAGAAATGGGGGAAATCCCAAATTTGGGGGGGCTGAGAGACCCCAATTGTGGGAGATTTCAGGGATAAAAGGGAGAAAATCCCAAATTTGGGGGTACTGAGAGACCCCAAATCTGGGAGATTTCAGGGATAAAAGGGAGAAAATCCCAAATTTGGGGGGGCTGAGAGACCCCAAATCTTGGGGGTTTGGGAGAGAAAAAGGGGTCAGACCCCAAATTTGGGGTGGTGGGGGAATCCCAAATTTGGGAGTGCTGAGTGACCCCAATTCTGGGAGATTTGGGGCAGAAAAAAAGGGGGAGACCTCAAATTTGGGGTGGTGGGGGAGAAAAAGGGGGAAATCCCAAATTTGGGGTGCTGGGAGAGCCCAAGGTAGAAAGGACCCCAAATTTGGGAATTTCAGGTGATCCAAAGTGGGGGGGGACCCCAAATTTGGGAATTCCAGGAGATCCAAAGTGGGGGGACCCCAAATTTGGGAATTTCAGGTGATCCAAAGTGGGGGGACCCCAAATTTGGGAATTTCAGGTGATCCAAAGTGGGGGGACCCCAAATTTGGGAATTTCAGGTGATCCAAAGTGGGGGGACCCCAAATTTGGGAATTTCAGGTGATCCAAACTGGGGGGGGACCCAAATTTGGGAATTTCAGGTGATCCAAAGTAGGGGGGGGACCCCAAATTTGGGAATTTCAGGTGATCCAAAGTGGGGGGGGACCCCAAATTTGGGAATTTCAGGTGATCCAAGGTTGGGGGGGACCCCAAATCTGGTCCTGACCCCAAACCCGGGGCTGCATTTTGGGGTCGAATCCCCCTTTTGTGGGGGGTCACAGCACCCCGATTTCGGGGGGGGTTTGGGGGGGGTCCCTCTCTTTGGGGGGGCCCTGAGCCACCCCCGACCCCCCAGTGCCGCTGGTGTACCCCGAAAATGTGGGGGTGGAGATCCTGAACAGCAGCAGCGTCCGCGTCTCCTGGAGCCTGAGCGGGGCCGAGCGGGACCTGCGGGGCCGCCTGCGGGGCTACCGGGTGAGGACCCCAAAATCCCCCAAAATACCCCAAAATTCCCCAAAATTCCAGCGGGAATCCCCCAAATCCCCCCAAAATCCCCCAAAATCCACCAAAATTCACCAAAATCCACCAAATCCACCAAAATCCACCAAAATTCCAGCGGGAATCCCCAAAATCCACCAAAATCCACCAAAATCCCCCAAAATCCACCAAAATCCCAGCGGGAATCCCCAAAATCCACCAAAATCCACCAAAATTCCATCAGGAATCCCCCAAAATCCCCCAAAATCCACCAAAATCCACCAAAATCCCCAAAATCCACCAAAATCCACCAAAATCCACCAAAATTCCAGCGGGAATCCCCCAAAATCCCCCGAAATCCCCCAAAATCCACCAAAATCCACCAAAATTCCAGCGGGAATCCCCAAAATCCCCCAAAATCCAACAAAATCCCCCAAAATCCACCAAAATCCACCAAAATTCCATCGGGAATCCCCGAAACCCCCAAAAATCCCCCAAAATCCCCCAAAATCCACCAAAATCCACCAAAATTCCAGCGGGAATCCCCGAAATCCCAGCGGGAATCCCAAAATTCCATCGGGAATCCCCCAAATCCCAGCGGGAATCCCCGAAATCCTGAAGGGAAACTGCAGATCCCATCGGGAACTCCCCAAATCCCAGCGGGAATCCCGAAATCGCAACGGGAAACCACAAATCCCGCTCAGAATTCCCAAAATCCTGCAGGGGAACCCAAAATCCCAACGGGAAATCCCAAAATCCCGAGTTTTGGGGCAGTTCTGGGGGGGTTTGGGGCATTTTGTGGGGGTTTTTGGGGTATTTTGGGGGTGCTGACCCCCCTCCTTCCCCACAGGTGCTGTACTGGCGCGAGGGGAGTTCTGGGGGGTTTTGGGGCATTTTTGGGGTGGGTTTTTGGGATATTTTCTCAGGAGTTTTGGGGCATATTTGGGTAGGTTTTGGGGCATTTTGGGTGGGGTTTTTTTGGGCAGTTCTGGGGGGTTTTGGGGCATTTTTTGGGTGGGTTTTTGGGTTATTTTGGGGGTGCTGACCCCCTCCTTTTTGCAGATTCTGTACTGCGTGAGGGGAGTTCTGGGGGTTTTGGGGCATTTTTTGGGTGGATTTTGGGTGGGGTTTTTTTGGGGCAGTTCTGAGGGGTTTAGGGGCATTTTTTGGGTGGATTTTGGGGCATTTTTGGTGGGTTTTTTTGGGCAGTTCTGGGGGGTTTTGGGGCATTTTTGGGGTGGGTTTTTGGGATATTTTCTCAGGAGTTTTGGGGCATTTTTTGTGGGGGTTTTGGGGCATTTTGGTGGGGGTTTTTTGGGCAGTTCTGGGGGTTTTGGGGCATTTTTGGGTGGGTTTTGGGCATTTTTTGGGTGGATTTTGGGGCATTTTTGGTGGGTTTTTTTTGGGCAGTTCTGGGGGTTTTGGGGCATTTTTGGGCTATTTTGGGGTGCTGACCCCCTCCTTTTTGCAGATTCTGTACTGGCGTGAGGGGTGGGTGGGGAGCGCTCCCGGCGCCAGACCCCCCCCCCCGGACCCCGAGCCCCCTCCCCAGCCGGGGGTGCTGACGGTGCTGGGCGAGGCCAGCGGGGCGGTTTTGGGGGGGCTGCACCCCTGGAGCCGCTACCGGCTGCAGGTGTTGGTGTTCAACGGGCGGGGGGCCGGACCCCCCAGCGCCGAGATCCACTTCCACACCCCGAGGGAGGTGAGACCCCAAAAAGGGAGAGTGGCACCCAAAAAGGGGAGTTGGGACCCCAAAAAGGGGATTGGGACCCCAAAAAGGGGGTTGGGATCCCGAAAAGGGGAGTTGGGATCCCAAAAATGGGAATTGGGACCCCGAAAAGGGAGTTGGGACCCCGAAAAGGGAAATTGGGACCCCGGAAAGGGGGATTGGGACCCCGAAAAGGGAAATTGGGATCTCAAAAAGGGGAGTTGGGACCCCGGAAAGGGGAGTTGGGATCTCAAAAATGGGAATTAGGGCCCCAAAAATGGGAATTGGGACCCCAAAAAGGGGGATTGGGACCCCGAAAAGGGGGATTGGGACTCCGGAAAGGGGAGTTGGGACCCCAAAAGGGGAGTTGGGATCCCGAAAAGGGGAATTGGGACCCCAAAAAGGGGAGCTGAGATCTCAAAAAGGGGAGTTGGGATCTCAAAAATGGGGATTGGGACCCCGAAAAGAGGAGTTGGGACCCCAAAAAGGGGGTTGGGACCCCGAAAAGGGGGATTGGGACCCCAAAAGGGGAGTTGGGACCCCGAAAAGGGGAATTAGGGCCCCAAAAATGGGAATTGGGAGCCCAAAAAGGGGAACTGGGACCCCGAAAAGGGGAGTTGGGACCCCAAAAGGGGAGTTGGGACCCTGAAAAGGGAAATCGGGGACCCCAAAAATGGGAATTGAGATCTCAAAAGTGAAAATCGGGACCCCAAAAAAGGAATCGGGATCTCAGAAAGGGAAGTCGGGGCCCCAAAAAGCCCCCAGTCCCAATTTGGGGGGGTTTTCGGGGGTATTTCGGGGGGTATTTTGGGGATATTTCGGGGGGTTTTGGGGTCCTGACCCCAGCCCCCAGTGCCGATTTGGGGGGGGGTATTTTGGGGATATTTCAGGGGGTTTTCGGGGTATTTTGGGGATATTTTGGGGGGATATTTCGGGGGGTTTTCGGGGGTATTTTGGGGATATTTGGGGGGTTTCGGGGTCCTGACCCCAGCCCCCAGTGCCGATTTGGGGGATATTTTGGGGGGATTTGGGGATATTTCGGGGGGTTTTGGGGGGTATTTTGGGGGGTATTTTGGGGATATTTCGGGGGGGGTCGGGGGTATTTTGGGGATATTTGGGGGGGTTTCGGGGTCCTGACCCCAGCCCCCCAGTGCCGATTTGGGGGGGATTTTGGGGATATTTTGGGGGGATATTTTGGGGGGTTTTGGGGTCCCTAACCCCAGCCCCCCAGTGCCCGGCCCCCCCGAGGAGCTGCGTCTGGAGCGTTTCGGGGACTCCGCGCTGGGCCTGGAGTGGCGGCGGCCGCGGCGCCCCAACGGCGTCATCACCGGCTACGTGCTCCAGTACCGGCTGCGTGCGTACTGGGAGCACTGGGAGGGGCGGGGGGGGAACTGGGGGCACTGGGAGAGGTGGTGGGGGGAACTGGGAGCGGTGGGAGGGGATTGGGGGGCACTGGAGGGATGGGAGGGGGCACTGGGAGAGGTGGTGGGGGGCACCGGGGCACTGGGAGAGGTGGTGGGGGGAACTGGGAACACTGGGAGGGACAGGAGGGGGAACTGGGGGCACTGGGAGCGGCGGGGGGGAAACTGGGAGTGGTGGGAGGGGATTGGGGGGCACTGGAAGGGATGGGAGGGGGAACTGGGAACACTGGGAGAGGTGGGGGGGGAACTGGGAGCGGTGAGAGGGGACTGGGGGGCAGTGGGAGGGATGGGAGGGGGCACTGGGAGCACTGGGATGGGATTGGGGGGGGAACTGGGGGCACTGGGAGCACTGGGAGGGTATTGGGGGGCACTGGAAGGGATGGGAGGGGGAACTGGGAACACTGGGAGAGGTGGTGGGGGGCACTGGGAGCACTGGGAGGGGATTGGGGGCACTGGGAGGGATGGAAGGGACATTGGGAGCACTGGGAGGGACGGGGGGGGCACTGGGGGCACTGGGAGAGGTGGTGGGGGGAACTGGGAGCACTGGGAGGGACAGGAGGGGGCACTGGGAGGGGATTGGGGGGGAACTGGGGGCACTGGGAGGAGATTGGGGGGCACTGGGAGGGACGGGAGGGGGCACTGGGGCACTGGGAGAGGTGGTGGAGGGAACTGGGAGCACTGGGAGGGATGGGAGGGGCACTGGGAGCACTGGGATGGGATTGGGGGGAACTGGGAGGGATGGAAGGGACATTGGAGCACTGGGAGGGATGGGAGGGGGCACTGGGAGCACTGGGAGGGATTGGGGGGCACTGGGAACACTGGGAGAGACTGGGAGGGGCACTGGGAGCTACTCCGGGTGGGTTTTTTAGGGTAATTCGGGGCTGTTTTGGGCCATTCCAGGTGGGTTTTTGGGATTTATTTGGGGCTATTGCAAGTGGGTTTTTTAGGGTAATTCGGGGCTGGTTTGGGCTATTCGAGGTGGGATTTTTAGGGTAATTCGGGGCTGTTTCAGGGTATTCCAGGTGGGTTTTTGGGATTAATTTGGGGCTGTTTGGGGCCATTCCAGGCAGGATTTTAAAGTTAATTTGGGGCTGTTTGGGGCTGTTCCGGGCGGGATTTTAAAGTTAATTTGGGGCTGTTTGGGGCCATTCCGGGTTGGTTTTTCTTATGTTAATTTGGGGTTCTTTGGGCTTTTCTGGGTGGGTTTTTTAGGGTCATTCAGGGCTGGTTTGGGCTATTTGAGATGGGTTTTTTGGGATTTATTTGGGGCTGTTTGGGGCCGTTCCAGGCGGGATTTTAAAGTTAATTTGGGGCTGTTTGGGGCCGTTCCGGGCTGGTTTTTTTTTGGGGTTCCCTGGCACGGCCGCCCCTTGCCCCGCAGAGAACCAGAGCGAGGAGGGGTTCCCGCTGGAGATCTCCTTCCCCGCCGGGACCCTGAACACGACCCTGACCCGGCTGGAGCCGCGGGGCCGGTACCGGTTGGAGCTCCGCGCCCGCACCCGGCACGGCCCCGGCGCGGCCCTGGTGCGCCTGGCCAGCCTCGCCCCCGAGCCCGGTGAGCACCCCGAAACCCGGCCAAAAACCGCGGGGGACCCCAAAAAACCGGCCCAAAAACTGGGGAGGGAGCCCAGAAACTGAGCCTGAAAACCGACCCAAAAATCGCGGGGGGACCCCAGAAACTGAGCCCGAAAAGCTGCCCAAAATCGTGGGGGGATCCCAAAAAACCGGCCTCAAAAACTGTGAGGGGACCCCAGAAACTGAGCCTGAAAACCGACCCAAAAACCGCGGGGGACCCCAAAAAACCGGCCTCAAAAACTGTGAGGGGACCCCAGAAACTGAGCCTGAAAACCGACCCAAAAATCGCGGGGGGACCCCAGAAACTGAGCCCGAAAACCTGCCCCAAAATCGCGGGGGACCCCAAAAAACTGGCCTCAAAACTGGGGAGGGAGCCCAGAAACTGAGTCGGAAAACCCACCCAAAAACTGTGGGGGGACCTCAGAAAAACAGCCTCAAAAACCCCAAAAAGCGACCCAAAAATCGCAGGGGGACCCCAGAAACTGAGCCCAAAAACCTGCCCCAAAATCGTGGGGGGACCCCAAAAAACCGGCCTCAAAACCGGCCCCAAAAACCATGGAGAAACCCCAAAAACTGAGCCCAAAATGCGCAGGGGGACCCCAAGAAAGAAGCCCCAAAACCGGCCCCAAAAAACACAGGGGGACCCCAAAAAACTGAGCCTGAAAACCGACCCAAAAACTGCAGGGGGACCCAAAACCGGCCCCAAAAACCGCGAGGGAGGCTCCAAATAAAAAACCCCAAAAACCGCGGAGGGGACCCCAAAAAAACGAGCCCAAAGACCGCAGGGGACACCCCAAAAATTGACCCCAAAAACCACAGGGAGCACCCCAAAACCTGCCTGAAAGTGGGGGGATCTGGAATTGTGGGGGGGGAGGGTTGAAATCACCTCGGGGACCCCAAAATTAGCGGGGGAGGATCCCGAAATGGGGGGGGACCCCAAAACTGCCGGGGAGACCCAAAATTACCATGGGGAGGGGTCTGGAAATAACGGGGTGGGGGGAGGGAGGGGACACCTTGAGACCCCCAAAATGCCGAGGTCGGGGGGGTCCCCAAGGGTGGGGGAGGGGTTTTTGGGGTGGGGGATTTGGGGTGACCCCCCGTGCCCCCAGTGCTGCCGGTGCTGGGCACGGTGGGCTTCGGGGAGGTGGGCGAGGATTTCACGGAGCTGCGCTGGACCCTGGCCCAGCCCCAGGCCAACATCGAGTTCGAGGTGGAGTACATGAGCAAAACCAGTAAGGGACTGGGAGCAACTGGGAGGGACTGGGAGGGGATTTGGGAATATTGGGGGGGACTGGGAAAGGATTTGGGGTCACTGGGAGGGGATTTGGGGGCACTGGGAGGGACTGGGAGGGAATTTGGGGATACTGGGAGGGACTGGGAGGGGATTTGGGGTGACTGGGATGAACTGGGAGAGGATTTGGGGATACTGGGAGGGACTGGGAGAGACTGGGAGGGGATTGGGGGCACTGGGAGGGGCTGGGAGGGGATTTGGGGGGGACTGGGAGGGGATTTGGGGATATTGGGGGGACTGGGAGGGACTGGGGGGGACTGGGGGGGGATTTGGGGTCACTGGGAGGGGATTTGGGGGGACTGGGATGAACTGGGAGAGGATTTGGGGGGAACTGGGAGGGACTGGGAGGGACTGGGAGGGGATTTGGGGGCGCTGGGAGGGGATTTTGGGGAAGACTGGGAGGGGATTTGGGGCCACTGGGAGGGAATTGAGGGACACTGGGAGGGACTGGGATAGACTGGGAGGGGATTAGAGGTCACTGGGAGGGGATTTGGGGGGACTGGGAGGGGATTTTGGGGATTTTGGGACCGAACGGTGGCAGGAAATAAAAGGGGTTCGGGCTGGGGCGATCTCAAAGGGGGATTTGAGGAGATTTTGGGAGTTTTGGGGGATTTTGGTGGGTTTGGGGGATTTTTGGTGGGGTTTCGGGGGATTTGAGGGGATTTTTGTGGGGTTTTGGGGATTTGGGGGAATTTTTGGTGGGGGTTTGGGGGATTTGGGGGATTTCAGGGGGGTGTTGGGGGTTTTGGTGGGGTTTTGGGGGATTTGGGAGTTTTTGGGGGTTGTTGGGGGGCTCTGGGGGTCTCCCCGCCCCCCACGACCCCCGCCCCCGCAGCGGAGGAGCCCTGGCGCTCCTCGGGCCGCGCCAACTCCTCCCTGGGCCGGTACCGGCTCGGGGACCTCCGGCCCGGCACCTCCTACCGGGTCCAGTTCGTGGGGCGGAACCACAGCGGGGAGCGCGTGGCGTTCTGGGAGAGCGAGGTGCACACCAACGGCACCAGTGAGCCCAAAATCCCCCAAAATCACCCCAAAAATCACCCTAAAACCACCAAAAATCCCCCAAAAACCCCATAATCACCCCAAAATTACCCCAAAAATCCCCCCCAAAATCACCCAAAATCCATCCCCGGGGAGCGCGTGGCGTTCTGGGAGAGCGAGGTGCACACCAACGGCACCAGTGAGCCCCAAAACCCCCAAAATCACCCCAAAAATCACCCCAAAATCCACCCCCGGGAGCGCGTGGCGTTCTGGGAGAGCGAGGTGCACACCAACGGCACCAGTGAGCCCCAAAAACCCCCAAAATCACCCCAAAATCACCCCAAAATTACCCCAAAATTACCCCAAAAACATCCCCAAAAATCCCAAAAATGTCCTAAAAAAATCCCCCAAAATCACTCCAAAATTACTCCAAAATCACCCCAAAAAAACCCCAAAATCACCCCAAAATTACTCCAAAGATCACCCCAAAATTACCCCAAAATCCCCGAGCGACTCCCCAAAATCCCCGGGGGGCTCCCCAAAATCCCCGGGGGGTCCCCAAAACTGTTCAGGGATGCCCCAAACTCCCCGAGGGACTCCCCAAAATCCCCGGGGGGTCCCCAAAACTGTTCAGGGATGCCCCAAACTCCCCGAGGGACTCCCCAAAATCCCCGAGGGGGTCCCCAAAACTGCTCAGGGATGCCCCGAACTCCCCAAGGGACTCCCCAAACTCCCCAAGGGACTCCCCAAAATCCCCGAAGGGGTCCTCAAAATCTCTCAGAAATGCCCCAAAATCCCCGAGGGAATCCCCAAAATCCCCGGGGGTCCCCAAAACTCTTTCGGGATGCCCCAAACTCCCCAAAATCCCCGAGGGGGTCCCCAAAATCCCCAAAGGGGTCCTCAAAATGTCCAGGGGGTCCCCAAAATTGTTCAGGGACTCCCCAAAATCCCTGAGGGGCTCCCCAAACTCCCCAAGGGACTCCCCAAAATCCCCGGGGGGGTCCCCAAACTCCCCGAGGGGGTCCCCAAAATCCCGGGGGGGTCCCCAAATCGGGATTTCCCCCCCCCCCCAGTGCTGCCGCGCCCCGCGGGCGGCTTCGCCACCGAGGGCTGGTTCATCGGCTTCGTCAGCGCCGCGGTGCTGCTGCTCCTCCTCCTCCTCATCCTCTGCTTCATCAAGCGCAGCAAGGGGGGCAAGTATTCGGGTGAGCCCGGAGCCCCCCGGCCCCCCCCGGGACCCCCCGGCGCCCCCAAACCCCCCCGAGCAGGAGGGGACTTTGTGGTGGAGGTTTTGGGGTTTTTGGGGGGTGGGAGGGTGGGGGAGGGGGTTTGGGGTGTGGGGGGGGCATTTGGAATTTGGGGGGGGGTTGAGGTGTGGGGAGGGGTTTGAGGGTGGGGTGTGGGAGGGGTCCTGAGGGTGGGGAGGGTGAGGGGAGGGGGGTTTGGGGGTGAGGAGGGGGTCCTGAGGGGGGTTTGGGCGTTCGGAGGGGGCATTTGGAATTTGGGGAGGGGGGTTTGGGGTTGGGGAGGGGTCCTGAGGGTGGTGGGGAGGGGGGTTTGGGGTTCGGAGGGGGTTTGGGGGTGAGGGGGGGTTTGGAATTTGGGGAGGGGGTTTGGGGTTTGGGGAGGGGGTTGAGGGTGGGGAGGGGGTTTTTGGGTGGGGGAGGGGTTTGGGGGTGAGGGGGGGTTTTGGTTGGGAGGGGGGGTTTGGGGTTTGGGGAGGGGGTCCTGAGGGGGTGGAGGGGGGTTTGGTTGGGGAGGGGGGGGGGTGTGGTGGAGGGTAGTTTTGGGGTGTGGGGAGGGGGTTGGGGTTTGGGGAGGGGGTCCTGAGGGGGGGGGGGTGGGAGGAGGGCATTTGGAGGGTTTAGGGGGGTTTGGGGTTTGGGGAGGGGCTTCTTAATGGGGGAAGGGTCGGGTGTGTCCCAAGGATTGAGGAGGGGTTCCTAATTTGGGGAGGCGTCCGGGGGATCCCCAAGGCTGCTGGGGAATTTTTGGGGGCCACAAGGAGAAGTTTGGGGAGGTGGAGGGCAGGACCAAGGCGAGGGCTCCGTGTTTTTTGGGGGGGTTCTGGGAATTGGGGGGGGGTCCCCAAGGTCTGAGGGAATTGGGGGGGGGTCCCCAAGGTCTGAGGGAATTGGGGGGGGTCCCGGGGGTGCCGTGGCCCCCCCTGAGCGCAGCGATGCCCCCCCAGTGAAGGACAAGGAGGACACGCAGGTGGACTCGGAGGCGCGGCCCATGAAGGACGAGACCTTCGGGGAGTACCGGTGAGAAAGGGGCGTGGTCTGTCAAAAATGGGCGTGGTCTTGTTCAAAATGGGCGTGGTCTGGTCCAAAATGGGCGTGGTCTGGTCCAAAATGGGCGTGGTTCACACCAAATGGGCGTGGCTTCACGTAAATGGGTGTGGTCTAATGGAGAGTGGGCGTGGTTTCATGGGGGCGGGGTTTATCGCGATGCGCAGATTTGCATGCGATCTAATTACCCGCTCATTAACTGCCCCCCTCATTCATTAATCGCCCTCCTCACCCAACGCTAATTGCCCCTCTCTCATTAATCGCTCGCTGCTAATTGCCCCGGGCTAACGCAGGTCCCTGGAGAGGTAAGGGGGGTCTGGGGGGTCCCGGCACCCCTGGGTGGGGGAGGGGGTCCCTGGGGGGTCCCTGGGGGTCCTCGGGGGTGGGGGAGGGGGAGGGGTCCTCATCCATGTCATTCCCCTCCCCCACCACCGCACAGCCCCTCGCAGCTTCGTGAGGGACGTTGGGCGGGTCAGTGGATGGGCATTGGTCAATGGTTGGGTCATTGGTTGGGCATTGGTCAGTGGTTGGGTCAATGTTTGGGTCAGTGGTTGGGCATTGATCAATGGTTGTGTCAGTGGTTGGGTGTTGGTCAATGGTTGGGTCAATGGTTGGGTCGATGGTTGGGTCAATGGTTGGGTGTTGGTCAATGCGTGGGTCATTGGATGGGTCGATGGTTGGGTCATTGGTTGGGTCATTGGTTGGGTCAATGGTTGGGTTGATGGTTGGCCATTGGTCAATGGTTGGGTCAATGGTTGGGTCATTGGTCAATGGTTGGGTCATTGGTTGGGTCAATGGTTGGGTCAATCGTTGGGCACTGATCAATGGTTGGGTCATTGGATGGGTCAGTGGTTGGGTTGATGGTTGGGTCAAAGGTTGGGTCATCGGTTGGGTCGATGGTTGGATCAGTGGATGGGTGTTGGTCAATGGTTGGTCATTGGTTGGGTCATTGGTCAATGGTTGGGTCATTGGTTGGGTTGATGGTTGGGTCATTGGTCAATGGTTGGGTCATTGGTTGGGTCAATGGTTGGGTCAATGGTTGGGTCATTGGTCAATGGTTGGGTGTTGGTCATTGGTTGGGTCAATGGTTGGGTCAATGGTTGGGTCATTGGATGGGTCAGTCGTTGGGTCAGTGGTTGGGTGTTGGTCAATGGTTGGGTCATTGGATGGGTCAATGGTTGGGTTGATGGTTGGGTCAATGGTTGGGTCATTGGTCAATGGTTGGGTCATTGGATGGGTCAGTGGTTGGGTCAATGGTTGGGTCAATGGTTGGGTCATTGGTTGGCCATTGGTTGGGTCACAGGTTGGTTATTGATTGGCCATCGGTTGGGTCATTGTTTGGTTATTGATTGGCCATTGCTTGGCCATCGGTTGGGTCATTGTTTGGCCATTGGTTGGGTCATTGGTTATATTGATCGGCCATCGGTTGGGTCGTTGGTTGGGTCATTCATCGGCCATCGGTTGGGTCATTGGTTGGTTATTGATCGGCCATTGGTTGGGTCATTGGGTCATTGGTTGGGTCATTGGTTGGGTCATTGATTGGCCATTGGTTGGGTCACTGGTTGGTTATTGATTGGCCATTGGTTGGTTATTGATCGGCCATCGATTGGGTCATGGGTTGGTTCATTGGTTGGTTATTGATTGGCCATTGGTTGGGTCATTGGTTGGTTATTGATCGTCCATCGGTTGTCCATCGGTCACTGACGCCGCCGCCCCCGCAGCGACGGCGAGGAGAAGGCGTCGGGCAGCTCCGGGCGCTCTCTGGGCGCGGCGGGCGCGGCGCTGGGCAGCGACGACAGCCTGGCCGGTTACGGCGGCAGCGCCGACGTGCAGTTCAACGAGGACGGCTCCTTCATCGGGCAGTACAGCGGCGCCCGCGGCGCCACCGCCGGCAGCTCCGGCCCCGCCAGCCCCTCGGCCGCCGCCCCGCTCGACTGACCCCACCCGTGGGTGCCCCTGGGGTGTCCCCGCGGCCGTGGGGACGCGGTGGGGACAGCTCAGTGTCACCGTGGGACCCCCCCGTGGCAGTGGGGACCCCCCCCCATGTCACAATGGGACCCCCAAGTGTCACCGTGGGACCCTCCCGTGGCAGTGGGGACCCCCCCGTGGCAGTGGGGACCCCCCCGTGACGTAGCGGGACCCCCATGGCCCGGGGGACCCCCCCAGTGTCACAGTGGGACCCCCCCCCATAGCCCTGGGGACCCCCCCCATGTCACAATGGGACCCCCCAAGTGTCACAGAGGGACCCCCCAATGTCACAGTGGGACCCCCACAGCTCTGAGGACCCCCCATGACCCTGGGGACCCCCCCAAGTGTCACAGTGGGACCCCCCCCATGTCACAATGGGACCCCCAAGTGTCACAGTGGGACCCTCACAGCTCTGAGGACCCCCCATGGCCCTGGGACCCCCCCCCCATGTCACAGTGGGGCCCCCCCATGGCCCTGGGGACCCCCCAATGTCACAATGGGGACCCCCAGTGTCACAATGGGACCCCCCCAGTGTCACAGTGGGACACCGCCAGTGTCACAGTGGGACCCCCCCAGTGTCACAGTGGGACCCCCACAGCTCTGAGGACCCCCCATGACCCCCATGACCCTGGGGACCCCCCCAATGTCACAGTGGGACCCCCCCCATGGCCCTGGGGACCCCCCCAATGTCACAATGGGACCCCCCCAATGTCACAGTGGGACCCCCCCCATGGCCTTGGGCACCCCCCATGTCACAGTGGGACCCCCCCATGACCCTGGGGACCCCCCCAATGTCAAATGGGGACCCCAGACCCCCCCCAGACCCCCCCTCCATTTAAGGGCCCCCCCCCACCCCCTTCACTGCCAAAGGGGGGAGTCCCTTAAGTGCCCCTCCCCCCCGATTTGGGGGGGTTGTTTGAGGTGGGGGAGGGGCACAAGACCCCCCCCCGCCCAACCCCCCCAAAAACACCTCACAGTGGGGGGGGGAGGGGCGGGGACCCCCCCTTTGGACTCAGCCAAAAAATCCCCCTCCCCCCTTCGCGCTGGATTTTGGGGGGGGGGTCTGGACATGGGGGGGCTGGGGGGGGGCTCTGCAGACCAAAATTAGGGGGGGCAAGGGGGGGATTTTGCCCCCCCCCCAGATTTTAGACACACCCCCCCCCCACTCCCACCCTCCTTCACTCCTCCCTCCCCCCAAAAAAATCTCTGGGGGGTTTTTTTGGGGTGAGGGTCTCAACCCCCCCCCCCAAAATTTCTGAATGCATCTCACGGCGCGGCCTTGGCGACCTCACACGAGCCGGCGGGGGGGGGTCCGCACCCCGACCCCCCCCCCGCACCCCAAAACCCCCCCGGGCCCCCCCCGCACCCCAAACCCCCCCCGGGCCCCCCCCGCACCCCAAACCCCCCCTCACCTTCCCCGTGGGGGGCTCTGCACCCCAAAACCCCCCCAAAACCCTCCGGGGGGGGGGGTCTGAACCCCAAATTCCTCCCCCAAATCCCCCCCCCCATCCCCAAATCCCCCCCCCACGGGGGGGGTCTGCACCCCCCACCCCCTCCGCGGGGGGTCCCCACCCCAAAAATCCCCTCCCCACGCGGGGGTCCCCACCCCAACCCCCCCCCCCCCGCGCTGTGTCGTAGCTTTGTAGCCCCCCCCCCATGTGTGCGGTGCCCCCCCCCCCAAAATCCCCTTTTTTTGGGAAAAGAAGCGGAAAACAAAACAAAAAATCGGTCCAAAATCGGTCCAAAGGGCCCCAAAAACGGCAGCCGAGCCCTCGCCCCTCCCCCACCTCGTGTGACCCCGACCCCCCCCCACGTGTGACCCCCCCCGAGCGAAAACAAAAAAAACCCGCAAAAATAAAAAAATCCCCCCAAAAATATAAAAAAAAATAAAAAAAAAAAAGGTGTGGGGGGGGAAAAGCCCCAAAAATAAAGAAAAAACTGCCGGAAAAGGCTCGGGGTGATTTTGGGGTCCGGGGGGGGCTCTGGGGGGGTCTGGGGGTCTTGGGGGGGTCTTTGGGCGGTTTTGGGGGGGCTGTTGGGGGTCTTTGAGGGGTTTTGGGGGGGATATAGGGGGTTTGGGGGGGCTATAGGGGATCTGGGGGGTTTGGGGGGGCTATAGGGGGTCTGGGGGGTTTGGAGGGGGTTTCGGGGGGTCTTTGAGGGAGTTTGGGGGGACTATGGGGGTCTGGGGGGTCACACGTTTGGGGGTCCATAGGGGTCTATAGGGGATGGGGGGCTCTTGGGGTCTGGGGGGGTCTTTGGGGGAGTTTGGGGGTCCATTGGGGGTCTCTAGGGAGTCTATAGGGGATGGGGGTCTCAGGGGGCTATTGGGGGTCTCAGGGGGTCTTTGAGGGGTTTTGGGGGTCTACAGGGGGTCTGTGGGGGTCAGTGGGATCTGGGGGTCTCTGGGGGTCTCGGGGGGCTATAAGGGGTCTCGCCGTGGGCGTGGCCTCGACGAGTGGGCGGGGCTTCAAGGAAGGGGCGCGACCGCCGTGACCACGCCCACATTGACCGCGCCCCGCCCACACTCTGATTTGCATTGACCACGCCCCGTTTCGCGACCACGCCCACACTGGCCACGCCCATTCGGGTTCGATCACGCCCCTCTCCTTATACGGCATGGCCACGCCCACTGAGTGACCACGCCCCCTCGCGCTGGCCACGCCCCCTCCCCTCACGGCCGCCGCCGCCGCCGCGGCCGGACCGGAACCGGACCGGAACCGGAACCGGACCGGAACCGGGGCCGGAACCGGGGCCGGAAGCGGAACCAGAACCGGAACCAGAACCGGAACCGGCCCCGGAGCCGCCGCCGAGCCCCCGGCCCCGAGCCCGCCATGGGGGCCGGGGGGGGGGCGCGGGGCGGGCCCCCCGGGCCGGGGGGGAGCGGCTGAAACGGCGGGACCGGGACCGGGACCGGGACCGGGGGGGGGCCCGGGGTGAGGGGGGGTCCCGCCATGGGCTGCAACATGTGCGTGGTGCAGAAACCCGAGGAGCAGCACCGGGTGATGCTGCAGGTACCGGATGGGGGGAAATGGGGAGGGGGCGAGGGGACCGGGATCGGGATAAATGGGGAGGGGTCTGTAGGGACCGCAATGGAGGTAAATGGGGAGGGGTCTCCAGGGGGAATGAATGGGGAGGGGGCTGCAAGTAGCGGGTTAAAGGATAAATGGGGAGGGGGCTCAGGAAGGGAAATGGGTCTGGGGGCTCGGAGGGAAATGAATGGGGAGGGATTCGGGGATAAAAGGAAATGGGTCTGGGGGCTGCAGGGGCTGCAGGGGCCGGGAATTGCGGGGAGGGGAACAGGTCAGGGGAGACAATTTGGGGAGGGGGCTTGGCCAGGTAAAGGAGGGTCTGGGGGCTTCGGGGGGGGGGACAGGTAAAGGGGGGGGCACAATTTGGGGAGGGGGCGTTGGATGGGGAGGGGGTCCAGGGCAGGTAAAAAGGGGGGTGGGGTCGCTGTGGGTTTATTTGGGTGGGGGTCTCTGCGGGTTAATTTGGGGAGGGGTCGCTGCGGGTTAATTTGGGGAGGGGTCTCTGTGGGTTTATTTGGGGAGGGGTCTCTGCGGGTTAATTTGGGGAGGGGTCTCTATGGGTTTTTTGGGGAGGGGTCCCGCTGTGGTTTATTTGGGTGGGGGTCTCTGCGGGTTTATTTGGGGAGGGGTCGCTGCGGGTTTATTTGGGGAGGGGTCCCGCTGTGGTTTATTTGGGGAGGGGTCCCGCTGTGGGTTTATTTGGGTGGGGGTCCCGCTGTGGTTTATTTGGGTGGGGGTCTCTGCGGGTTAATTTGGGGAGGGGTCGCACTGTGGTTTATTTGGGTGGGGGTCTCTGTGGGTTAATTTGGGGAGGGGTCGCGCTGTGGTTTATTTGGGTGGGGGTTTCTGCGGGTTAATTTGGGGAGGGGTCGCGCTGTCCCCGCCGTTGCCATGGTAACCGCGCCCGCCGCTTCCGGGCGAGCCGCAGACAATGGAGGGTGGGCGGGGGTCCCGCGGGGGTCCCGCGGGGGTCCCGCGGGGGTCTCGGGGGGTCCCGCGGGGGTCTCGGGGGGGTCTCGGGGGGTCTCGGGGGGGCTTTGGGGGAATTTTGGGTTGGGGGGGGGTCGCGGTGGAATTTTGGGGAGGGGGGAGTGGATTTTGGGGGGTTTGGGGGTGGATTTGGGGACAATGGGGACAGCGGGGGGGGATTTGAGGGGGGGTCGTGACTCGGAATTTGGGGGGGGGTCCTGACGCGCCCCTCCCCCCAGGTGGGCGGCAGGGAGGGGTCGCGCCGGGGGGGCCCCCGGGGGGGCTCGAAGGAGCCGCTGGTGCTGACGGTGCTGGGGAGGGGTCCCCGCGGCGCCCCCCCCCGCCGCCCCCCGCCCGGGGGGGGCCGGGACCCCCACCCACAATTCTGGGGGGGCTCGTGGACAGCGGCACCCAGACGGACATCAGCTTCCAGAGCCGCCGGGGGGGCGCCGAGCCGTGAGTGGGACCCCCCCCAAATTCCCCGGGACCCCCCCCCATTTCCCTGGGACCCCCCCCATTTCCCTGGGACCCCCCCCAAATTCCCGGGGACACCCCCAATTCCCCGGGGACCCCCCCCAAATTCCCTGGGACCCCCCCTCATTTCCCTGAGACCCCCCCCCAATTCACTGGGACCCCCCCCAAATTCCCTGGGACCCCCCCCCCCAATTCCCCGGGACCCCCAGACCCCCCCCATTTCCCTGAGACCCCCCCCAATTCTCTGGGACCCCCCTCATTTCCCTGGGACCCCCCCCCCCATTTACATGGGACCCCCCCCCAAATTCCCTGGGACCCTCCCCCAATTCCCTGAGACCCCCCCCCAAATTCCCTGAGACCCCCCCCCCAAATTCCCTGGGACCCCCCCCCAAATTCCCTGGGACCCCCCCCCAAAATCCCTGGGACCCCCCCCATTTCCCTGGGACCCCCCCCAATTCCCTGGGACCCCCCTCATTTCCCTGGGACCCCCCCCAATTCCCTGGGACCCCCCCCCAAATTCCCCAGGACCCCCCCCATTTCCCATGGACCCCCCCCAATTCCCTGGGGCCCCCCCCCAAATTCCCTGGGACCCCCCCCCAAATTCCCTGAGACCCCCCCCTCATTTCCCTGGGACCCCCCCCAATTCCCTGGGACCCCCCCCAATTCCCCAGGACCCCCCCCCAATTCCCTGGGACCCCCCCCATTTCCCTGGGACCCCCCCAAATTCCCTGGGACCCCCCCCATTTCCCTGGGACCCCCCCCAATTCCCTGGGACCCCCCCCCAATTCCCTGGGACCCCCCCCATTTCCCTGGGACCCCCCTCATTTCCATAGGGACCCCCCCCAATTCCCTGGGGACCCCCCCCAATTCCCTGGGACCCCCCCAATTCCCGGGGACCCCCCCCCCAAATTCCCTGGGACCCCCCCAAATTCCCTGGGACCCCCCCAAATTCCCTGGGACCCCCCCCATTTCCCTGGGACCCCCCCCCAATTCCCCGGGACCCCCCCTCATTTCCCCGGGACCCCCCCCCATTTCCCTGAGACCCCCCCCAATTCCATGGGACCCCCCCCCAAATTCCCGGGGACCCCCCCCCCAATTCCCCGGGACCCCCCCCCAATTCCCCGGGACCCCCCCCCAATTCCCCGGGACCCCCCCCATTTCCCTGGGACCCCCCCCAATTCCCTGGGACCCCCCCCCAAATTCCCTGGGACCCCCCTCATTTCCCTGGGACCCCCCCCAATTCCCTGGCCCCCCCCCCCAAATTCCCTGGGACCCCCCTCATTTCCCTGGGACCCCCCCCAATTCCCTGGGACCCCCCCCCCCCATTTCCCTGGGACCCCCCCTCATTTATTTCCCTGGGGACCCCCAGACCCCCCCGGATCCATTTTGGGGGTGTCCCACCCCCAGAGACCCCCCAGGACCCCCCCAAAATTCTCTGGGACCCCTCCCCCCGTTTTGGGGACCCCTCCCCCCCTTTTGAGGACCCCTCCCCCCATTTGAGGACCCCTCCCCCCTTTTGGGACCCCTCCCCTGATTTTTGCCCCCCCCAGGCCCCCCCAGGATTACTTTGACCCCGCGGATTTGGGGGAGCCCGAGCGCCCCGAGGAGCTGGAATATGAGGTGGGGGTCCCGCCGGGGGTCCCGGGGAGTTTTTGGGGGGTCCTGAATATTTTGGGGGGGGGTCTTGGATATTTTGGGGGGGGTCCTGAATATTTTGGGGGGGGGTCCTGAGCCTTTTTGGGGGGGTTTTGGACCCCCAAAGTTGAAGAAAAAGGAGCCAAAAATGAATTTACTGGGGAGGGGGAAAGGTGGGAAACTGGGGAGGGGTCCTGGGGGTGTCCCCGATTTTTTGGGGGGGGTCCTGGATATTTTTGGGGGGTCCTGAATATTTTTGGGGGGGTCCTGAATATTTTTGGGGGGGTCTGAAGGGATTTTAAGTAGTTTGGGACCATCAGAAAGGAAAAAAAAAAGAGAAAAAAAAAAAATTTATTGAGGAGGGGGGCTGGGAAATTGGGGAGGGGTCCCCGGGGGTTTTGGGGGTCTGGGGTGGGTTTGGGGGTCCCTTGGGTTCCTGGGGGTTCCTGGGTGGTCTCGGGTGTTTTTTGGGGGTCTCAGGGGGTTTTTGGGGGTCCCTGGGGGGGTCCCTGTGGATTTTGGGGGTCCCTGGGGGGTCCCTGTGGATTTTGGGGGTCCCTGGGGGGTCCCTGTGATTTTGGGGGTCCCTGGGGGGGGTCTCAGGGATTTTGGGGGTCCCTGGGGGGGTCCCTGTGGATTTTGGGGGTCCCTGTGGATTTTGGGGGTCCCTGGGGGGGTCCCTGTGGATTTTGGGGCTCTGAGGGATTTTGGGGGTCCCTGGGGGGTCCCTGTGGATTTTGGGGGTCCCTGTGGATTTTGGGGGTCCCTGGGGGGGTCGCAGGGATTTTGGGGGTCCCTGGGGGGTCCCTGTGGATTTTGGGGGTCCCTGGGGGGGTCCCTGTGGATTTTGGGGGTCCCTGTGGATTTTGGGTCTCTGAGGGATTTTGGGGTGCCCTGGGGGGGTCCCTGTGGATTTTGGGGGTCCCTGGGGGGTCCCAGGGATTTTGGGGGTTCCTGGGTGGTCTCAGGTGTTTTTTGGAGTTCTCAGGGGGATTTTGGGGGTCCCTGGGGGGGTCCCTGAGGGATTTTGGGGGTCCCTGTGATTTTGGGGTGCCCCCAGGAGGTGCAGCTGTACAAGACCAGCCACCAGCTCGGCATCACCGTCTGCTACCGCACGGACGGCGAGGAGGACCCCGGCATCTACGTGGGGGAGGTGCGGGGGACCCCCAAAACGGGGAGGGGGACCCCAAAAAATCCGCAACAAGCCCCAAAAATCCTGGGAAAAAATCCAACAAAAGTTGTAAAAAATCACAAAAAATCCGCCAAAAATTCAAAAAAATCCTGCAAAAATTCCCTCAAAAATCACAAAAAATCCTAAAAAATCCTGCAAAAATTAAAAAAAAATCGTGTAAAAAATTCCCTCAAAAATTGTAAAAAAATCCCCCAAAATCCTAAAAAATCCTGCAAAAAAATCCACCAAGAAAAAAAAAATAACCCTGCAAAAATTCCCTTAAAAAATCATGCAAAAATCCCCTAAAATCCAAATAAATCCTGCAAAAAATGCCCTGAAAAAATCCCAAAAAATCCTGCAGAAAATTCCCACAAAAATCCTAAAAAATCGCCCAAGGAATTGTAAAAAATTCCCCAAAAAATGTAAAAAAAAAAATCGTACAAAAAATTCAAAAAAGTCCCGAAAAAAAATCCTAAAAATCCCCCAAGAAATTCTAAAAAAAATCCCCAAAAATGCTAAAAAAATCCCTTAAGAAATCGTCAAAAAATCCCAAAAAAATCCTGCAAAATATTCCCTCCAAAAATCCTAAAAATTTAATCCAAAAAAACCCTAAAATATCCCCAAGAAATCCTAAAAAAATCCTGCAAAAAAACGTTTAAAAAACCCCAAAATTTTTAAAAAATGTTATAAGTCCCCAAAATCCGCCCCCCACCCAAAAAAAATTCTAAAAAATCCCCAAAAAATCAGGAAACCGCCCCAAAAATCCCAAATCCGGGGGATTTTGGGCCTTTTTTGGGAGCACTGGGGGGGTCCTGTGGTGGGGGGGACACCCCCAATGTTGGGGACCCCCCCAAAAAATTTTGGGGATCCCCAAATTTGGGATTTTTGGGCCCCTCAGGTGAACCCCAACAGCATCGCAGCCAAGGACGGGCGGATCCGAGAGGGAGACCGGATCGTGCAGGTGGGATTTGGGAATTTTGGGGGGGATTTGGGGGATTTTGGGGGGATTTGGGGAATTTTGGGGGGATTTGGGGGATTTGGGGGGTTTGGGGGAAATTTGGAACATTTTGGGGGAATTTTAGGGGCAGTTTTGGGGGGAAATTGGGGGATTTTGGGGTGATTTGAGGGGAAATTGGGGGATTTTGGGGGGGAATTTCGGAGATCTGGGTTGGATTTTGGGGATTTTGGGGGGGAGTTCGGGGGGAATTTGGGGTATTTTGGGGGGTAGTTTTTTTGGGGGAAATTTGGGACATTTTGGGGGAATTTTAGGGGCAGTTTTGGGGGGAAATTGGGGCATTATGGGGGGGAATTTGGGAGATCTGGGTGGGATTTTGGGGATTTTGGGGAGGAGTTCGGGGGGAATTTGGGAAATTTGGGGTATTTTGGGGGGCAATTTTTTGGGGGGAAATTTGGGACATTTTGGGGGAATTTTAGGGGCAGTTTGGGGAGAAATTTGGGGCATTCTGGGGGGGATTTGGCGGATTTTGGAGAAAATTCAGGGGGATTTTGGGGAGGGCAATTTGGAGGCAAATCGGGGGAATTTGGGAGAATTTGAGGGATAATTGGGGGATTTTGGGGGGGCAGTTTGGGAGAATTTGAGGGATTTTTTGGGGATTTTGGGGGGGCAATTTGGGAGAATTTGAGGGATAATTGGGGGATTTTGGGGGGGCAATTTGGGAGAATTTGAGGGAATTTTGGGGGATTTTGGGGGGGCAGTTTGGGAGAATTTGAGGGATAATTGGGGGATTTTGGGGGTGCAATTTGGGAGAATTTGAGGGATAATTGGGGGTTTTTGGGGGGCAGTTTGGGAGAATTTGAGGGATAATTGGGGGATTTTGGGCAATTCCATTCCCCCACCCAAAAATACCCCCCAGGACCCCCCAAATCCTCTAAAAAATCCCAAAAAAACCCCACGAAACCCCCCAAAAACCCCCTGAAAATCCCTCAAACCCCCTTTTCCCCACACCCTTTGTTTTGGGGGGGGTCCCTGGGGGTCTCCCCACCCCCCCAAATTTTGGGGACCCCTCCCCAAATTGCAGATCAACGGGGTGGAGATCCAGGACCGGGAGGAGGCCGTGGCCTTCCTGACCCGCGAGCAGCAGACCAACATCTCCCTGCTGCTGGCCCGGCCCGAGAGCCAGGTGGGATTTTGGGGGGTCCCCAAATTCTGGGGAGGGGTCCCGAGGGAATTTGGGGGGTCCCGAGGGAATTTGGGGGGATTTCGGGGAGTTTTGGGGGGGTTTGGGAGCAGCAAAGATGAAAATAACGGAGGCAAAAGTGATTTGGGGGGGAGGGAGGGGAATTTGGGGGGGCTGGGAAATTGGGGAGGGGGTCCTGGGGAGGAACCCCAAATTCTGGGGGGGGTCCTGAGGAGTTTTGGGGGGGTCCCGAGGGTTTTGGGGGGGTTTGGGGGGGAATTTGGGGAGTTTGGGGGTGGCAAAATGAAGGAAAAGGAGGCAGCGATGATTGAGCTGCTGAATTTGGGGAGGGGGAGTTTGAGGGAGGGGCTGGGAAATTGGGGAGGGGTCCTGGGGGGGCCCCCAAATTCGCGGGGGGGGGGTCCTGAGGGTTTTTGGGGGGGTTTGAGGGGGATTTTGGGGAGTTTGGGGGCACCAAATATGAAGGAAAAGGAGGAAAAATGGATTGATTTGGGGGTGGGGGTGGGAATTTGGGGAGGGGGATTTTGAGGGAGGGGGGTGGGAAATTGGGGAGGGGTCCTGGGGGGATTCCCCAAATTCTGGGGGGGGGTCCCGAGGGTTTTTGGGGGGGTTTGGGGGGGATTTTTGGGCAGTTTGGGGGCACCAAATATGAAGGAAAAGGAGGAAAAATGGATTGATTTGGGGAGGGGGGTGGGAATTTGGGGAGGGGGATTTTGAGGGAGGGGGCGGGAAATTGGGGAGGGGTCCTGGGGGGATTCCCCAAATTCTGGGGGGGGGTCCTGAGGGAATTTGGGGGGGTTTGGGGGGGGATTTTTTGGGAGTTTGGGAGCAGCAAAGATGAAAAAAATGGAGCCAGAAATGATTGAGATGAGGAATTTGGGGAGGGGGATTTTGAGGGAGGGGGTGGGAATTTGGGGAGGGGTCCCGGGGGGTCCCGGGGGTGTTTTTGGGGGGGTTTTTGGGGTCCCTGACGCCCCCCCAGCGCTGGAAGGACAGCGACCGAGAGGATTTCCTGGACGAGTTCGGCTCCGACGAGGAACCGGAGCTGAGGGGGGCCTGGACACCCCCCGGGCAGGTGGGAAATGGGAAAAAGGGGGAAAATGGGGGAAAATGGGGAAAAAGGGGGAAAATTGGGGAAAACTGAGGGGGAAATGGGAAAAATGGGGAAAAACTGAGGGGGAAATGGGGAAAAAACTGAGGGGAAAATGGGGAAAATTGGGAAAAAACTGAGGGGAAAATGGGGGAAAAGGGGGAAAATTGGGAAAAACTGAGGGGGAAATGGGGGAAAATGGGGAAAATTGGGAAAAACTGAGGGGAAAATGGGAAAATTGGGAAAAACTGAGGGGGAAATGGGGAAAATTGGGAAAAATTGGGGAAAAACTGAGGGGAAAATGGGAAAAATGGGGGGATTGGGAAAAATGGGGGGATTGGGAAAAATGGGGGGAAATGGGGAAAAAACTGAGGGGGGAATGAGGGAAAAATGGGGAAAAATTGGGGAAAAACTGAGGGGAAAATGGGAAAAATGGGGGGAAAAACAGGGAAAATGGGGAGAAAAATGGGGAGAAAATGGGAAAAATGGGGGGATTGGGAAAAATGGGGGGAAATTGGAAAAATGGGAATTGGGGGGAATGGGAAAAATGGGGAAAAAATGGGGAAAATTGGGGGGAAATGGGAGGGAAATGGGAAAATGGGGAAAAACTGGGAATTGGGGGGAATAGGAAAAAATTGGGGAAATGGGTAAGAAATGGGAATTAGGGGGGAAAATAATGGGGAAATTGGGGTAAAATGGGGGGTAAATGGGAACTGGGAAGGGAGAAAAATGGGGATGGGAGGTAGAAAATGGGAAAAATAGGAATTGAGATGGGGGGAAGGGGGGAAAATGGGAATTAGGAGGGGGGAAATAGGGGAAAATGGGAATTGGGGGTAAAAATGGGGGAGAAATGGGAATTGGGAAGGGAGAAAAATGGGGATGGGAGGTAGAAAACGGGAAAAAATAGGAATTGAGATGGGGGGAAGGGGGAAAATGGGAATTGGGGGTAAAAATGAGGGAGAAATGGGAATTGGGATGGGGAAAAACGGGAATTAGGTGGGGGAAAATAGAATTGGGAGGGGGAAAAGAGGGAAAAAATGGGAATTGGGAGGGGGGAAATGGGGGGAAAATGGGAATTGAGGTCGTTCAAATGGGTCTGGGGGATGCCGGGGCAGAGGGGAAGGGGCTGGGAGGGAACTGGGGAGGGGTTTGGGGGGTCCAAGGGGGGTCCAAGGGGGCCCGGGGGTCCCTCCCGACGCCCCCTCCCCACCCGCAGCCCCCCAGCCCCGCCACGCCCGGCGGCGGCCGCGCCGAGCCCGACAGCGGCGTGGGGCGCACGGACGAGTCCACGCGCAACGAGGAGAGCTCGGAGCACGACCTGCTGGCCGAGGAGGCCGGCGAGGGACCCCCCCCGCCCCCACGGCCTCCCCCGCCGCGCCGCGAACCCCAAAATCCCCAAAATTCTCCCCAAAATTCCCCCCAAAACTCGGCGCGGCTCCACGCAAAACCCGGCGCTGGAGGAGCGGCCGCGCGGAACGGCTCCGGCTGCGGGTCGGCGGGAAGAGCCGGAGGTGGAGCAGGCGGGCGGCGCGGAGCGGGGCCGGAGCCGGGACCGGGGTTCGGACCGGGGTTCGGACCGGGGTTAGGCTCCGGTTTAGGCCCGGGTTTGGGGCCGGGGTTAGGCCCGGGTTTGGGACCGGGTTTAGGCTCCGGTTTAGGCCCGGGGTTAGGCCCGGGTTTGGGGCCGGGGTTAGGCCCCGGTTTAGGCCCCGGCTCGCCGTCGCCGCCGCTGCCCGCGCTGAGCCCCGCGGAGCTCCGGCGGTACCGGGCGCTGCGCGGGCGCGGAGCTCCGAGCGGGCCGGGCCGGGCGGAGCTGGCGCGGCTCGAGGAGGAGCTGCGGCATTTGGAGTTCAAGTGCCGCCACCTCCTGCGGGCGCAGCAGCTCGAGCGGCTCCGCGAGCGCGGCCGCCGCGCGTGGCGGGACCCCCGGCCGGGGGTCGAGGGCCCTTTGGCCGATATCGCCGAAGCTCCGGAGCGCGACAGCAGCAGCGCCTACAACACCGGCGAGAGCTCCCGCAGCTCCCCGCTGCTGCTCCGCGCCGGCCTCGCCGCCGCCGCCGCGCCGCCCCCCGCGCCCGCGGCCGCCGCCAAAGGGCCCCGCGGGAAGCGGCCGGGCCGGGACCGGCTGCTCAAGGCTCGGGCCATCAAAATCCTGGAGGAGCGCGGCGGCTCCACCGACGACGACGCCCGGAGCGAGTTAAAGACCGGCCGCTACTGGAGCCGCGAGCAGCGCAAGCAGCACCTGGCCCGGGCCCGGGAGCAGCGGCGCCGCCGGGAGTTGCTGCTCCAGGGGCGGCCCGAGGCGCCGGCGGGGCCCGGAGCGGCCGCGGGCAGCGGGGCGGGGGGCGCCGAGACCCCCCAGCCCCCCCAGCACGGGCAGGGGTCGCGGCGGGGGCTGCGCAAGAGGAGCCGCCGCATCCTGGATAATTGGGTGACGATCCAGGAGATGATGCTGGCGCAGCACGGGGGGCGCCTGGAGCACCCCCTGCTCTCGGTCACCACCGTGTGACACCCCCGGGGGGAGTTTGGGGGGCAAAAATTCATCCAATCCCCCCAAATTCCTCCTCAAATCCCCCCAAATTCCTCCTTAAATCCCCCCAAATTCCTCCTTAAATCCCCCCAAATTCCTCCTCAAATCCCCCCAAATTCCTCCTTGAATCCCCCCAAAATTCCTCCTCGTTCTCGCATCAAGGAGAGACCCGACCCCCCTCCCCAACCCAGCCTCGCCCAGCGCTGTCACCCCCGGGGGTCTCTGTCCCTTTTGGGGGTCTCTGTCCCCCCTGAGGGTCCCCCCCGGGGGTCTGTCCCTTTTCGGGGGGTCTCTGTCTCCTCTTGGGGGTTTCTGTCCCCCCAAGGGTCCCCCCCGGGGGTCTCTGTCCCCCGTTTCTGTCCCTTTTGGGGGGTCCCCTCTGGGGGGTTTCTGTCCCTTTTGGGGGGTCCCCTCTGGTGTCTGTCCCTTTTGGGGGTCTCTGTCCCCCGTTTCTGTCCCTTTTGGGGGTCTCTGTCCCCTCTGGGGGTGTCTCTGTGTCCCCCCCCTGTCCCCAACCCCTCCCCCCCCGAAGCACAAAATGAGGGGTGGGGGTCGCCCCTCGCCCCCCTTTTCCCCTCCCCCATTGTTGTGTCTGTGGCCGTGCTTAGTTTGGGCTGATTTAGGATTTTTTCAGGGTTTTTTTACACTTTTCGTCACCTCCTCCCCGGGGCTGGGAGGGTCCCAGGAGGCCGAACCAGCCCTGGACCCCCTCCCCAAAAAAAAAAACACCCCAAAAATCCTGGGGTGCTTCCCCCTCCCCCACCTCTGTCCGTGTCTGTGGGGGGGGAGGGGCCGCGTTTGGGAATGAAGGAAAAACAAAAAAAAAAAATCTCGTTTTTACTCATTTCACCCCTTTTTGTGCAGCCTCTTTTTTTTTGGTGGGGGGAGGTGGAAAATCTTTGGGATCCCCCAAAAAAGAAACCAAAAAAAAAAGGAATTTGGGGAGCCTCGAGCTGACCCCGCCTTCCTGGGATCCCCCCAAAAACTGGAAGAGGCAAAATTTGGGGATCCCCAAAAAATAACCAAGATTTGGGGGACCCCTGGTCTGTCACTGATTTTATGGACCTGGGCAGGTTAAAAATTGGGAAAAATGGGAATTAGGGGGTAAAGGATGAGGAGAAATGGGAAATGGGAAAAAATGGGGAAAAAATGGGAAATGGGGGTAAAAAATGGGGAAAAAATGGGAATGACAGGGTATAAAATGAGGAAAAATTGGGAATTGGTGGGTAAAAAATGTGGAAAATGGGAATTGGGGGGAAAAAATGGGGAAAAAATGGAAATGGGGGGAAAAAAGGGAATGACAGGGTATAAAATGAGGAAAAATTGGGAATTGGTGGGTAAAGACCGAGGAAAAATTGGGAATTGGAGGGTAAAAAATGTGGAAAATGGGAATTGGGGGTAAAAAATGACATTGGGAACTGGAGGTGGGGAAAAGGGAAAAAAATGAGGATGTGGGTGAAAAATGGGGAGAATTGGGAATTGAGGGGTAAAATATTAGGATAAAATGGGAATTGGGTGGGGAAAAACATAAATAAATTTTGGGGATCCCCCCCCAAAAAACTAACAGGACCAAACCGACCCCTCCTCAACTTTCTGAGACCCCCAAAACCCAACCAGGACCAAATCTGGTGACCCCAAAAACCTGAATGGTGCCAGCAGGGAAGAACAAAAACCTTTTTATTCCACCCAGACCCCCAAAACCACACCCGGGTCCCTCCTCATCCTCGGGGATTTTGGGGTTCCCCGCAGGTTTTGGGGTTCCTGCAGATTTTTGTGTTTCCTGTGGATTTTGGGGGGTTCCCACAGGTTTTGGGGTTCCCCACAGATTTTTTGGGGTTTCCTGTGGATTTTGGGGGGTTCCCCGCAGGTTTCGGGGTTCCCGCAGATTTTGGGTTCCCGCAGATTTTGGGGGGGGGGTCCCCACGGATTTTGGGGGGGTTTCCCACAGATTTTTTGTTTCCTGTGGATTTTTGGGGGGGTTCCCCACAGATTTTTTGGAGTTCCCCACAGATTTTGGGGGGGGTCCCCACGGATTTTTGTGTTCCACTCAGATTTTGGGGAGATCCCCTCAGATTTTGGGGAGATCCCCGCGGATTTTGGGGAGATCCCCGCGGATTTGGGGGGTCCCCGCGGATTTTGGGGGGGAGATCCCCGCGGATTTTGGGGAGATCCCCGCGGGTTTTGGGGAGATCCCCGCGGATTTTGGGGGGGAGATCCCCGCGGGTTTTGGGGAGATCCCCGCGGGTTTTGGGGAGATCCCCGCGGATTTTGGGGGGAGTCCCAGCGGATTTCTGTGTTCCCCGTGGATTTTTGTGTTCCCCGCGGGTTTTGGGGAGATCCCCTTGGATTTTGGGGAGGTCCCCGCGGGTTTTGGGCGTTCTGGGGGGGTTTTTTTTGGGGTTCAGGCGTGCAGGGCCCTCCAGCGGTCCAGGGGCCCCCGGGCAGGGACGTACTTGACCCCGCAGCCGTCGGGGATCAGCCGCTTCTGCGCCACCATCTCCTCGAAGGCGTCGGCGTTGAACTTGGTGAACCCCCACTTCTTCGAGATGTGGATCTGGGGGGGACCCCAAAAAAAAAACCGTCAGGGGGACCCCCAAAATCCCCCCCAGTAAAATTCGGGGGGTCTCAGGTTCCCCCCCCCATCCCATTTATTTTAAGGATTTTGGGAATCCCCTTGTTTAAAGTTTGGATTTCCACGTTCCCCATCAATTTTGGAGCACCCCATGAACCGCCCCAACCACCCCGAAATTTTTGGGGTGCCCTCCAAAACAATTTGGGGGTGCCCAAAACCTCACGAACCCTCCCAGTCTCCACCACGTTCTCATTCTCCCCTTATCCATCCCGACATCCCCCTAAATTTTGGGGCACCCCAGCACCTCCCACCCCATCCCAAATTTTTGGGGTGACCCGAAGTGCCCCCTCGGAAGATTTTTGGGGTGCCCCAGTCCCTTCTGGCACCCCAAAAACCCCTCAAAAACCTCACGAACCCTCCCAGTCTCCACCACGTTCTCATCCTGCCCTTATCCCGACATCCCCGTAAATTTTGGGGCACTCCCACCCCATCCCGAATTTTTGGGGAGCCCCCGAGGACCTTTTTGGGGTGCCCCGCGGGGATTTTGGGGTTCCCCCTGGGGATTTTGGGGTCCCCAGTACCTTCTGGCACCCCAAAAACCCCTCAAAAACCTCACGACCCGTCCCACATTCTCCAACACCTTCCTCCCCTTATCCCGCCATCCCCGTAAGTTTTGGGGCACTCCCACCGCCCCAAATTTTCGGGGTGCCCCCGAGGACCCTTTTGGGGTGCCCCCCGGGGATTTTGGGGTGCCCCCCGGGGATTTTGGGGTGCCTGGTACCTTCTGGTGGCCCAAAACCTCACGAACCCTCCCAGTCTCCACCACGTTCTCATCCCGACATCCCCATAAATTTTGGGGCACCCCAGCACCTCCCACCCCATCCCCAATTTTTGGGGTGCCCCCGAGGACCCTTTTGGGGTGCCCCCCGGGGATTTGGGGTGCCCCCCGGGGGATTTTTGGGGTCCCCGGTACCTTCTGGCGCCCCGGGAACTTGAACTTGGCGCGGCGCAGCGCCTCCACCACGTGCTCCTTGTTCTGCGCCTTGGTGCGGATGGACATGATCACCTGGCCGATGTGCACCCGCGCCACCGTGCCCTGCGGCTTGCCGAAGGCGCCGCGCATGCCGGTCTGCAGCCTGGGGGGAGAGACCCCAGACCCAATTCAGTACTGACCCCAGACCCAATTACAGACCCCAGACCCAATTACAGACCGGCCTGGGGACCCCAGACCCAATCACAGCCCCGCTCACAGAGCCGTGCCCTGCGGCTTGCCGAAGGCGCCGCACATGCCCGTCTGCAGCCTGGAGAGACCCCAGACCCAATTCATTACAGACCCCAGACCCAATTCAGTACTGACCCCAGACCCAATTAGTGATCCAGTTACAGACCCCAGACCCAATTACTGACCCCAGACCCAATTAGTGACACACACAGAGACCCCAGACCCAATTACAGACCCCAGACCCAATTAGTGATCCAGTTACAGACCCCAGACCCAATCACAGCCCCGCTCACAGAGCCGTGCCCTGTGGCATGCCTGTCAGCAGCCTGGGGGGGTGGAGACCCCAGACCCAATTTAGTACAGACCCAGACCCAATTCAGTACAGACCCCAGACCCATTTACAGACCAGCCTGGGGACCCCAGACCCAATTACTGACCCCAGACCCAATTCATTACAGACCCCAGCCCCAGATAGTGACCCAATGCGAGACCCCAGCCCCAGGAAGGATTTTGGTGCCCCCAGGGGGAGTTTGAAGCCCCCAGACCCATCCCAAGGGGAATTTTTGTGCCCCCCAGGATAATTTTGGGATTTTTTTGGGGATTTTTGTCTCCCCCCGGGTAATTTTGGGGTGATTTTTGGGGTGATTTTTGGGGTTTTGTCCCCCCAGCCCCTTTGGGTGCCCCCCCAGGGTAATTTTGGGGTGATTTTTGGGGTGATTTTTGGGGTTTTTGTCCCCCCAGCCCCTTTGGGTGCCCCCCACGGGGGGGGTCCCTACACAGCCGGGGGGGGAGGGGTCTCTGTGCGCAGCCAGTGCGCGCCGGGCCCCGGGGGGGCGGGGCTCGGCCGGCTTAATTAGCTGCGGTAATTAACGGGTTCATTAGCTGACACTTTTCATGACCCATCCCCAAAACTTTTCCCCTTTAAAAACTTTGGGTCCCCCCCGGATTTCGGGGTTTCCACCAAATTTTGGGGTTCCCCTGGGCACTTTGGGGTCCCCCCAAGATTTTGGGGACCCCCGGAGGATTCTGGGGTCCCCCTGCAAATTTCAGGGACCCCCTGAGACCTCCCAGTCCCCTCCGAATTTCAGATACTTTTCCCCGACCGATCCCCAAAACTTTTCCCCTTTAAAACTTTGGGAACCCCTAAAAACCTCCAGGGACCCCCCAGAATTTTGGGATCCCCCTGGCGATTTTAGGGTTCCCCCCAGGATTTCAGGGTCCCCCTGGAGATTTGAGGAACCCTCGAGGATTTTGGGGACCCCCTGAGACCTCCCGGTCCCCTCCAAATTTCAGAAACTCTTCATGACCTGAAACTTTTCCTCTTGAACTTTGGGAACCCCCAAAGGATTTCAGGGTACCCTTTGCGATTTCGGGGTTCCCCTGGGCACTTTGGGGTCCCCCCAAGATTTTGGGGACCCCTCGAGGATTCTGGGGTCCCCCTGCAAATTTCAGGACCTCCCAGAACCCCCCGGATTTTGGGTCCCCCCCAGGAGGTTCTGGGGTCTCCCGGGATTTTGGAGACCCTCCCCCCAAATTTTGGGGTTCCCCTGGATACTTTGGGGTCCCCCCAGAGATTTTGGGGACCCCCTGAGATCTCCCAGTCCCCTCCAAATTTCAGACATTTTCATGACCCATCCCCAAAACTTTTCCCCTTCAAAAACTTTGGGTCCCCCCGGGATTTCGGGGTCCTCCCCAAATTTTGGGGTTCCCCTGGGCACTTTGGGGTCCCCCCAAGATTTTGGGGACCCCTCGAGGATTCTGGGGTCCCCCTGCAAATTTCAGGACCTCCCAGTCCCCTCCAAATTTCAGACACTTTTCATGACCCATCCCCAAACCTTTTCCCCTTTAAAACCTTTGTGTCCCCCCGGGATTTCGGGGTCCCCCCCCCGGGATTTCGGGGTCCCCCCCAAATTTCGGGGTCCCCCCGGGGTTTCGGGGCGCGCACCTGTCGGCGCCGGCGCAGGAGAGCATCTTGTTGATGCGGATGACGTGGAAGGGGTGCAGGCGCACGCGGATGTGGAACCCGTCCTTGCCGCAGCTCTTCACCATGTACTTGTTAGCGCAGATCCGCGCCGCCTCCAGCGCTGGGGGGCAAAATTTGGGGAAAATTTGGGCGTTTTAGGTGAAATTTGGGGTTTGCAGGAAAAAATTTGGAGTTTCTACGTGAAAATTTGGAGTTTCTATGTGAAAATTTGGAGTTCCTACGTGAAAATTTGGAGTTTTTATGTGAAAATTTGAGGTTTTTACGTGACAATCAAAAGATTTCAGATGAAGATTTGGGGATTTTAGATGAAGATTTGGGATGTTTGGGTTTAAATTTGGAGTTTTTAGGTGAAAACTTGGGGATTTTTAGGTGAAAATCTGGAGCTTTTATGTGAAAATTTGAAGATTTTTGATGAAAATTTGGGGGGTTTAGGCAAAAATTTGGAGCTTTTAAGTAAAAATTTTGGGGTTTTTGGCACCATGAACTTGTTAGTGCAGATCTGCGCTGCCTCCAGGGCTGCAGAGGGAAATTTGGGCAAAATTTGGGGATTTTAGGAAAAAATTGAGGTTTTTAGGTGAAAATTTGGAGCTTTTAGGTGAAAATTTGAGGCTTTCACATGAAAATCTGGGGATTTTGGACAAAACTTTGGGGGTTTTAGATGAAGATTTGCGGATTTTCGGGAAAAAATTTGGAGTTGGGAAAAAAGTTTCCCAATCCCCTCCCAAAATCCCCCAACCCCCTCCACAAAATTTCCCAAAACCCTCCCAAAATATTTCCCAAAACCCTCACAAAATATTTCCTAAACCCCCCCCAGAAATCTCCTAAAACTGTCCCAGAAATCCCCCAAAAATCTCAAAAGAATTTCCCAAACCCCCCCCAAAAATCCCCAAACTGCCCCAAAACCTCCCAAAAATTTCCCTAAAATCCCAAAAAATCCTCCCAAAAATGCCACAAAACCCCTTAAAAATGCCCCCAAAAAATCCCAAACCCCCTAAAAACTTTAAAAAACATTTCTTAAACCCCCCAAAAATCCCTTAAACCCCCCCAAAAACCCCCAAACCCCCCCAGAACCCCCCAAACCTTTAAGGATCTTCCCCAAAAAAATCCCCCAACGCCCCAAACTTTTGAGAACCCCCCAAAAACCCCCAAATCCCCCCCAAAAAGCCCCAAAATTCCGATTTTTACCCTCGGAGCTGAGCTGCTCGTACTCGTCCGACACCATGTGGCCGCACAGGGGGAACTCGTCCACTTTGGCTTTTTTCCGGCCCAGGTCGAAAATTCGGATTTTTGGGTCTGGGGGGATTTTTGGGGGGGTCAGGAGGGATTTTTGGGGTTTTTTTGGGGGGGTTTTGGGGGATTTTGGGGTCGGGACTCACCGGGGACCCCGCGGCAGAAGCGCGACTTGGGGTAGGGTTTGTTCTTGCAGTAGCGGTAGCTGGGGGGGAAAAAACCCCAAAAATAACCCAAAAATTGCCCCGAAAATGCCCTAAATACTCCTAAAAACACCCCCAAAAATTGCCCCCAAAATGCCCTAAATACTCCTAAAAACACCCCCAAAAATAGCCCCGAAAATGCCCTAAATACTCCTAAAAACACCCCCAAAAATGCCCTAAATAGCCCTAAAAATATCCCAAAAAAACCCCTAAACTATCCCCAAAAAATCCCCTAAATATTCCTAAAAACATACCCAAAAATACCATAAATATCCATAAAAATAGCCCCTCAAAAATCCCTAAAACCAGTCCCAAAAAATCCCCCAAATATCCCTAAAAACATACCCAAAAATACCATAAATATCCATAAAAATATTTCCCAAAAAACCCTAAATTATCCCCAAAAAATTCCCTAAATACCCCGAAAAACATGCCCAAAAATCCCCAAAATTATTCCCCCAAAAAACCCCAAAACCCCCGTAAATTATCCCCCCAAAACCCTTTAAATTTAACTTTTAACCCAATTATTCAATTTTTAACCCCAAACAGTCCCTTTTTAACACCCAAAATTCCATTTTTAACCAACAAAATTCAATTTTAAACGCCCCCAAAATTCCATCTTAACCCAAATTATTTTCAACCCAAAGTACTCCATTTTCAATCCCCAAAATTTCTATTTTTAACCCAAATAATTCCATTTTAACCCCAAATTTTCCCTTTTTACCCCAAAAAATTTTATTTTAAACCCCCAATATTCCCTTTTTACCCCCAGAAACTCCGGGTTTTACCACATAAAATCTTATTTTTAACCCCAAAATTCCCAATTTTACCCCAATTCTCCCCTTCCCCCCCCCGCCCCATTTCACCCCCCAGTGACGTCACGCTCGCCCCGCTGTGACGTCACGGCCTCACCATCGCGCCGGCCGCCGGCCCATGGCGGCTCCGGGACCTGCGGGGGGACAAAGGGACGCGTTGGGGACCCCAAAAATCCCCGAAATGCCCCGAAATGACCCAAATTCCCCCAAAATTCCCCCAAAATCCCCCAAACCCCGCCCGGGCCCCGCCGCGCTCCGACCTCGCCGCGCGCCCGAAAGAGGCCGCGGCCGCCTGCGCGCTCCTTTTATACCCCCCGCCACTTCCGGTCCGCTCGCCACTTCCGGCGGCGCTCCGGCCGCCCCGGAGGACTCCCCGAAATGGCGGCCGGGGGGGCGATGGCGGCGGCGCTGACGGGGCTGAGCGGAACCGCGGAGCTGCGGGAGCGGAGGAGGCGGGAGCGGAGCGGGGAGGGCGCGGAGGGGGCGCGGAAAAGGCGCGGAGGGAGCGCGGGGCGGCCATAGAGACGGGAGGAGCCGCTCTGGCGAGCGTGGGGATCATAGAGAGGAGCGGCTCGGCCAATCAGAGCGCGCGGCGGGGGGAAGGCGGCGCATGCGCGGTGAGGCCGCTGGCGGCGCTGAGTGGCGCGTGGCGTGACGTCATCGATCATACATTTACATATCCCCGCCCACCAAATAGAATCGTCGAATGGGCGTGGTCACGTAAACTCATTTGCATTAAATTTCCATAAATGGGCGGGGCGGAGGATTCAGCTCCTTTTGGGGGGACCCCAAAATTCACAGGGACCCCCCCAAGAGACCCCCCCCCCAAATTCCAACCCCCTCCCCAAATATTTTGGGGTGAAACCTCCCAAAAATGGAGGCAAAGCCCCAAATCCACTGGAGACCCCCCAAAATGAAACCCCGCACCCCAAAATCCCCCCAAAAAACCCCAAACCTCGCCCAAAATCCTCCCAAAAAATCCCAAACCTCGCCCAAAATCCCCCCACAAAACCCCAAACCTCCCCAAAAAAAACCCAAAAAATTCCAGACTCCCACAAAATCCCCCAAAATTAAACACCCTTGAAACCCCCAAAATCCCCCCAGGACCCCCCCAGAAAAACAAAACAAAACAAAAATCCCCAAACCCCCCCAAATCCCCCAAATTAAACTCCCCACCTCCAAAAAACCGCAAAAATCTCCAAAACCCCCCCAGAATCCCCCTAAAAAACCCTCAAATTCCCCAAAAACCCCAAAATCTCCCAAAATAACCCCCCCAAAAACCCCAAATCCCCCCTGAAAAACCCCAAAAAATCCCAAAAAAATCCCCCAAATCCCCAAATTCCCAAAAAAACGAAATCCAAGGGAAGCAGGAGAAGTTTTTATTTGGGGGCAGCGCCGGGACCCCCCGGGGGGGATAAAAAATTCCAATAAAATAAAAAAAAAGGGAAAAGGGAAAATTGGGGGGGGTCCCAAAATTTGGGGTGGTCCCCAAAAATTTGGGGGGGTCGGGAGCTGCTGTGAGGGGGGAGGGGCAGTGGCGGGGCGGGCGTGAGGGGCGTGGGGGGGTCAGAGACCCCCAAAAAACAGGGGGGGACCCCAAAATTGGGGGGTGGGGTCCCAAAATTTTGGGGGAATGGTACCCAAAATTAGGGGGGGGGGGAACCCTAAAATTTAGGGAGGACCCTAAAAATGGGGGGGGGGGATTTGAAATCACCCGGGGGACCCAAAATTTGGGGGGGGGGGGGGGCACCAAAATTTTTGGGATGTCCCCAGATTTTTTTAGGATGTTCCCAAATTTTTGTCACGTCCCCAAAATCGGGGGTGAAAACCCAACCTGGGGAATTTTGGGGATTTTCTACAACTTTTGGGGACTTTGGACCTTTCTGGGGGAGTTTTGATGTTTTTGGGGACTTTGGACCTTTTTTGGGGACGTTTTTAGGATTTTTTCCCCATTTTTCAGGACTTTCTGCCCACATTTGGGGATTCCTTTTGACCATTTTCAGGACTTTTTCCCCAGTTTTTGGGGGACTTTTTGGGGAAATTTAACCACTTCTGAGGACATGTCACCACTTTTGAGAACTTTCCCCATTTTTAGGACTTTTTCCCCATTTTGAGGACATTTCCCCCATTTTGTGGACATTTCAAGGACTTTTTACCACTTTTTAGCAGTTTTCCCCATTTTTAACACTTTTTTTATGCCTTTCCTCCCATTTTTAGCACTTTCCCCCATTTTGATGCCTTTTTTTTATGACTTTCCCCCAATGTTTATGTTTTTTCCCCCACTTTTTTTGACTTTTCCCCCGATTTTTATGGTTTTTCCCCCATTTTTTTATTTTCCCCCGGTTTTTATAGGTTTTCCCCCATTTTTTTTGATTTTCCCCCGATTTTTATGGTTTTCCCCCACTTTTTTTGACTTTTCCCCCGATTTTTATGGGTATTTCCCCCATTTTTTTTTATTTTCCCCCGTTTCCATGGGTTTTTCCCCCATTTTTTTTGATTTTCCCCCGATTTTTATGTTTTTTCCCCCATGTTTTTTGATTTTCCCCCGATTTTTATGGGTTTTTCCCCCGTTTTTTATGGGTTTTCCCCCATTTTTTTTGCTTTTCCCCCGTTTCCATGGCATTTTTTTGCTTTTGCCCCATTTGCAGGACACTTTTTTGGCTTTTTGGGCGTCTCAGGGCACGCAGAGGCGGAAGGGGCTGTTGGGCACGTGCTGCTCGCCCCACTTGACCACCAGCAGGTACTCGCCGCGCTCGCGCAGCAGGTAGCCCACGTTGTACAGTTGGTTGCCCAAGTGCTTGACCACGATCTCCTCGCAGGGGCTGCGGGGGCCCTGCACCCCCACCAGCAGCATGTTGTTGCCTGGGGGGGAAAAAATGGGATTTTGGGGTTTTTTTGGGATTTTTTGGGGATTTTTTGGGGATTTTTTTGGGATTTTTTGGGGGATTTTTGGGGATTTTTTGGGGATTTTTTTGGGGTTCTTTTGGATTTTTTTTGGGGATTTTTTTTTTATTTTTTGGGGATTTTTTGATATTTTTTGGGGATTTTTTTGGGTTTTTTCTGATTTTTTTGGGATTTTTTTTATTTTTTTGGGGATTTTTTGGGGATTTTTTTTTGTGATTTTTTTGAGTTGGTTTTTTTTTTTTGATTTTTTTGGGATTTTTTTGTATTTTTTTGGTATTTTTTGAGGATTTTTAGGAGATTTTTTGGAGATTTTTTGGGTATTTTTTGGGTTTGTTTTTTTTTTTGGGGGAGGGATTTTTTGGGGATTTTTTTTGGGATTTTTTGGGTTTTTTTTGGATTTTTTTGGGAATTTATTTGGGATTTTTTGGGATTTTTTGGGGATTTTTTTTTTGATTTTTTGGATTTTTTTTGGATTTTTTTTTTTTTTATTTTTTGGGGATTTTTTTGGTATTTTTTGGGATTTTTCGAGGATTTTTAGGAGATTTTTTTGATATTTTTTGGATATTTTTTGGGTTATTTTTGGGGGCTTTTTGGGGCCATTTTGGGGTCATTTTTGGGGCCATTTCAGGGTATTTTGGGTCATTTTCGGGGCCATTTTGGGGTGGTTTGGGGCCATTTTGGGGTGTTTTTGGGGCCACTTTGGGGTCATTTTTGGGCCCATTTCAGGTTTTTTTGGATCAATTTTGGGGCCATTTTGGGGTGGTTTTGGGGCCATTTTGGGTTATTTTTGGGGCCATTTTGGGGTGTATTTGGGGCCATTTCAGAGTCATTTTCGGGGCCATTTCAGGGTCATTTTTGGGGCCATTTTGGGGTGTATTTGGGGCCATTTTGGGGTCATTTTTGGGGCCATTTCAGGGTCATTTTTGGGGCCATTTTGGGGTGTTTTTTTGAGGCCATTTCAGGGTTTTTTGGGTAATTTTTGGGGCCATTTTGGGGTGTTTTTGGGGTCATTTTTGGGGCCATTTCAGGGTCATTTTTGGGGCCATTTTGGGGTGGTTTTGGGGCCATTTTGGGGTGTTTTTGGGGCCACTTTGGGGTCATTTTTGGGGCCATTTCAGGGTCATTTTTGGGGCCATTTTGGGGTGTTTTTGGGGTCATTTTTGGAGCCGTCCCAGCTGAGTTGGGGGCACCCACCGGCCTTGCTGCAGTCCACGGTGAAGGAATTCTTCTGGCCCACGAAGCCCTTGGTGAGCCCCAGGCCTTTGGCCACCACCTTGGAGGCGTCCGAGAATTTGGGGGGTCCCGGGGGGGCCCCGGCGGGGGCGGGGGCGGGGGAGGGGCCCCCGTGGCCCCCCGAGTCCACCAGCACCGAGGAGCTCTCGCGGAGGCTGTGGCTGCTCACCAGGCGTGGCCCTAAAACGGGGGAAAAACCCCAAATTCAGGGCTTGGAACCCCAAAAAATCACAGCGGGGGAAGGGTGGAAGTTTGGGGGTTGAAAGGGTAAAAAATCAGGGGGGGAAGGTGAAAAATTGGGGTGGAACCCCACAAAATCAGGGGTGGACACCAAGAGCGGGGGTGAACCACAAATGCCCGAGTTCCTCCCAAAATCCCCCAAACCCCTCCCAAAATCCCCTCCAAATCCACTCCCCCACACCCCAATCCCCCTCTAAAACCCCCCAAATGCCCCCAAAATCCTTTTAACCACCCCAAAATCCCATTTAAACCCCCCAAATCCTATTAAATCCCCCCAATCCCCTTTAAATCCCCCCAAACCCCATTTAAATCCCCCCAAATCCCCTTTAAACCACCTTTAACTCCCCCAAATCCTATTAAATCCCCCCCAATCCCCTTTAAACCCCCCCAAACCCCATTTAAATCCCCCCAATCCCCTTTAAACCACCTTTAACTCCCCCAAATCCTATTAAATCCCCCCAATCCCCTTTAAATCCCCCCAAACCCCATTTAGATACCCCCAAGCCCCATTTAAATCCCCCCCAAATCCCCTTTAAACTACACAAACCCCCTTCAAAGCCCCCCAAATCCTCGTGAACCCACTTTAAACCCCCCAAACCCCCCAAATCCCCTTTAAACCCCCCCAAATCCCCTTTACACCCTCCAAAATCCCCTTTAAACCACATTAAACCCCCCCCAAATCCAATTTAACCCCCCCAAATCCTATTTAACCCCCCAAATCCCATTTAACCCCCTCAAATCCCATTTAAACCCCCCCAAATCACCTTTAAACTACACAAACCCCATTTAACCCCCCCCAAATCCAATTTAACCCCCCCCAAATCCCATTTAACACCCCAAATCCCCTTTACACCCCCCAAAATCCCCTTTATACCCCCAAAAATCCCCTTTAAACCCCATTTAACCCCCCCAAATCCCATTTAACCCCCCCAAAATCCCATTTAACCCCCCAAATCCCCTTTACACCCCCCAAAATCCCCTTTAAACCCCATTTAAACCCCCCCAAACCCCCCTGAGCCCCCCTGCCCAGCACTCACCGGTGATCTTGGCCTTGAAGGGGCTCCCCACGATGTGGTGGGGCCCCCCGAATTTGATGGCGATGAGGTAACTGCCGGGGGCCATGGGGGTGTAGCTGACCCGGAACCCCTCGGGGCACTCGTGGCACTCCATGGTCACCTTGGAGGGGCCCTCGATGGTCACGGCCAGAGCGCCCGGGCCCGCCTTGGACGTGTTCACCACGAACTCGGCCGGGGAGCCTGAGGGACACCCCGAAATCCACGGGAGCCTCATTGAGAAACCCCAAATTCCATGGGAGCCTCATTGAGAAACCCCAGTTCCATGGGAACCTCATTGAGAAACCCCAAATTCCATGGGAACCTCATTGAGAACCCCAAATTCCATGGGAGCCTCATTGAGAAACCCCAAATTCCATGGGAACCTCATTGAGAACCCCCCAGTTCCATGGGAGCCTCATTGAGAACCCCCCAGTTCCATGGGAGCCTCATTGAGAACCCCCCAACTCCATGGGAACCTCATTGAGAACCCCCCAATTCCATGGGAACCTCATTGAGAAACCCCAAATTCTATGGGAGCCTCATTGAGAACCCCCCAATTCCATGGGAATCTCATTAAAAAACCCCAAATTCTATGGGAGCCTCATTGAGAACCCCCAATTCCATGGGAGCCTCATTGAGAACCACCCAACTCCATGGGAGCCTCATTGAGAACCCCCAAATTCTATGGGAGCCTCATTGAGAACCCCTCAATTCCATGGGAGCCTCATTGAGAAACCCCAAGTTCCATGGGAACCTCATTGAGAACCCCTCAGTTCCATGGGAATCTCATTGAGAACCCCCCAGTTCCATGGGAACCTCATTGAGGAACCCCCAACTCCATGGGAACCTCATTGAGAACCCCCCAGTTCCATGGGAATCTCATTAAAAAACCCCAAATTCCATGGGAACCTCATTGAGAATCCCCCAACTCCATGGGAGCCTCATTGAGAACCCCCCCAATTCCATAGGAACCTCACTGAGAAACCCCCAATTCCATGGGAATCTCATTAAAAAACCCCCAATTCCATGGGAGCCTCATTGAGAACCCCCCAGTTCCATGGGAGCCTCATTGAGAACCCCCCAAATTCTATGGGAACCTCATTGAGAACCCCCCAGTTCCATGGGAACCTCATTGAGAAACCCCAAATTCCATGGGAACCTCATTGAGAAACCCCCAACTTCATGGGAACCTCATTGAGAACCCCCAGTTCCATGGGAGCCTCATTGAGAACCCCCCAGTTCCATGGGAATCTCATTGAGAAACCCCAAATTCCATGGGAGCCTCATCGAGAAACCCCCAGTTCCATGGGAACCTCATTGAGAACCCCCAAATTCCATGGGAACCTCATTGAGAAACCCCAAATTCTATGGGAACCTCATTGAGAAATCCCCAATTCCACGGGGTTCATTCAGACCCCACTGAGAAACCCCAAATTCCATGGGAATCTCATTGAGAACCCCCCAGTTCCATGGAGGGGGAGATTTGAACCCCAAATTTCATAGAAGGAGTTTGGACCCCACTGAGAACCCCCAAATTCCACAGAAGGAGGAGGTTAGACTACAATAAGAACCCCCAAATTCCATGGAAGGAGGTTGGACCCCACTGAGAACCCCAAATTCCATTGAAGGAGGGGTTTGAACCCCACTTTCTGTGGGGAGGGGGGTTCAGACTTCACTGAGAACCCCCAAATTCTGATTTTTTTCCCAAATTTCCCATTTTTTCCCCCAAAATTCCGTACCTGTGGTGCCGCCCTCCAGGCCAGGCCCGTAGGCCGAGACCAGGCCCGGATCCCTCCCAAATTCCCATTTTTTCCCCAGAAATTCCCATTTTTTCCCCCAAATTCACGGCACCTGTAGTGCCCCCAGCCCCATACCTCCCAAACTTTGATTTTTTCCCCAAAATTCCCATTTTTTCCCCCAAAATTCCGTACCTGTGGTGCCGCCCTCCAGGCCAGGCCTGTAGGCTAGGCCGAGACCAGGCCCAGATCCCTCCCAAATTCCCATTTTTTCCCCAGAAATTCCCATTTTTTCCCCCAAATTCCCGGTACCTGTAGTGCCCCCAGCCCCATAACCTCCCAAACTTTGATTTTTTCCCCAAAATTCCCATTTTTTTCCCCCAAAATTCCATACCTGTGGTGCCGCCCTCCAGGCCAGGCCTGTAGGCCGAGACCAGGCCCGGATCTCTCCCAGATTCCCATTTTTCCCCACAAATTCCCATTTTTTCCCCCAAATTCCCGATACCTGTAGTGCCCCCAGCCCCATAACCTCCCAAATTTTGATTTTTTCCCCAAAATTCCCATTTTTTCCCCCAAAATTCCGTACCTGTGGTGCCGCCCTCCAGGCCAGGCCCGTAGGCCGAGACCAGGCCTGGATCCCTCCCAAATTCCCATTTTTTTCCCAAAAATTCCCATTTTTTCCCCAAAATTCCACATCTGTTCTGCCCCCCCACACTGCCTCATCCCCTAAATTCCCATTTTTTCCCCAAATTTCCCATTTTTTCCCCCAAAATTCCGTACCTGTGGTGCCGCCTTCCAGGCCAGGCCCGTAGGCCGAGACCAGGCCCGGATCCCTCCCAAATTCCCATTTTTTTCCCAAAAATTCCCATTTTTTTCCCCAAAATTCCACATCTGTTCTGCCCCCCCACACTGCCTCATCCCCTAAATTCCCATTTTTTCCCCAAATTTCCCATTTTTTCCCCCAAAATTCCATACCTGTGGTGCCGCCCTCCAGGCCGGGCCCATAGGCCGAGACCAGGCCCGGATCCCTCCCAAATTCCCATTTTTTCCCCAGAAATTCCCATTTTTTCCCCCAAATTTCCGGTACCTGTAGTGCCCCCAGCCCCATAACCTCCCAAATTTTGATTTTTTCCCCAAAATTCTGATTTTTTCCCCCAAAATTCCGTACCTGTGGTGCCGCCCTCCAGGCCAGGCCCGTAGGCCGAGACCAGGCCCGGATCCCCGGCCTGGCCTGGCTCCCCCACCCGGACCTTGAAGGGGCTCCCGGGGATGTGGGAGCCCTCGAACTTCACGTCGATGGAGTAGACGCCGTTCTCCCGCGGGATGAAGCGCACGGCGTATTTGTCTGGGGAAAGGGAGCCCAAAATTGTCACAGAGACCCCAAAATCATCCCCGAAACTCCAGAAATCCCAAATTCCTGTGGGCGCATTTGTCTGGGGAAAGGGATTCCAAAATTATCCCTGAGATCCCAAAATTAATGCTGAAATTCCAGAAATCCCAAATTCCTGTGGGCGCATTTGTCTGGGGAAAGGGATTCCAAAATTATCCCTGAGATCGCAAAATCATCCCTGAAATTCCAGAAATCCCAAATTCCCACGGGATGAAGTGCATGGCGTATTTGCCTGGGAAAAGGGAGCCCAAAATTGTCACAGAGACCCCAAAATTGTCCCTGAGACCCCAAAATTAACGCTGAAATTCCAGAAATCCCGAATTCCTGCGGGCGCATTTGTCTGGGGAAATGGATTCCAAAATTGTCCCTGAGACCCCAAAATTGTCACTGAGACCCCCAAACCATCCCTGAACCCCCATTTTTATGGGAACAGGGCAGATTTTTAGGGAAGAATATGCCAATTTTGGGGTGGAATTTGATGATTTTGGGGTGAAATTTGCTGATTTTGCTGATTTTTGTAGGAAAGCCCCATTTTTGGGGGGATTTTTGGGGTGCAGCCACAGGTATTGGGGTGTCCCCCACCTGGGGTGACCCCAGAGCCATGACACCATCCCAGGGTGTGGAAATGGGGCAGATTTTGGGATGGAATTTGCTAATTTTGGGGCAGAATTTGCCGATTTTGGGCTAGAATTTGTGGAATTTTGTAGGAATGCCCCATTTTGGGGGGGATTTTTGGGGTGAACCCCAGGTTTGGGGGTGTCCCTCACCTGGGGTGACCTCGGAGATGTGGCACCACCCAGGGGGTGGAAAAGAGGTGAATTCTGAGGTGGGATTTGCTGATTTTGGGGCAGAATTTTCCGATTTTGGGGTGGAATTTGCTGATTTTTGTAGGAACACCCCATTTTTGGGAAGATTTTTGGGGTGAACTCCACATTTTGGGGTGTCCCTCACCTGGGGTGACCTCGACGATGTGGCACCACCCAAGGGGTGGGAACTGGGCAGATTCTGGGGTGAGATTTGCCAATTTTGAGGTGGAATTTGGCGATTTTGGGGTGGAATTTGCAGATTTTTGTAGGAAGGCCCCGTTTTTTGGGGGATTTTTGGGGTGCAGCCCAGGTTTTGGGGTGTCCCTCACCTGGGGTGACCTCGGAGATGTGGCACTCCTCCACGGCCCCCGAGGGGCTGTGCACTTTGGCGTCCAGGGCCCCCCGGGCCCCGTTGAGGCTGACGGCGAACGAGGCGGGCTGGTGAACCTTCAGCCCCGACTCCTGGGGGGACACGGGTCAGACACCCCAAAAAACCCCAAAAAACCCCAAAAAAACCCCAAAAAACCCCAAAAAACCCCAAAAAACCCCAAAAACGGGGCTGGGACCCCCCAAAAAACCCGGGGAAATCCCCCCCACCCCAACTCAAATCCCAAATTTGGGGAATTGGGGAAATGGTGGAGGAAATGGGGGAAAAAGGCAAAGAAAGAGGAAAAAAAGAAGAAAAAAGAAAAAAAAACAACAAAAAAAAAAAAAAAGAAAGAAAGAATCTGAAATAAAGAGAAAAAAAGAATGAAAACGCAAAGGAAATCCTAAAGGAATCGCCCAAAATGCAAAAGGAGCACAAAGGGAAAAGGCAAGAAAAAAATCCCAAAGAAATCTCCCAAAGAAAGGGAAAAAAGCAACAAAAAACCAAAAAAACAACCCTAAAGAAGTCCCCAAAACCCAAAAGAACCCCGAAGAAAGGGGAAAAAATTAAAAAAACAAAGAAAAGACAAAGAAAGAGATAAAAACTAAAAAATCCCAAAGAACCCCCCCCAAAAAAAACCTAAAGAGAAAGAACAACCAAAAAACCCACCCCAAAAACCCCCTAAAAAAACACAAAATAAACCTCAAAAAACCCCAAAGAAACAAAACAAAAAAAACCCTCCCAAAAACAACCCCACAAAAAACCCAAAATAAACCCCCAAAAAAACCAAAACCAACCCAAAACCTCCCAAAATAAAGGAATAAAATCCCAAAAAACCCTGAAAAAACCTCCCCAAAAATGCCCCAAAAAACCCAAAAGAAACCCCATAAAAACAAAAAAAAACAACTTTAAAAAACCCAAAAAACCTAAAAAAACCACAAAGAAACCCCAAAAAACAAGAAAAACCCAAAATAACCCCTCACAAAAAACCCCAAAAATATTCCCACCCCCTCCCCCAAAAATCTCCCAAAAAGGAAAAAAAACTCCCCCAAAAAAACCAGAAATCCCCAAAAATTCCCCCAAAAAAGCCCCAAAAATCCCAAAAAAAGCTCAAAAAATCCCCAAAAAAAGCTCAAAAAATCCCCCAAAAAGCCAAAAAATCCCCCCAAAAATCCCAGGGAAGCAGAACCAACCCAAATCTTCATCCCAAAAATTTTGGGGGGGTTGGAAAATCCCAAATCCTGATCCCAAGTATTTTTTTGGGGAGGGAAAACAACCCCAAATTCCCACCCCAAAAATCCCAGGGAGGGTTTGGACACCCCCAAATTCTCACCCCAAATATTTTGAGGTGAAAGAACCCCCCCCCAAAAAAAAACTCACCCCAAAAATTTTGGGAGGGTTGAAAAATCCTGAATTCCCACCCCAAATATCTTTGGGTAGGAGAACCCCCCCAAAAACCTCACCCCAAAAATTTTGGGAGGGGTTGGAAAATCCCAAAACCTCATCCCAAAAATTTTGGGAGAATTGGAAAATCCCAAAACCTCATCCCAAAAATTTTGGGAGGGCTGGAAAATCCCAAAACCTCATCCCAAAAATTTTGGGGGGGTTGGAAAATCCCAAATTCCCACCCCAAAAATTTTGGGTGGGAGAACCCCCATAAAACCCCCCCCCAAAATTTTTTGGGGGGTTGGAAAATCCCAAAACCCCAAAAATATTTTTTTGGGGGGAATTTTTTAGAAAACCCCAAATCCTGCCCTTAAAACCCCCTGGGGGAGCCCCAAACCCCAAAATCCCAAATTTTTTTTGGGATTCCCCCAAAATATCCCAATTTGGGGGTGGGGTTTGAGGGTCCCCAAAGGGGTGGGGGGAGATTTTGGGGTCCCCCCCTGGACCCCACTTACCTTGGGGGGCAGGGGGGGGTAACGGGAGCCAGCGGCGGCCCCGGCCCCGATTTTGGGGTTTTTTGGGGATTTTTGGGGCCGCTGGGTCCCGTTACCCCCCCGGCCCCCCCCTGTTCAAAGCCTTTATCAGAGACACGAGAGAGACCCCGGGACCCCCGGCCGGGGGGGCTGGGCCAGCGCAGGGACCCCCAAAACTGGCTGGAAATTCCTGAGCTGGGGTTGAAACCCTCAGTTCTGATCAAAAACCCTAAATTCTGCTTAAAAGCCTCATAAAATCTGATTAAAACTCCTAAATTCTGCTTCAAACCTCCTAAAATCTGACTAAAAACCCTAAATTCTGCTTAAAAGCCTCGTAAAATCTGATTAAAACCCCTAAATTCTGCTTCAAACCTCCTAAAATCTGATTAAAAACCCTAAATTCTGCTTAAAAGCCTCGTAAAATCTGATTAAAACCCCTAAATTCTGCTTCAAACCTCCTAAAATCTGATTAAAACCCCTAAATTCTGCTTCAAATCTCCTAAAATCTGATTAAACCTCTAAATTCTGCTTAAAAGCCTCGTAAAATCTGATTAAACCCCTAAATTCTGCTTAAAAGCCTCCTAAAATCTGATTAAAACCCCTAAATTCTGCTTCAAACCTCCTAAAATCTGACTAAAAACCCTAAATTCTGCTTCAAACCTCCTAAAATCTGACTAAAAACCCTAAATTCTGCTTAAAAGCCTCATAAAATCTGATTAAACTCCTAAATTCTGCTTCAAACCTCCTAAAATCTGATTAAAAACCCTAAATTCTGCTTAAAAGCCTCGTAAAATCTGACTAAAAACCCTTAATTCTGTTTAAAAGCCTCGTAAAATCTGATTAAATTCCTAAATTCTGCTTAAAAGCATCCTAAAATCTGCCTAAAACCCCTAAATTCTGCCTAAAAGCCTCGTAAAATCTGATTAAAACCCCTAAATTCTGCTTCAAACCTCCTAAAATCCGACTAAAAACCCTAAATTCTGCTTAAAAGCTTCGTAAAATCTGATTAAACCCCTAAATTCTGCTTCAAACCTCCTAAAATCTGCCTAAAACCCCTAAATTCTGCTTAAAAGCCTCATAAAATCTGATTAAACTCCTAAATTCTGCTTCAAAACCCTCAAAATCAGCTTCAGAACATCCAAAAATCTGCTTAAAAACTCCAAAAATCTGCTTAAAACCCATAAATTCTGCTAAAAATCCCTAAACTCTGCTAAAAAAAAGCCAAAAATCTGCTTAAAAACTTCCTAAATTCTGCTAAAAATCCCTAAATTCTGCTAAAAACCTCCTAAATTCTGCTTTAAAAACCCTAAGTTCTGTCTAAAACCCCTCAAAACCTGCTTCAAAACCCCAAAAACTGCCCCTAGAAACCCTAAATCCCTAAATCTCCTTACAGACTGGAAAACTGCCCCTACGGAGCCCAAAACTTCTCCTACAACCCCAAAACTGCCCCTAGAAATCCCAAAATCTGCCCCTAAAAACCCCAAAACTGCCCCTACAAACCCCAAAACCTCCTATAAACTCCAAATCTTCCCCTAAAAACCCAAAAACTGTCCCTAAAACCCCCAAAACTGCCCCTACAGACCCCAAATCTTCCTCTAAAACCCCCGAATCTTCTTCTATAAACCCCAAAAATTCACTACAAACCCCCAAACCTCCTATAAACCTCAAATCTTCCCCTAAAACCCCCAAAACTGCCCCTACAGACCCCAAATCTTCCCCTAAAAAACCCAAACCTTCACTACAGACCCCAAAAACTTCTCCTACAACCCCAAAACTGCCCCTACAAACCCCAAAACTTCCCCTAAAACCCCCAAACTTCACTACAGACCCCAAAACTGCCCCTACAAACCCCAAAATCTGTCCCTACAAACCCCAAACCTCCTATAAACCTCAAATCTTCCCCTAAAAACCCCAAAACTGCCCCTACAGACCCCAAAACTTCCCCTAAAACCCCCAAACTTCACTACAGACCCCAAAATCTGCTCCTAAAAACCCCAAAACTGCCCCTACAGACCCCAAATCTTCCCCTATAAACCCCAAATCTTCCCCTATAAACCCCAAACCTTCACTATAGACCCCAAAACTTCAATACAGACCCCAAAACTTCCCCTAAAACCCCAAATCTTCCCCTAAAAACCCCAAAACTGCCCCTACAGACCCCAAATCTTCCCCTACAAACCCAAACCAAACCCTACAAATCCCCGTGGGGGCTGCGCTGGCCGGGCCCCGCCGTGGCTCGGGGGGTTTCTGTGGTGTTTTTTTGGGGTTTTTTTTGGGTTTTTGGGGTCTCCAGGTGCCTCACCTGAAGGCTAGAAACAGTCAGGCGCCGCGCGGCGTCGCTGGGAGCCGCCGCCGTCACCACGAAGGGGCTCTCGGGGATGTGCTCGTCGTTGAACTTCACCGACACCTCGTAGTCACCTGCGGGGGGTGCGGGGTCAGGGCCAAAATCCCAAAAATCCTATCCCAAAAATCCCAAAAATCCCAAAAAAATCCCACCCCAAAAATCCCCTAAAACTCAGCTTTGTCCCCTCCCTGTCCCCTCTCTCGGGGATGTGCTCGTCGTTGAACTTCACCGACACCTCGTGGTCACCTGCGAGGGGTGCGGGGTCAGGGCCAAAATCCCAAAAATTCCATCCCAAAAACCCCAAAAATCCTGTCCCAAACTCCCCTAAAACTCAGCTTTGTCCCCTCCCTGTCCCCTCTCTCAGGGCTGTGCTCATTGTTGAATTCACCGACACCTCGTAGTCACCTGCGGGGGGTGCGGGGTCAGGGCAAAAATCCCAAAAATCCCATCCCAAAAACCCTAAAAATCCCAAAAATCCCACCCCAAAAACTCCTGAGACTCAGCTTTGTCCCCTCCCTGTCCCCTCTCTCAGGGATTTGCTCGTCGTTGAACTTCACCGACACCTCGCAGTCACCTGCGAGGGGTGCGGGGTCAGGGCAAAAATCCCAAAAATTCCATTCCAAAAATCCCAAAAATCCCAAAAATCCCACCCCAAAAATCCCCTAAAACTCAGCTTTCTCCCCTCCCTGTCCCCTCCCTGTCCCCTCTCTCGGGGATGTGCTCGTCGTTGAATTTCACCGACACCTCGTGGGCACCTGAGAGGGTTTGGGATAAGGGGAGGGGGTCTGACCCCAAAAACCCCATCCTAAAAACCCCAAAAATGTCACCCCAAAATCCCCCAAAACCCCAAAACCCCAAAAATGGCTCATCTGGCACTAAAACTCGGCTCTGTCCCCTCCCTGTCCCCTCTCTCGGGGCTGGTTTGTTCTTGAACTTCACCGGCACCTGTGACCCCAAAAACCCCAAATCCCATTAAAAAACCCAAATCCCATAAAAACCTGAATCCCTATAAAAACCCCCCAAAACCCCAAACCCCATAAAAACCCGAATCCCTATAAAAACCCCACAAAACCCCTAAACCGCCCGAAAACCTCAAACCCCATAAAAACTCTGTAAAACCCCAAACCCCATAAAAACCCCAAATCCCATACAACCCCCAAACCCCTTAAACCCCCATAAAACCTCACAAAAACCCTACAAAACCCCATAAAACCCCACAGAACCACCATAAAACCCCCCAAAACCCCAAACCCCACAAAAACCCCACAAAAAAACCCCAAAAAAGCCCCAAAACCGACCGGGTTCCTGCACCACGTAGGAGACCCCGCAGGATCCGTCCTTGTGGTCCTCGAAGGCGATCTCGGCCTTGCTGGGACCCTCGACGGCGATGGAGAGACCCCCGGCGCCGGCCTCGCGCGTCCAGATGCTGAACTCGGCTGGGGAGGGCAAAACGGGGGTCAGGGCACCCCAAAATCCTAAAAACCGCCCCAAAACCAGCCCCAAAACCCCATAAACCACCCCAAATACAGACAAACCCCATAAATTCCCCTATTAAGGACACAGAGACCCCCGGCGCCGGCCCCGCGCGTCCAGATGCTGAACTCGGCTGGGGAGGGGGAAAAGGGGGGGTCAGGGCACCCCAAAAACTGCTCTGACCCCAAAAACTACCCCAAAAATACCCCAAACACAGAAAAACTCCATAAACCCCATAAGTTCCCCTATAAAGGACACAGAGACCCCCGGCGCCGGCCTCGCGCGTCCAGATGCTGAATTCGGCTGGGGAGGGGAAAAAGGGGGGTCAGGGCACCCCAAAATCCTAAAATTTTTGGGGTGCTCACCAGGGCTCCCCCCCATTTCAGGATCTCCTCCAATTTCCGGGTCCCCATCCCAATTTTCCCAATTTCGGGGCGTTCACCGGGGTTGCCCCCCCAATTTTCACTGTCCCTCCCATTTTCAGTGTCCCCCCATCCCAATTTCAGGGTCCCCCACCCCATTTTCGGGGCGCTCACTGGGGCTGCCCCCCAATTTCAGTCTCCCCCCCAATTTTGGGGTACCCCATCCCAATCCCGGGGTCCCCATCCCAATTTTCCCGATTTCGGGGTGCTCACCGGGGCTGCCCCCCCCCATTCACTGTTCCCCCCAGATTTCGGGGTGCTCACCGGGGCTGCCCCCCAATCCCAATCCCAACCCCAATTTCGGGGTGTTCACCGGGGCTGCCCCCCAATTTCGGGGTTCCCATCCCAATTTTCCCGATTTCGGGGTGCTCACCGGGGCTGCCCCCCAATTTTGGGGTACCCCCCCAGATTTCGGGGTGCTCACCGGGGCTGCCCCCCATTGTCACTGTCCCCCACCCCAATTTCGGGGTCCCCATCCCAATTTCGGGGTCCCCATCCCAATTTTCCCGATTTCGGGGTGCTTACCGGGGCTGCCCCCCAATTTCAGTGTCCCCCCACCCCGATTTCGGGGTGCCCACCAGGGCTGCCCCCCAATTTCAGTCTCCCCCCCAATTTCGGGATCCCCATCCCGATTTCGGGGTGCTTACTGGGGCTGCCCCCCAATTTCAGTCCCCCCAATCCCCATCCCGATTTCGGGGTGCTCACCGGGGCTGCCCCCCATTGTCACTGTCCCCCCCAGTCCCATTTTCGGGGTGCTCACCGGGGCTGCCCCCCAATTTCGGGGTCCCCCCCCCGATCCCGGGGTGCTCACCGGGGCTGCCCCCCATTTTCAGTGTCCCCCATCCCATTTTCGGGGTCCCCACCCCAATTTCGGGGTCCCCATCCCAATTTCGGGGTACCCCCCCCAATCCTGGGGTGCTCACCGGGGCTGCCCCCCAATTTTGGGGTCCCCCCCCAATCCCGGGGTGCTCACCGGGGCTGCCCCCCAATCCTCCCCCCATTTTCGGGGTGCTCACCGGGGCTGCCCCCCAATTTCAGTCTCCCCCACCCCAATCCCGGGGTCCCCCCCCCAATCCCGGGGTGCTCACCGGGGCTGCCCCCCAATCCCAATCCCATTTTCGGGGTGCTCACCGGGGCTGCCGGCCTCGGCGCGCTCCAGCCCCGGCCCCCCGGCTCGGACCTTGTGTGCGCCGCCCTCGCCCAGCGGCCCCACGGTGAACTGGAAGGGGCTCCCGGGCACGTGCTGCCCCCGGTCCTTGACGCTGACCCGGTGCGCGCCCGTCTCCTGCGGCACGAAGCGCACCCCGACCGCGCCCCCGGCGCCGGGCAGCACCTGCGCCGCCACCGGCTGCCCCGAGGGGCCGGTCACCTGCGCCGAGACCTCCGAGACGGAGAGTTCTGGGGGAAAAAACGGGTTATTGGGGGAAAAAATGGGTTATTGGGGGGAAAAATGGGAAAAATGGTCAGTGTGGGATCGGTCACCTGCGCCGTGACCTCCGAGACGGAGAGTTCTGGGGGGAAAAACAGGTTATTGGGGGGAAAAATGGGAAAAATGGTCAGTGTGGGACCGGTCACCTGCGCCGTGACCTCCGAGACGGACAGCTCTGGGGAGAAAATGGGGAGAAAATGGGTTATTGGGGGAAAAATGGGGAAATAATGGGGAAAAAAATGGGTTATTGGGGGAAAAAATGGGTTATTGGGGGAAAAAATGGTCAGTGTGGGGCCGGTCACCTGCGCGGTGACGTCCGAGATGGACAGCTCTGGGGGAAAAAACAGGGGAAAATGGGGAAAAAACAGGAAAAAATTGGATTATTGATGGGAAATGGCCAATCTGGCACTGGTCAGCTGTGCTGTGACATCGAACACCGACAGCTCTGGGGGAAAATGGGGCAAAAACGGGTAAAAATGGTCAATGTGGGACTGGTCACCTGCACGGTGACATCCGAGACGGACAGCTCTGGGAGAAATGGGGGAAAAATGGGGAAAAATGGGTTATTGGGGGAAAAAATGGGGAAAAAATGGGTTATTGGGGGAAAAAATGGGGAAAAAATGGGGAAAAAATGGGTTATTGGGGGAAAAAATGGGAAAAATGGTCAGTGTGGGGCCGGTCACCTGCGCCGTGACGTCCGAGACGGACAGCTCTGGGGAGAAATGGGGAGAAAATGGGGAAAAAATGGGTTATTGGGGGAAAAAATGGGGAAAAAATGGGAAAAATGGTCAGTGTGGGACCGGTCACCTGCGCCGTGACGTCAGAGATGGACAGTTCTGGGGAGAAATGGGGGAAAAATGGGGTTATTGGGGGAAAAATGGGGAAAAAATGGTCAGTGTGGGACCGGTCACCTGCGCCGAGACGTCCGAGACGGACAGCTCTGGGGAGAAAAAATGGGGGAAAATGGGGAAAAAATGGGAAAAAATTGGATTATTGATGGGAAATGGCCAATTTGGCACAGGTCAGCTGTGCTGTGACATTGAACACTGACAGCTCTGGGGGAAAATGGGGCAAAAATGGGGAAAAATGGTCAATGTGGGACTGGTCACCTGCACCGCGACGTCAGAGATGGAGAGCTCTGGGAGAAATGGGGGGAAAATGGGGGAAAAACAGGGAAAAATTGAGTTTTTTGGGGACAAAATGGTCAGTGTGGGATTGTTCACCTGCGTGGTCACCTCAGACACGGAGAGTTCTGGGCAAAGAAGGGTAAAAAAAGGAAAAGGAAAAAACAAAAAAGGGGAAAAAGGGGGGCAGTGGTCTCTGGGGGACACTCAAGACCCCTCCAGGACCCCCCAAAACCCCCCCAGGGTAACTCAAGACCCTTCCAAGGACCCCCAAAACCCCCCCAGGTCATTCAAACCCCCCCCCAAGGACCCCCAAAACCCCCTCAGGTCACTCAAGACCCCTCCAGGACCCCCCAAAACCCCCTCAGGTCACTCAAGACCCTTCCAAGGACCCCCAAAACCCCCCCAGGTCATTCAAGACCCTTCCAAGGACCCCCAAAACCCCCCCAGGTCATTCAAACCGTCCCCCAGGACCCCCAAAACCCCCCAGGACCTGCCCGGAACACCTCCAGGGATGCTCAGGGACTCCCTGAAGCCTTTCAGGACCCCCTGAGGACCCCCCCCAGACCCCCCAGACCCCCCCAGGACCCCCCCCAGACCCCCCCCCAGGACCCCCCGGACCCTCACCCGGCATTTTGAGGCTGAGGTCGCAGGGGGTGCCCACGCTGGCCTCGGGGGGGGCGCGGCGCCGCCGGGTGATGCTCTCCCGCACGCGGCCCTCGCCCGTCACCTTCACCGAGAAGGGGCTCCCTGGGAGGGGGGGGGGGCTCAGGTGAGACCCCCAGAGCCCCCCCAAATCCCTCCGGAGCACCCCAAGTTACCCCAGGGTCCTCAGAGCCCCCCAGACCCCACAAATCCCCCCAGACTGCCCCAAATGAGGCTCCCCCAAATCGGGCACTTTCACCCAGAAGGGGCTGGGGGGGGGTGGGGTCAGTTGGGACCCCCCAAAACCCCCCCAGTCCCTCCCAGTCTCTCCCAGTACCCCTCCAGTGTCACTCTCTGTCCTTTTGCAGCCTCCCAGTGTCCCCCAGTCCCTCCCAGTGCCCCCAAATCCCCTCCCAGTGCCCCCCAATCCCCTTCCAGTCCCTCCCAGTATCCCCAAATCCTCTCCCAGTGTCCCCCAATCCCCTCCCAGTCACCCCAAATCCCCTCCCAGTCCCCCCAAATCCCTTCCCAGTGTCCCCCAATCCCCTCCCAGTCCTTCCCAGTGTCCCCCAGTCCTTCCCAGTGCCCCCCAATCCCCTCCCAGTCACCCCAAATCCCTTCCCAGTGTCCCCAAATCCCCTCCCAGTCCCTCCCAGTCCCTCCCAGTCCCCTCCCAGTCCCTCCCAGTGCCCCCGGTGCCCACCAGGCACGTGCTGGTCCCCGAACTTGACGGAGATGATGTAGTTGCCGGGCTCGGTGGGGCAGTAGGACACGCGGCAGGTGCCGTCCTCCAGCTCCTCCGTGGTGATGTCCACCTTGCTGGGGCCCTCGATGGACAGGCTCAGCCCCCCGTAGCCTGGGGGGGGGGGGAAAGGGTCAGGACAGACCCCAAAAAATCCACCCCAAAAACCCCAAATCCCAAAACCCCTATACTGTATTAAAAGCACCCGAAAATAACCACAAAAACCCCATAAAACACCCCCAGGAACCTCTCACTGGGCAGCTCAGCCCCCTGTACCTTGGGGGGGACACGGGGTCAGGACAGACCCCAAAAAACCCACCCCAAAAACCCCAAATCCCAAAACCCCTATACTATATTAAAAACACCCTAAAATAACCACAAAACCCCATAAAACACCCCCAGGAACCCCTCACTGAACAGGCTCAGCCCCCCGTAGCCTGGGGGGGGGCACAGGGTCAGGACAGACCCCGAAAAATCCACCCCAAAAACCCCAAATCCCAAAATCTCCCAGTACAAAAAAGTGTCCCCAACCCCCTCCCGGTCCCTGTCCCAGTCCCGGTCCCAGTCCCGGTCCCAGTCCATCCCAGTCCCAGTCTGTCCCAGCCTGTCCCAGTTCCAGTCTCAGTCCCCCCAGTCTCTCCCAGTCCCAGTCCGTCCCAGTCCCAGTCCCAGTCCTGGTCCCCGTCCCAGTCCCGGTCCCAGTTCCAGTTCCAGTCCCAGTTCCAGTTCCAGTTCCAGTTCCAGTTCCAGTTCCAGTTCCAGTTCCAGTCCCAGTCCCAGTCCCAGTCCATCCCAGTCCCAGTCTGTCCCAGTGTGTCCCAGTGTGTCCCAGTGTGTCCCAGTCCCGGTCCCTGTCCCAGTCCCTGTCCCAGTCCATCCCAGTCCCAGTGTGTCCCAGTCTGTTCCAGTTCCAGTCCCAATCCCCCCAGTGGCCCCAGTCCCCCCAGTCCCTCCCAGTGCCCCCAGTCCCCCCAGTCCCTCCCAGTCCCCCCAGTCCCTCCCAGTGCCCCCAGTGCCGCTCTCACCGGCCTGGCGGGTGTCGATGGTGAACTGGGCGGGCTGGAACGTGGTGCCCAGTCCGTCCCAGTCTGTCCCAGTCTGTCCCAGTCTGTCCCAGTTCCCCCAATCCCCCCAGTCCCTCCCAGTCCCCCCAGTCCCCCCAGTGCCCCCAGTCCCGCTCTCACCGGCCTGGCGGGTGTCGATGGTGAACTGGGCGGGCTGGAACGTGGTGCCCAATCCCAGTCTGTCCCAGTCTGTCCCAGTCTGTCCCAGTCTGTCCCAGTCTGTCCCAGTCTGTCCCAGTCCCAGTCCCAGTCTGTCCCAGTCCCAGTGCCCCCAGTCCCTCCCAGTCCCCCCAGTGTCCCGCTCTCACCGGCCTGGCGGGTGTCGATGGTGAACTGGGCGGGCTGGAACGTGGTGCCAGTCCCAGTCCCAGTCCCAGTCTGTCCCAGTCCCAGTCTGTCCCAGTCTGTCCCAGTTTCCCCAGTCCCTCCCAGTCCCTCCCAGTCCCTCCCAGTCCCGCTCTCACCGGCCTGGCGGGTGTCGATGGTGAACTGGGCGGGCTGGAACGTGGTGCCCTCGCTCAGGCCGGGCCCGCGCAGCCGCACCCGGGAGGCGTCGCCGAGCTCGGCCTGGCTGATGGTGACGGACACGGGACTGCGCGGCAGCGGCTGTCCCCCCCTGGTGACATGGACCAGGTGCTCCCCGACCTCCTGGGGCACAAACGAGATCCCTGCGGGGACAGGGACAGTCAGGGGACAGGGACATGGACACAGGGACAGGACATGTCACACAGGGACAAGGACATGGCACACACGGGGACATGGAACACACAGGGACACAGGACAGCGGCTGTCCCCCCCGGGTGACATGGACCAGGTGCTCCCCCACCTCCTGCGGCACAAACGAGATCCCTGCGGGGACAGGGACAGTGACATGTCACACACAGGGACACAGGGACAGCGGCTGTCCCCCCCTGGTGACATGGACCAGGTGCTCCCCGACCTCCTGGGGCACAAACGAGATCCCTGCGGGGACAGGGACAGTGACATGTCACACACAGGGACACAGGGACATGGACAGTGAGGGGACAGGGACACACAGGGACATGGCACACACAGGGACAGGGACACAGGGACACAGGGACACAGGACAGCGGCTGTCCCCCCCTGGTGACATGGACCAGGTGCTCTCCGACCTCCTGGGGCACAAACGAGATCCCTGCGGGGACAGGGACAGTGAGAGGACAGGGACATGTCACACACAGGGACACAGGGACATGGCACACACAGGGACACAGGACAGCGGCTGTCCCCCCCGGGTGACATGGACCAGGTGCTCCCCCACCTCCTGGGGCACAAACGAGATCCCTGCAGGGATGGGAAATGTCACACAGGGACAGGGACATGTCACACACAGGGACAGGGACATGTCACACACAGGGACACAGGACAGTGGCTGTCCCCCCCTGGTGACATGGACCAGGTGCTCCCCGACCTCCTGGGGCACAAACGAGATCCCTGCGGGGACAGGGACACAGGGACACAAGGACAGGGACACAGGGACATGTCACACACAAGGACATGTCACACACAGGGACACCAGCCAGGGATGGGGACACAGGACACGGGGACAGGGATAGTGACACAGGTTACAATGTCCCCAGTGTCCCCAATGTCCCCAATGTCCCCAAAGGTGTCCCCTCACCCAGGTGGCCGTCCCGCAGCCGTTTCAGCGAGCAGGGCTCTGTGTCCCCAATGTCCCCAGTGTCCCCAATGTCCCCAAAGGTGTCCCCAATGTCCCCAATGTCCCCAATGTCCCCTCACCCAGGTGGCCGTCCCGCAGCCGTTTCAGCGAGCAGGGCTGTGTGTCCCCAGTGTCCCCAATGTCCCCAAAGGTGTCCCCGGTGTCCCCTCACCCAGGTGGCCGTCCCGCAGCCGTTTCAGCGAGCAGGGCTGTGTGTCCCCAGTGTCCCCAATGTCCCCAAAGGTGTCCCCAGTGTCCCCTCACCCAGGTGGCCGTCCCGCAGCCGTTTCAGCGAGCAGGGCTCTGTGTCCCCAGTGTCCCCAGTGTCCCCAATGGTGTCCCCAATGTCCCCAAAGGTGTCCCCTCACCCAGGTGGCCGTCCCGCAGCCGTTTCAGCGAGCAGGGCTGTGTGTCCCCAGTGTCCCCAATGTCCCCAAAGGTGTCCCCAGTGTCCCCTCACCCAGGTGGCCGTCCCGCAGCCGTTTCAGCGAGCAGGGCTGTGTGTCCCCAGTGTCCCCAATGTCCCCAAAGGTGTCCCCAGTGTCCCCTCACCCAGGTGGCCGTCCCGCAGCCGTTTCAGCGAGCAGGGCTCTGTGTCCCCAGTGTCCCCAGTGTCCCCAATGGTGTCCCCAATGTCCCCAAAGGTGTCCCCTCACCCAGGTGGCCGTCCCGCAGCCGTTTCAGCGAGCAGGGCTGTGTGTCCCCAATGTCCCCAATGTCCCCAATGTCCCCAAAGGTGTCCCCTCACCCAGGTGGCCGTCCCGCAGCCGTTTCAGCGAGCAGGGCTGTGTGTCCCCAATGTCCCCAATGTCCCCAATGTCCCCAATGTCCCCTCACCCAGGTGGCCGTCCCGCAGCCGTTTCAGCGAGCAGGGCTGTGTGTCCCCAGTGTCCCCAATGTCCCCAAAGGTGTCCCCTCACCCAGGTGGCCGTCCCGCAGCCGTTTCAGCGAGCAGGGCTCGCGCCGGCCCGAGGGCGCGGTGACGGTGGCGCTCAGCTGGCTCAGGTCACTCTCGCCGATGTCCAGCGGGATCTCGGCCGAGGCGCCCACCTTGAGGTGGGACTGGCGCAGGGAATCGTCACCTGCGGGGACAGCCAGGGGTCAGAGGGGACAGCCAGGGGTCAGCGGGGACAGCAGGGACACCCAGGGGTCAGCGGGGCACCCAGGGGTCAGTGGGGCACCCAGGGGTCAGCGGGGGCACCCTGGGGTCAGCGGGGACAGCCAGGGGTCAGCGGGGACAGCCAGGGGTCAGAGGGGACAGCAGGGACAGCCAGGGGTCAGTGGGGCACCCAGGGGACATCCAGGGGTCAGCGGGGCACCCAGGGGACATCCAGGGGTCAGCGGGGACATCCAGGGGTCAGCGGGGACAGCCAGGGGTCAGAGGGGACAGCCAGGGGTCAGCGGGGCACCCAGGGGTCAGAGGGGGCACCCTGGGGTCAGCAGGGGCACCCAGGGGTCAGCGGGGGCACCCAGGGGTCAGCGGGGCACCCAGGGGTCAGAGGGGTCACCCAGGGGTCAGCAGGGTCACCCAGGGGTCAGCGGGGCACCCAGGGGTCAGCGGGGCACCCAGGGGTCAGAGGGGGCACCCTGGGGTCAGCAGAGGCACCCAGGGGTCAGTGGGGACAGCCAGGGGTCAGCGGGGACAGCCAGGGGTCAGAGGGGACAGCCAGGGGTCAGCAGGGCACCCAGGGGTCAGCGGGGCACCCAGGGGTCAGCAGGGCACCCAGGGGTCAGAGGGGACAGCCAGGGGTCAGCGGGGCACCCAGGGGTCAGCGGGGCACCCAGGGGTCAGAGGGGACAGCCAGGGGTCAGCGGGTCACCCAGGGGTGACTCAGGGGTCACCTAGGGGTCACCCAGGGGTCAGTGGATCAGCCCAGGGTGACAATGGGGACACCAGGGGGACACCAGGGTAATTTTGGGGGGATTTTTGGGGGTTTTTCTGTTTTCACCGATGATCCTGGTCCCAGTGATGTGCCAGTGAGCCCAGGGCAGCGTTTTGGGTGTTTTTTTGTGCATTTTTTCCAATTTTTTCCCATTTTTTCCCATTTTTTCAGTTTTTTTTTATTTTTTTCCCAATTTTGCCGTTTTTTACCCGTGATCCTGGCGGTGAAGGGGCTCCCGGCGATGTGCCAGTGAGCCCAGGGCAGCGTTTTGGGTGGTTTTTTGTGCATTTTTTCCCATTTTTTCCCATTTTTTCCCATTTTTCCCCATTTTTTCAGGATTTTTTCCTGTTTTTTCCCAATTTTGCCGTTTTTTACCTGTGATCCTGGCTGTGAAGGGGCTCCCGGCGATGTGCCAGTGAGCCCAGGGCAGCGTTTTGGGTGGTTTTTTGTGCATTTTTTCCCATTTTTTCCCATTTTTTCAGTTTTTTTTTAGTTTTTTCCCAATTTTGCTGTTTTTTACCTGTGATTCTGGCAGTGAAGGGGCTCCCCGCGATGTGCCAGTGAGCCCAGGGCAGCGTTTTGGGTGTTTTTTTGTGCATTTTTCCCCATTTTTTCCCATTTTTTCCCATATTTTCCCATTTTTTCCCATTTTTTCAGGATTTTTTCCCGTTTTTTCCCAATTTTGCCGTTTTTTACCCGTGATCCGGGCTGTGAAGGGGCTCCCGGCGATGTGCCAGTGAGCCCAGGGCAGCGTTTTGGGTGTTTTTTTGTGCATTTTTTCCCATTTTTTCCCATTTTTTCAGTTTTTTTTCCTGTTTTTTCCCAATTTTGCCGTTTCTCACCCGTGATCCTGGCGGTGAAGGGGCTCCCAGCGATGTGTCACTGAGCCCAGGGCAGCGTTTTGGGTGGGTTTTTGTGCATTTTTTCCCATTTTTTCCCATTTTTTCCCATTTTTTCCGTTTTTTTCCGGTTTTTTCATTTTTTTTTATATTTTTTTCCCAATTTTGCCGTTTCTCACCCGTGATCCTGGCTGTGAAGGGGCTCCCCGCGATGTGCTTGTCGTTGTACTTGACCACGATGCCGTAGTCCCCGGGCAGCACCGGCAGGTAGGACACGGAGCAGGTCCCGTCCCCGTTGTCCTGGCAGCTGATCTCGGCCTTGGAGGGACCCTCGACGGCCAAGGACAGTCCCCCTGGGGACATGGGGACATGGGGACAGGTTAGGGGACAGGGACAGCCCCCCTGGGACACGGGGACATGGGGACAGGTTAGGGGACAGGGACAGCCCCCCTGGGGACATGGGGACATGGGGACACGTCAGGGGACATGTCAGGGGACAGGGACAGCCCCCCTGGGACATGGGGACATGGGGACACGTTAGGGGACAGGGACAGCCCCCCTGGGGACATGGGGACACGTCAGGGGACATGTTAGGGGACAAGGACAGTCCCCCTGAGACATGGGGACATGTTAGGGGACATGTCAGGGGACAAGGACAGTCCCCCTGGGACATGGGGACATGGGGACACGTCAGGGGACATGTCAGGGGACAGGGACAGCCCCCCTGGGACATGGGGACAAGGACAGGGTCAGGGACAGGGACAGGGACAGGGACAGGGACAGCCCCCCTGGGGACATGGGGACATGGGGACAGGTTAGGGGACAAGGACAGCCCCCTGGGACAAGGGGACAAGGGGACACGTCAGGGGACAGGGACAGCCCCCCTGGGGACACGGGGACAGGGACAGGGTCAGGGGACATGTCAGGGGACAGGGACAGCCCCCCTGAGACATGGGGACATGTTAGGGACATGGGGACATGTTAGGGGACAAGGACAGCCCCCCTGGGGACATGGGGACAAGGACAGGGTCAGGGGACAGGGACAGGGTCAGGGACATCCCCCCTGGGGACACGGGGACATGGGGACACGTCAGGGGACAGGGCCAGGGCCAGGGCCAGGGACAGCCCCCCTGGGGACACGGGGACAGGGACAGGGTCAGGGGACAGGGACAGGGTCAGGGACAGGGACAGGGGACACGGACAGGGACAGGGGACAGGGGACAGGGACAGGGACAGGGACAGGGACAGGGACAGGGGACGGGGTCAGGGGTCAGGGGACAGCGCCAGGGCCCGGTGTCACCGTCCCACCCTCGCCCGCGTCCTTGGTGTTGACGGTGAAGGCCGCCGGGCGGTTGACGGTGCCGTGGGTCAGGCCGGGGCCGTAGGCGGTGACGTGGCCGCTGTTCACGTAATCCACGTAGAACTGCAGGGGGCTGCCTGGGGGGGGACAATGGGGACACCGGGGGGTCACAGCGGGTCCTGACCCCCCAACAGTGTCCCCAGACTGTCCCCAAACTGTCCCCAAACTATCCATGGGGACAGTGACACCAAAACCCCCCAAAAGTCACCTCTGAGTGACCCCATGACCCACACAGAACTGCAGGGGCTGCCTGGGGGGGGACAATGGGGACACCGGGGGGTCACAGCGGGTCCTGACCCCCCAACAGTGTCCCCAGACTGTCCCCAAACTGTCCCCAAACTATCCATGGGGACAGTGACACCAAAACCCCCCAAAAGTCACCTCTGAGTGACCCCATGACCCACACAGAACTGCAGGGGCTGCCTGGGGGGGACAATGGGGACACCGGGGGGGTCACAGCGGGTCCTGACCCCCCAAAATGTCCCCAAACTGTCCCCGAATCCTCCATGGGGACAGTGACCCAAAAAAACCCCCCAAAAGTCACCTCTGAGTTACCCCATAACCCACACAGGACTGCAGGGGCTGCCTGGGGGGCTTTTTTTGCCCTCAACCCCCCCAAAACCCCCCAAAACCCCCCAAAACCCCCCAAACCCGGCCTTGGCTGCTCTCCCGGGGTTCCAAACACCACCATGTTCTTCTAAAGCCGAAAAACCCCCCAAAAAAAATCCCCAAAATGCCCCAAATTCCCATACCAGGGATGTGGATGCTGTCGCAGCGAATGTCCATCTCGTGCAGCCAAAACTCCCCAAAACCACCCCAAAACTCTCCAAAACTCCCCAAAACCACCCCAAAACTCTCCAAAACTCCCCAAACCCACCCCAAAACTCCCCCAAACCACCCCAAAAATCCCCAACCTCCCTCAAATCCCACTCAAATCCCACTCAAAACCCCCCAAACCCCCCAAATCCCCCCAAACCCCCGTACCAGGGATGTGGATGCTGTCACAGCGAATGTCCATCTTGTGCAGCCAAAACCCCCCAAAACCACCCCAAAACTCCCCAAAACCACCCCAAAACTCCCCAAAACCCCCCAAATCCCCCCAAAACCACCCCAAATCCCCCCAAAACCCCCCAAATTCCCGTACCAGGGATGTGGATGCTGTCGCAGCGAATGTCCATCTCGTGCAGCCAAAACTCCCCAAAACCACCCCAAAACCACCCCAAAACCCAGCCTTGGCTGCTCTCCTGGGGTTCCCAACACCCCCAAACCCCCCAAACCCCCCAAACCTCCCAAAATGAGGGCTGTGGATGCCGTACCAGGGATGTGGATGCTGTCGCAGCGAATGTCCATCTCGTGCAGCCAAAACTCCCCAAAACCCCCCCAAAACCACCCCAAAACCCCCCAAATCCCCCCAAATCCCCCCAATCCCCCCAAAATCCCCGTACCAGGGATGTGGATGCTGTCACACCGGATGTCCATCTCGTGCAGCCAAAACTCCCCAAAACCACCCCAAAACTCCCCAATCCCCCCAAAATCCCCCCAAAACCCCCAAACTCCCATACCAGGGATGTGGATGCTGTCACAGCGAATGTCCATCTCATGCAGCCAAAACTCCCCAAAACCACCCCAGAACTCCCCAAAACCCCCCCAAATCCACCCCAACCTCCCCTCAAATCCCACTCAAAACCCCCCAAACCCCCCAAATCCCCCCAAACCCCCCAAACCCCCATACCAGGGATGTGGATGCTGTCACAGCGAATGTCCATCTCGTGCAGCCAAAACTCCCCAAAACCCCCCAAATCCCCCCAAACCCCCCAAATCCCCCCAAATCCCCCAAACCCCCATACCGGGGATGTGGATGCTGTCGCAGCAAATGTCCATCTCGTGCAGCCAAAACTCCCCAAAACCACCCCAGAACTCCCCAAAATCACCCCAAAACTCCCCAACCTCCCCTCAAATCCCCCCAAATCCCCCCCAAATCCCCCCAAACCCCCCAAACCCGTACCAGGGATGTGGATGCTGTCACAGCGAATGTCCATCTCGTGCAGCCAAAACTCCCCAAAACCACCCCAGAACTCCCCAAACCCCCCCAAATCCCCCAAAACTCCCCAAAACCACCCCAAAACTCCCCAAAACCACCCCAAAACTCCCCAAAACCACCCCAAATCCCCCCAAACCCCCCAAAACTCCCCAAATCCCCCCAAAATCCCCATACCAGGGATGTGGATGCTGTCACACCGAATGTCCATCTCATGCAGCCAAAACTCCCCAAAACCACCCCAGAACTCCCCAAAACCCAGCCTTGGCTGCTCTCCTGGGGTTCCCAACACCCCCAAATCCCCCCAAATCCCCCCAAACCCCCCAAACCCCCATACCAGGGATGTGGATGCTGTCACAGCGAATGTCCATCTCGTGCAGCCCCGCCTCGCTGGGCGCGAAGCGCACGGTCACTGTCCCGTCCTTGTTGTCCGTGATGTCCGGAGTGGCCACTTTGCCCGAGGGCATCCGCACCTCACCTGGGGACAGCGCGGTCACCTGGGGGGCTGGGGCACCTGGGGGGGGGCTGGGGACACCTGGGAGGGGTTGGGGACATCTGGGGGCACCTGGGGGCACCTGAGTGGGGCTGGGGACACCTGGGGACACCTGGGCACACCTGGGGGCACTTGGGGACACTTGGGGATACCTGGGGACACCTGGGACACCTGGGGACAGCTGGGGGCACCTGGGGGCACTTGGGGACACTTGGGGATACCTGGGGACACCTGGGACACCTGGGGACAGCTGGGGGCACCTGGGAGGGGCTGGGGATACCTGGGGGCACTTGGGGGCACTTGGTGGCACCTGGGGACACCTGGGAGGGGCTGGGGACACCTGGGGGCACTTGGGGACACCTGGGGACACTTGGGGACACCTGGGCACACCTGGGGACATCTGGGAGGGGTTGGGGACACCTGGGGACACCTGGGGACACCTGGGACACCTGAGTACAGCTGGGGACATCTGGGTGGGGCTGGGGACACCTGGGCACACCTGGGGACACCTGGGGACACCTGGGGGCACTCAGAGGTACTTTTGGGCGGATTTTGGGCTGTTTAAGGCTGATCTGGGGACGATTTTTGGGTGTTTCGGAGGAGTTTTTGGAATGTTTTTGGCTGTTTCAGGGGAGATTTTGGAGGGGATTTTTGGGGTGGCTTTTGGGCGGTTTGGACTCGTTTTGGGCTGGTTTTGAGGTGGTTTTGGGCTGATTTTTGGGCTGGTTTGGACTTTTTCTGGGCTGGCTTTTGAGATTTTTTTGGCTGCTTTTTTGAGATGCTTTTGAGGTATTTTTGGGGTGGTTTTGAAATATTTTTGGGCTGGTTTTGAGGTGGTTTGGGGCTGATTTTTGGGCCGGTTTGGAATCATTTTGGGCTGGCTTTTGAGATGGTTTTGGGCTGGTTTTGAGGGTATTTTCGGGCTGGTTTTGAGGTGGTTTTGAGGGTATTTTCGGGCTGGTTTTGAGGTGGTTTTGGGCTGTCTTTGAGGGTATTTTCAGGCTGGTTTTGAGGGTATTTTCGGGCTGGTTTTGAGGTGGTTTTGGGCTTTCTTTGAGGGTATTTTCGGGCTGGTTTTGAGGGTATTTTTGGGCTGGTTTTGAGGGTATTTTCGGGCTGGTTTTGAGGGTATTTTCGGGCTGGTTTTGAGGTGGTTTTGGGCTGGTTTTGAGGGTATTTTCGGGCTGGTTTCAAGGTGGTTTTGAGGGTATTTTCGGGCTGGTTTTGAGGCTATTTTCGGGCTGGTTTTGAGGTGGTTTTGGGCTGATTTTTGGAGCCATTTTCAGAGCTATTTTGACCTGACTTTGAGGTATTTTTGGGCCGATTTTGGGGACCCCCCAGCCCCCGAGTTGGGGTGTCCCCCTCACCTGTGATCTCGCCCTTCTTGATGGTGAAGGGGATGACGAGGTCGAAGGGCCGCAGCCCGGCCATGTCCAGCCCGTTGACCCCCAGCAGCGGCCGGTCCGTGGCCTGGGGGGCACCGAGAGGGTCAGCACAGCCCCACCAACCCCCAGCCCCACGCTGCACCCCAAATTCCCCACTCTGCACCCCAAATTCCCCATCCCCCCTTTTTATCCCATTTTTCCCCTTTCCCCCTCTGTTTTTCCCCATTTTTTCCCCATTTTTTCCCCGTTTTTTCCCATTTTCCCCCCTTTCCCCCTCTATTTTTCCCCATTTTTTCCCATTTTGCTCCCCCTTCCCCCTCTATTTTTCCCCATTTTTTCCCTATTTCCACTGTTTTTTCCCCCTTTTCTCCCCATTTCACTCACCATCACCTGGAAGGGGCTGTTTGGGATCCTTTTTCCCCCCCAGTCCCACAATCTTTACCTAATTTTTCCCAATTTTTCACCCCAAATTCCCTATTTCCACCCCATTTTACCAATTTTCTCCCTATTTCTCCACTCACCATGACCTAGAAGAAGCTGTTGGGGATGTGCTCCCTCCAAAACATACAAAATTCCCCATTTTTACCCCCATAATTCCCATATTTACCCCATTTACTCCCATTTTTCCCCAGTTTTTTCCCCATTTTTTCCCATTTTTACCCCATTTTTTCCCATTTTCTCTCAGTTTTTTCCCATTTCCTCCCCATTTCACCCCGTTCCTCACTCACCATGACCTGGAAGGGGCTGTTGGGGATGTTCTCCCTCCCAAACCTCACGCAGATCACAGATTTCACTCGATATCCCCATTTTTACCCTGTTTTCTCCCATTTTTTCCCCGTTTTTACCCCATTTTCCCCCCGTTTCTCCCCGTTCCTCACTCACCATGACCTGGAAGGGGCTGTTGGGGATGTTCTCCCTCCCAAACCTCACACAGATCACAGATTTCACTCCATATCCCCATTTTCACCCCGTTTTTTCCCATTTTCCCCCCATTTTTACCCTGTTTTCTCCCATTTTTACCCCATTTTTCCCCATTTTTTCCCATTTTCCCCCCGTCCCTCACTCACCATGACCTGGAAGGGGCTGTTGGGGATGTGCTCCCCCCCGAACCTCATGCAGATCACAGATTTCACTCCATATCCCCATTTTTACCCCATTTTTTCCCATTTTTACCCCATTTTTTCCCATTTTCCCCCCGTTTCTCCCCATTTCTCACTCACCATGACCTGGAAGGGGCTGTTGGGGATGTGCTCCCCCCCGAACCGCACGCAGATGACGTATTTGCCGGGCTGGGGCGCGGTGTAGAAGATGTCGAAGGTGCCGTCGGGGTTCTCCACCACGTCCACGTCCACCTCGGAGCCGTCGGGCGTGCACACCGAGCAGGTGACCTTGCCCTTGCCGGCCGCCTTGGCGTCCACCGTGATCAGCGTCTGCTCGCCCAGCTGGATGGTGGGGCCCAGGCCCGGTCCTGCGGGAGCCCCAAAACGGGGTCAGGAGCCCCAAAATGGGGCCAGGAGCCCCAAAAATGGGGTCAGGAACCCCAAAACGAGACCCATCTGAGGACATCTGGAACAGGAACCCATTGAGAACCCCAAAACAGGATCAGGAACCCCAAAACGGGGCCAGGAATCCCAAAATGGGACCGGGAACCCCAAAACAGGAGCAGGAACTCCAAAACAGGACCGGGAAACTCAAAATGGGATGAGAAACCCCAAAATGGGGCTGAGAATTCCAAAATGGGTCAGGAACCTCAAAATGGGACCAGGAACCCCAAAATGAGACCCATCTGAGGACATCTGGAACAGGAACCCATTGAGAACCCCAAAACAGGATCAGGAACCCCAAAACGGGGGCCGGGAACCCCAAAATGTGACCAGGAACCTCAAAATGTGACCAGGAACCTCAAAACAGGAGCAGGAACTCCAAAACGGGACCGGGAAACTCAAAATGGGATGAGAAACCCCAAAATGGGGTCAGGAACCCCAAAATGGGGCTGGGAATCCCAAAACGGGGCCAGGAACCCCAAAATGGGGCTGGGAACCTCAAAATGGGGCCGGGAACCCCAAAATGGGTCAGGAACCTCAAAATGGGACCAGGAACCCCAAAATAGGACCCATTTGGGGATATCTGGAACAGGAACCCACTGGGTCTCCATCATTAACTGAGATCATGGGGGTCTCCCATCATTAATTTTGGGGAGTCTCTCATTAATTGAGATCATGGGGGTCTCCCATCATTAATTTTGGGGAGTCTCTCATTAATTGAGATCATGGGGGTCTCCCATCATTAATTTTGGGGAGTCTCTCATTAATTTAGATCATGGGGGTCTCCCATCATTAATTTTGGGGAGTCTCTCATTAATTGAGATCATGGGGGTCTCCCATCATTAATTTTGGGGAGTCACTCATTAATTGAGATCATGGGGGTCTCCCATCATTAATTTTGGGGAGTCTCTCATTAACTGAGATCATGGGGGTCTCCCATCATTAATTTTGGGGAGTCTCTGATTAATTTGGATCATGGGGGTCTCCCATCATTAATTTTGGGGGCTCCCCATTAATTGAGTTTGGGGCTCCCTCACCAATAATCCTGGGGGGGGGTCCCCATGATTTAACTTGGGTTCCCCCCACCCCAAACCCCCTGCCAACCCATCCCTCCCCCCGTCCCCCGTTGCCCCCCGTTCCCCTCATGCAGGGCCGTTTTTGGGGTGCGAGGGGGGCTGGATTTTGGGGTGCCAAGGGGGGTTTTGGCCATGCTCCCCCCCAAACCAAGCCGTGCTCTTACCTAAGCCGTGACCTCCGATGGAAACTACAGCGTGGGGGGGTGGGCGTGGGGGGGTGGGCGTGGGGTGGGGTGGGCAGAGAAGCAAGAAATCCAGTGAGACACAGCCGTGAGACCCCCAAAAACCCCCGAAACCCCCCAAAATCCCCCAAAACACCCCAAAAATCCCCTTTTCCTCCCCTTAGTGCAGCCGTGCCCCTTTCCCGGCAGGGTTGTGCCCCCCCCTATTCCTGAGGGGGTTTTTGTGATGGTTTCTCCCATTCCTGAGGTGGTATCCCCCATTATGGGGGGGTGGGGGGGGTTCCCATGTAGTTTTGGGGGGTGTTTTTTTCCCATTTTTGAGGTGTTTCCTCCCAATTTCGGGGGGTTTTCCCCCATTTCGGGGCTCACCGGTGACCGTGCACTTGCTGGCGTCGCCGGTGGGCACGGCGCGGATGCGGTAGGGGGAATAGGGGATCTCGTCCCCCCCGTATTTGATGAGGATGGTGTAGCGCCCCGTCATGTCCGGCACGTAGGACACGGTGTAGGTGCCGTCCTGATTGTCCCGGATCGAGGCTTTCTTGGGCTTCCCCTCGGGGTCCTGAGGGGAAACAGCGGGAATTGCGGCCATTGGGGAGGTGAGAATGGGAATTTGGGCACTTCGGGGTGTGGGGTTGGATTTTGGGGCTGGGAAAAAGGATTCCAGAGATCCCAGGTGGGGTCAAGATCTCCTAGGATTCTCCTCAGGATCCTGAGGGGAAAAGGTTTTTCCTGAGGGGAAAAAGTGGGAATTTCGGCCATTGGTGAGGTGAAAATGGGAATTTGGGCAGTTGATGAGGTGAGAATGGGAATTTTGGCACTTCGGGGTGTGGGGCTGGATTTTGGGGCTGGGAAAAAGGATTCCAGACATCCCCGGTGGGGTCAAGATCTCCTAGGTATCTCCTCAGGATCCTGAGGGGAAAAGGTTTTTCCTGAGGGGAAAAAGTGGGAATTTCGGCCATTGGTGAGGTGAAAATGGGAATTTGGGCAGTTGATGAGGTGAGAATGGGAATTTGGGCAGTTCGGGGTGTGGGGTTGGATTTTGGGGCTGGGAAAAAGGATTCCAGAGATCCCCGGTGGGGTCAAGCTCTCTTAGGATTCTCCTCAAGATCCTGAGGGGAAAAGGCTTTTCCTGAGGGGAAAAAGAAGGAATTTGGGCAGTTGGTGAGGTGAGAATGGGAATTTGGGCAGTTTTCAGTGTGGGGTCGGATTTCAGGGCTGCAAAAAAGGATCTCAGAGTTCCCGGGTGGGGTCAAGCTCTCTTAGGATTCTCCTCAGGATCCTGAGGGGAAAAGGTTTTTCCTGAGGGGAAAAAGTGGGAATTTCAGCCATTGGTGAGGTGAAAATGGGAATTTGGGCAGTTGATGAGGTGAGAATGGGAATTTTGGTGGTTGAGAGGTGGAAAATGGGAATTTGGGTGGGGAAAAATCATTCCAGAGATCCCAGGTGGGGTCAAGCCCCCTTGGGTTTGCCCTCGGGATCCTGAGGGAAAAAGGCTTTTCATGAGGGGAAAAAGTGGGAATTTTGGCTATTGGTGAGGTGAGAATGAGAATTTGGGCAGTTGTTGAGGTGAGAATGGGAATTTTGGAGGTTGGGAGGTGAAAAATGGGAATTTGGGCAGTTTTGGGGTGTGGATTTTAGGGCTGAGAAAAAGGATCCCAGAGGTCCCAGGTGGAGTGATGCTCCCTTGGGTTTGCCCTCAGGATCCTGAGGGAAGAAAGGTTTTTCCCGAGGGAAAAAAGTGGGAATTGTGGCAGTTGGTGAGGTGAGAATGGGAATCTTGGAGTTTGGGAGGTGGAAAATGGGAATTTGGGCAGTTTTGTGGTGTGGGGTTGGATTTTGGGGCTGGGATGAAGGATCCCAGAGCTCCCGGGTGGGCTCATGCTCTCCTGGGTTTGCCCTCAGGATCCTGAGGGGAAAAGGTTTTTCTTGAGGGAAAAAAGTGTGAATTTGGGCCATTGGTGAGGTGAGAATGGGAATTTTGGAGTTTGGGAGGTGGAAAATGGGAATTTGGTGTTTGGGAGGTGGAAAAATGAGAATTTGGGCAGTTTTGTGGTGTGGGGTTGGATTTTAGGGCTGAGAAAAAGGATCCCAGAGATCCTGGGTGGGGTCAAGATCCCTTGAGATTCCCCTCAGGATGCTGAGGGGCAAAAAACTTGGGATTTAGGGGATGTGGTGTGGGTTTGGGGGTAAAAACCTTGGAATTAGGGAATGTGAAATTGATGTTTGAGGGGGAAAAATGGAAATTAGGGACTGCAGGGTGGCTCTGGTGCCACCAGAGCACCAAAATTCTCCCCTCCACCACCAACCCCCCACCACGAATCCCAACTCACCACCAAAACCACCCCCCTCCATCCCCTCCCACCTCCCCCAAACCCCCAAAAAACCCCAAAACTCATCCCCCAGACCCCCCAAACCCCGCGGGCACCGTGATCTGCACGGCCAGCAGCCCCTCGCCGGCGTCCTTGGCGTCGATGGTGAACTCCACGGGCAGGCTGGCCGGCACGCCCGTGGTGTTGAGCCCGGGGCCGCTCGCCCGCACCTTGCTGGCGTCGTGGGTGGGCAGCGCCTTCACCTTGAAGGGGCTGTGGGGAGGAATTTGGGGGTCAGGACACCCCAAAATCCCCGGGGAGCCGCCCGAAATGTCCCCCCGGCGCACCTGCGGGGCACCTCGTGGTCGCCGTAGCGCACGGAGATGCTGTAGGGGCCCTCGCGGGACGGGACGTAGGACACGCGCTGCGTGCCGTCGCCGTTGTCCGCCACGTCCACGGGCTCCAGCACGCCTGGCGGGGCAAATGGGGAGTTGTGGGGCTTTTGGGGGGTTTTACGGGGTTTTTTGGGGGGTTTTATGGGTTTTTGTGGGGTTTTAGGGGGGGTTTATGGGGTTTTTATGGGGTTTTTTGGGGTTCTTATAGGGGGTTTTTTGGGGGTTTTAGGGGGGGTTTTGGGGTTTTTATGGGTTTTTTTTGGGGTTCTTATAGGGGGTTTTTTTGGGGGGTTTTATGGGGTTTTTATGGGTTTTTTTGGGGTTCTTATAGGGGTTTTTTGGGGGGTTTGGGGTTTTTATGGGTTTTTTTGGGGTTTTATGGGATTTTTGAGGGGTTTTATGGGTTTTTTGGGGGGTTTTATGGTTTTTTTGGGGGGTTTTGGGGTTTTTATGGGTTTTTTTGGGGTTCTTATAGGGGTTTTTTTTTGGGTTTTATGGGGTTTTGGGGGTTTGAAGAGGGTTAGGGAAAGTTGGGGTTTTGTGGAATGGGTTAAAAAGATCATAGAGTAACATGGAAGTCTCCACAGGTAGAAGAGAAAGTATTAAAAGGGGGTCCTAAATACCATAGGGTGTCCCAAATCCCACAGGGCAGCCCCGAATTCCCACAGGGAAGCCCCAAAATCTCCACAGGGCAACCCCAAAAAAATTCCAGAGGGTGCCCCAAAAGCCCATAGGGCAGCCCTAAAATCCCGCAGGGCAGCCACAAAACCCCCCAAATCCCCCAAATCCCACAAATCCCCCTCCGAAACCCCCAAATCCCACAAATCCCACAAATCCCCCTCCGAAACCCCCCAAATCCCCCCTGCTGACCTTTGGGGCCCTGGACTTTGACGTCCAGCGGGGCCACGCCGGCCTTGGAGGTGTCCACGGTGAAGGTCTGGGGGACGTTGGCCCGGACGTGGCCGGGGGTCAGCCCAGGACCCCCGCAGGACACTCGGGACGCGTCCACCACGTCCGACACCGGCACCTGGAACGGGCTCCCTGGCGGGAAAATCCGGGAATTAGGGAGCGTGGGGTGAAAAAATGGGATTTAGGGGTCACCAGGGGGAAAAAAAAAAGGGATTTAGGGGATGTGAGTGGAGTTTTGGGGTGAAAAAATGGGATTTAGGGGTCATCAAGGGGAAAAATTCCAAAAAAAATTCCCCAAAATTCAAAATAAATCCCCAAAAATTCCACCAAAATTTCCCCAAAAAATTCAATATAAATCCCCGAAAATTCAAAAGAAACCCCCAAAAATTTAAAAAAAAAAAAACTTCCCCAAAAATTCCCCAAAATTCAAAATAAATCCATGAAAAATGCCCCAAAAAATCCCCCCAAAAACTACTAAAAATTCCCCAAAATTCAAAATAAATCCCCGAAAAAACTCCTAAGAATTTCCCCAAAAATCCCCCAAAATTCAAAATACATCCCAAAAAATTCTCCAGAAATTCCCCAAAAATCAAAATAAATCCCCGAAAATTCCACCAAAATTTCCCCAAAAAATTCAACATAAATCCCCGAAAATTCAAAAGAAACCCCTGAAAATTGCAAAAATTCCCCCAAAAAATTCAATATAAATCCCCGAAAATTCAAAAGAAACCCCCGAAAATTGCAAAAAAAATCCCCCAAAAAATTCAAAATAAATCCCCAAAAATTCCCCCGCGCTCCCGGGCTCACCGGGGACCTGGTGGCCGCCGTAGGTGACGTTGAGGCTGTAGGTTCCCGCCTCGTAGGGGACGTACTCCACGGAGCAGCTGCCGTCCTTGTTGTCCGTGCAGGACATTTTGGCTTCCGAGGGCCCCTCCACGGCCAGGCCCAGCCCCCCGGTGCCGGCCCCCCTGCCGCGGTGGGGAAGGGGTTTGGGGTCAGGAGAGGGGGGATTTGGGGTCACGGGAGGGAGGGAAAATGGGATTTGGGGTCATGAGAGGGGGAGATTTGGGGGGAAAATGGGATTTGGGGTCATGGAGGGGGAGACTTGGGGGGAAATGGGATTTGGGGTCATGGAGGGGGAGATTTGGGGTTGTGAGGGGGGAGATTTGAGGGGAAATGGGATTTGGGGTCATGGAGGGGGAGACTTGGGATTGTGAGGGGGGAGATTTGGGGGGAAATGGGATTTGGGGTCATGGAGGGAGGGGAAATGGGATTTGGGGTCATGGGAGGGGAGATTTGGGGGGCAGTGGGATTTGGGGTCATGAGAGGGGGAGATTTGGGGTTGTGAGGGGGGAGATTTGGGGAGAAAATGGGATTTGGGGTCATGAGAGGGGGAGATTTGGGGGGGAAATGGGATTTGGGGTCATGAGAGGGGGAGATTTGGGGGGGAAATGGGATTTGAGGTCATGGAGGGGGAGATTTGGGGAGAAAATGGGATTTGGGGTCACGGGAGGGGAGATTTGGGGGGGAATGGGATTTGGGATCACGGTGGTCAGGTTTGGGGGTTTAGGTGGTGTGGGAGGAGGAGATTCTGATTTTGGGAATTCCCAGTAGGATTCTGGGGATTCCCATTGGGATTTTGGGAATTCCTTTAGGGATTCTGGGGATTCCCGTTGGGATTTTGGGAATTCCTGTCAGGATTTTGGGGATTCCCGTTGGGATTTTGGGGATTCACGTTGGGATTTTGCGGATTCCTGTCAGGATTTTGGGGATTCCTGTCAGGATTTTGGGGATTCCTGTCGGGATTTTGGGGATTCCCGTTGGGATTTTGCGGATTCCCGTTGGGATTTTGGGGATTCCCGTTGGGATTTTGGGGATTCCTGTTGGGATTTTGGGAATTCCTGTCAGATTTTGGGGATTCCCGTTGGGATTTTGGGGATTCCTGTTGGGATTTTGCAGATTCCTGTCAGGATTTTGGGAATTCCTGTCAGATTTTGGGGATTCCGCGGGCTCGGGGCTCTCACCGGGTCTCCACGGTGAATTTGTTGGGCTGGTTGGTGGTGCCGCTCTGGATGCCGGGGCCGTGCACCCGCACCCGGCTGGGGTCGCAGCCCTCGGTGACGGGGACGCGGAATGGGCTCAGCGGCACCGGGGACCCCCCGTAGGTCACGTCCACCTTGTGCAGGCCTGGGGGGCAGCGGGTCACCCCAAATCCCACCCAGAGTCCCCCAGAATCCCTCAGAACCTCTTAAAAACCCATCAAAAACCCCTCAAGTTGCTTAAAAATCCTCCAAAATCCCTCAAAACCCCATAAACCCATAAAAAGCACCTCAAGCCTCTCAAAATCCCTTAAAATTCCCCCAAAGTCCCCAGAATGTTCCAAAACCCCCCCAAAATGCTACAAAATTATCTCCAATCCACCAAAATCCCTCCAAATCCACTGGGAATCCCTCATAATCCCCAAAAAAACCTTCAAAATCCTTCAGAATATCCCAAAAACCTCAAAATCCCCCCAAACCTCCAAAATTCTCCAGAATACCCCAAAATCCTTCAAGATCACCCAAAATTCCTGCAAAACCTCTCCAAAATCTCCCAAAATCTCTGAAAATCCCCCGAAATCCCTCCGGCACGCCAGGCGCGCTCACCCTCCTCGTAGGGCGTGTACTCCACGTGGTAGGTGCCGTCACCCCGGTCCTCCACGAAGGTCTCGGTGACGTTTCCAGAGGGGTTGGACACCAGGGCCTTGACCAGGGGACCGCCGGCCTTGGCCACGGCCCGGGCGTCCACCTCGAACTCCGTCACGGCCTCGCGGAACACGGCTGGGACGGGGAAACGGGGTCGGGGTCAACGGGGTCTTCTTCCAACCCAACTGAACTGAGGCCAGCCCAACTCAGCTCATCCCAGTTCAACTCAACTCATCCCAACCCAACCAAACTCAACCGAACCCAACCCAAATCATCCCAAATCATCCCAGCCAACCCAACCCAACCCAACCAAACTCAACTGAACCCAACCCAAATCATCCCAACCCAACCAAACTCAACCGAACCCAACCCAAATCATCCCAGCCAACCCAACTCAACTCAACCCAACTCAACCCAAATCATCCCAGGCAACCAAACTCAACCGAACCCAACCCAAGCCAACCCAACCCAAATCATCCCAGCCAACCCAACCCAACTCAACCGAACCCAACCCAAATCATCCCAGGCAACCAAACTCAACCCAACCCAACCCAACCCAACCCAACCCAACCCAACTCAATTCATCCCAACTCAACCCAAATCATCCCAGCCAACCCAACTCAACTCAATTCATCCCAACTCAACCAACCCATCTCATCCTCTTCCAACTCTACCCAACCCAACCAAACCCAACTGAACTGACCCCAACTCAATGCATCCCAACCAAACCCAATCCAACCCAAGCCAACCCTTCCACCCCACCCCAAACTCACCCTTCCCCTCCACGCCGGGCCCGTACACCTTGATGCCGCTCGTATCCACGGCCGCCGGCGCCGGCTCCACGCGCACGGTGCTGGGGAAGTGCGGCACGGGCTGCCCGCCGTACTCCACGGTGACGGTGTGCACGCCGGCGCTGCGCGGCGTGTAGGCGATGGTGTAAATGCCGTCGCCGTTCTCCTCCACCCGCACGTCCGCCCGCGCCCCGGCCTCCGAGGCGATGCCGATGGTCAGCTCGGCCGTCCCCGCCCGGCTGCAGTCCACGCGGAAGCGCCCCGGCTGGCCGGCCGTGGCCTTCTCCAACCCCGGCCCTTCGCAGGTGACCTTGGAAGGGTCGAACTTGGGCCGGATCGGCGCGCGGAAGGGCGAGCCCGGGATGTGCGCGCCGGCGAAGAGGATGTTGATGTTGTAGTCGCCGGGCTCCGTGGGCAGGTAGGACACGGAGCAGGTGCCGTCGCCGTTGTCCTGGCACTCGATTTTGGCCTCGCAGGGCCCCTCCACGGTCAGCCCCAAACCGCCCGTGCCGGCGCCTTTGGTGTCGATGGTGAACGGGGCTGGAACCCCCGCCAGGCCTCCCTGGAGGCCGGGGCCGAAAGCGCGGACCTGGGAGGATGGAAGAGTTGGGTTGGGATGGGATGGGCTGAGCTGGGCTGGATTGATTGAGTCAAATTGAGTTGGGTTGAGTTGGGTTTTGTTGGGTTTTGTTGCGTTGGGTTGAGTTGGGGCTTGTTGGGTTGAGTTGGGTTTTGTTGGGTTACGTTGGGTTGGATTGGTTGCATTGAATTGCATTGGGCCAGGATGGGTTGAGTTGAATTGATTTGGGTTGAGTTGGGTTGAGCTGGGTTGGATTGGTTGGGTGGGGTTGAGTTGGGATGGGCTGGATTGATTGGGTTGAGTTGGATTTTGTTGGGTTACGTTGGGTTGAGTTGGGTTATGTTAGGTTGGATTGGGTTTTGTTGGGTTACGTTGGGTTGAGTTGGGTTTTTTTGGGTTACGTTGGGTTGAGTTGGGTTATGTTAGGTTGGATTAGCTTGTGTTGGGTTGAGTTGGGGCTTGTTGGGTTGAGTTGGGTTTTGTTGGGTTACGTTGGGTTGAGTTGGGTTGAGTTGGGTTGAGCTGGGTCTTGTTGGGTTGAGCTGGGTTTTGTTGGGTTTTGTTGGGTTGGACCGATTGCGTTGAGCTGCGTTGGGCTGGGATGGGTTGAGCTGCATCCCAGGACCCCCACCCCAAATCCTCCCTCCCCAAACCCCCCAAACCCCTCCCTCACCTTGGAGGGGTCGGTGGGCGGCACCACCTCGACGGGGAAGGGGCTGCCGGGCACGGGGACGCCGTCGTAGGTGACCTCCACGCTGTGGGGGCCCTCGTCGCGCGGCACGAAGCGCACGGCGCTGCTCTCCGGCGCCGCGCCCGGCTCCACTGTGCACGGGACCCCCTTGCGGGACGGCCCCAAAATCCGGGCGCCCACCTTGCCCTGGCCCCCCGCGCCCTTGGCCTTCACCGTGAACTCCTGCGCCTTGCCCGCCTCCAGCTCTGCGGGGCACGGGGGCAGGGCTCAGGGACCCCCAAATCTGGGGAGGGGCTGCGGGTCAGGGACCCCCAAATCTGGGGAGGGGCTGCGGGACTGGGACCCCCAAATCTGGGGAGGGGCTGTGGGTCAGGGACCCCCAAATCTGGGGAGGGGCTGCGGGACTGGGACCCCCAAATCTGCCCAAAACTGCCCAAAACTGGGGAGGGGCTGCGGGACTGGGACCCCCAAATCTGGGGAGGGGCTGCGGGACAGGGACCCCCAAATCTGCCCAAAACAGCCCAAAACTGGGGAGGGGCTGCGGGACAGGGACCCCCAAAGCTGGGGAGGGGCTGCGGGACTGGGACCCCCAAATTCCCCAAATCTGGGGAGGGGCTGCGGGACTGGGACCCCCAAATCTGCCCAAACTGCCCAAAACTGCCCAAAACTGCCCAAAACTGGGGAGGGGCTGCGGGACCCCAAATCTGCCCAAAACTGGGGAGGGGCTGTGGGTCAGGGACCCCCAAATCTGCCCAAAACGGGGGAGGGGCTGCGGGACAGGGACCCCCAAATCCGCCCAGAACTGGGGGGGAGTCCTGAAATTGGGGAGGGGTACACAGAACTGGGGAGGGGATCCCAAAATTGGGGTGCAAATCCCAAAATACAGGTGGAATTCAGGGACCCCTCCCCATAATCAGTTGCCCCCCAAGACTCACTGGGTTCCTCCCCAGGTTCCTCCCCAGGTCCCTAAATCCCCTCAAATCCCCCCAAAACCCCTCAAACCCCCCCAAAACCCCCCGCCCAAACTCAGGGACCCCTCCCCAAATCCCGGGGACCCCCCAGAAGCCCCCAGCCCCCCTTACTGTCGTCCAGGCCGGAGATTTTGATCTTGCCCAGGTCCACGCCGGGGCTGACGCCGACGCTGAAGGGGCTTTTGGGGATGGGGTCCCCCCCGTAGGTCACCGACACCCCCAGATTGCCCTGGGGGGCACCGGGGGGTCAGGGGGGCTGCGGGACCCCCCGACCCGCACCAGGCGGGGTTTTGGGGGGTGTTTTGGGGCGTTTTTGGGGTATTTCAGGGGTGTTTCTGGGGGTTTTGGGGGTGTTTTCTGTCCTGCCTGCTGCACAGGGGTGTGGGTGACCGTGTGGGTGTTTTTGGGGTGATTTCGGGTTATTTGTGGGGTTATTTTGGCTGTTTTTGGGGGTTACCTGCTGCACAGGGGTGTAGGTGACCGTGTGGGTGTTTTTGGGGTTATCTGGGGAGTTTTTGGGGTTATCTGGGGTATTTTTGGGGTTATTTTGGGGGTTTTTGGGGGTTACCTGCTGCACGGGGGTGTAGGTGACCGTGTGGGTGTTTTTGGGGCGTTTTTGGGGTGATTTAGGCTGGTTTTGGGGGTTACCTGCTGCACAGGTATGTGGGTGACCGTGTGGGTGTTTTTGGGGTTATCTGAGGAGTTTTTGGGGTTATTTTGGGGGTTTTTGGGGGTTACCTGCTGCACGGGGGTGTAGGTGACCGTGTGGGTGTTTTTGGGGTGTTTTAGGGGTTATTTTGGGGTTATTTTGGAGGTTTTTGGGGGTTACCTGCTGCACAGGGGTGTAAGTGACTGTGTGGGTGTTTTTGGGGCGTTTTTGGGGTGATTTAGGCTGGTTTTGGGGGGTACCTGCTGCACGGGGGTGTAGGTGACCGTGTGGGTGTTTTTGGGGTTATCTGGGGAGTTTTTGGGGTTATTTTGGGGGTTTTTGGGGGGTACCTGCTGCACGGGGGTGTAGGTGACCGTGTGGGTGCCGTCGTGGTTGTCGGTCACCTGCAGGTCCCTCACGGCCTCGCCCTTGCCCGGCCCGGTCACCTGCACGTCCAGGGCGGCGCGGCCACCCCCCTTGGTGCTGACCGTGAAATGGGTGGGCTTGCCCAGCTCCACACCTGGGGGGACCCCAAAATCCTGGTCAGACACCCCAAAACCCCAAAATCCCAAAAGAACCACCCAAAATCCCGGTCAGACACCCCCTAAAACCCCAAAATCCCAAAAGAACCACCCAAAATCCCAGTCAGACACCCCCAAAACCCCAAAATCCCAAAAGAACCACCCAAAATCCCAGTCAGACACCCCTAAAACCCCAAAATCCCAAAAGAACCACCCAAAATCCCAGTCAGACACCCCTAAAACCCCAAAATCCCAAAAGAACCACCCAAAATCCTGGTCAGACACCCCTAAAAACCCCAAAATCCCAAAAGAACCACCCAAAATCCCGGTCAGACACCCCTAAAAACCCCAAAATCCCAAAAGAACCACCCAAAATCCCAGTCAGACACTCCCAAAAAAACGCCAAAATCCCAAAAGAATCCCCCCCCAAAACCCCAAAATCCTGGTCAGACACCCCCCAAAAACCCCCAAAATCCCAAAAGAACCCCCCAAAATCCCAAAAGAACCCCCCAAAACCCCCAAAATCCCAAAAGAACCCCCCAAAACCCGGTCAGACACTCCCAAAAAAACGCCAAAATCCCAAAACAACCACCCAAAATCCCGGTCAGACACTCCCGAAAACCCCAAAAAAACTGAAAGAATCCTCCCAAAAACCTCAAAATCCTGGTCAGACACCCCCCAAAACCCCCAAAATCCCAAAAGAACCCCCCAAAAACCCCCAAAATCCAAAAGAACCCCCCAAAACCCCCCAAAACCCCAAAAGAACCCCCCAGAAAACCTCAGAATCCCGCCCCGAGACCCCGAAGCCCCCAGACCCACCGGAGCGGCTCAGGCCGGGCCCCTCGGCCTTGACCTTGCTGGCGTCGTGGGAGGGGTCCACCCTGACCCGGATGGGGCTGCTGGGGGTGGCCTGGGGGGCACAGCGGGGTCAGCGACCCCCGAGACCCCCCCCAGAGACCCCCAGAGACCCCCAGAGACCCCCCGAGACCCCCGAGACCCCCAGAGACACCCCCCAAACAGAGAAACCACCCCGAGACCCCCAAGACCCCCAGAGACCCCCAGAGACCCCCAGAGACCCCCCCCAAATCAGAGAGACCCCCGAGACCACCCAGAGACCACCCCCCAAACAGAGAAACCTCCCAGAGACCCCCGAGATCCCCAGAGACCCCCCGAGACCCCTGAGACCCCCAGAGACCACCCAGAGACCCCCCCCAAAGCAGAGAGACCCCTGAGACCCCCCCCAAATCAGAGAGACCCCCCCAGACCCCTGAGACACCCCCAGAGCCCCCCGAAGCCCCCAGCCCCATTTGACCTGTGAACAGCACCATGATGGGGTGGAACCCAAAGACCCCAAACCCCCCAGACCCCCCTGAGCCCCCAGACTCTCCCAAAGCCCCCAGACTCTCCCAGACCCCCCCAAACCCCCCGAAGCCCCCGAAGCCCCCAGCCCCACCTGGCCTGCAAACAGCACCATGATGGGGTGGAACCCAAAGACCCCAAACCCCCTGAACCCCCCCAAACCCCCAAACCCCCCGGAGCCCCCCAAACCCCCCAGAGCCCCCCCGAAGCCCCCAGCCCCATTTGACCTGCGAACAGCACCATGACGGGGTGGAACCCAAAGACCCCAAACCCCCTGAACCCCCCCCAGACCCCCCAGACCCCTGAACTCCCCAGAGCCCCCCAAACCCCCCGAAGCCCCCAGACCCCCCAGCGCCCCCCGAAGCCCCCGAAGCCCCCCGCCCACCTGTCCGGCGAACAGCACCATGATGGTGTGCAGCCCAATGACCCCAAACCCCCCAGACCCCCCAAACCCCCAGAGCCCCCCAAACCCCCCAAACCCCCCAAACCCCCCAGACCCCCCCGAAGCCCCCCGGAGCCCCCCGAAGCCCCCAGCCCCACCTGGCCGGCGAACAGCACCATGATGGTGTGCAGCCCAGTGACCCCAAACCCCCTGAATCCCCCAGACCCCCCAAACCCCCCGAAGCCCCCAAACCCCCCAAACCCCCCCAAACCCCCCAGACCCCCCCAGACCCCCCAAACCCCCCAGACCCCCCAAACCCCCCAGACCCCCCCAGACCCCCCAAACCCCCCAGACCCCCCGAAGCCCCCAGCCCCACCTGGCCGGCGAACAGCACCATGATGGTGTGCAGCCCAATGACCCCAAACCCCCTGAATCCCCCAAACCCCCCAGACCCCCCTGAGCCCCCAGACTCTCCCAGCCCCCCCAAACCCCCCGGAGCCCCCCGAAGCCCCCGAAGCCCCCAGCCCCACCTGTCCGGCGAACAGCACCATGATGGTGTGCAGCCCAATGACCCCAGACCCCCTGAACCCCCCAGACCCCCCAAACCCCCCAAACCCCCCAGACCCCCCGAACTCCCCAGACCCCACAAACCCCCCAGAGCCCCCCGAAGCCCCCAGCCCCACCTGGCCGGCGAACAGCACCATGATGGTGTGCAGCCCCCCGCCCCGGGGCGTGTACTTGACCGTGAAGGTGTCGTTGTCGTTGCGGATGATGTCGAAGTCCAGGTCGGCCTCGGCCGGGCCCACCACGCCCGGGGCGCACTTGATGCCGATGCTGACGTCACCTGTGGGGCACGGGGGGTCAGGGACCCCCAAAAACTCGGGGGGACTCCAAACTGCCCCGCCCCCCCCCAAAAAACCTACAGCTTTGGGGTCCCAAGTGAGCCCAAACACCCCAAATCTCCCATCCCGTGCCCAGGTGATCCCGGTGCTGAGTCACCTGGGGGGGCCAGGGACCCCTAAAACCCCCCAAAAGCTGTGGGGATCCCCCAAAACCCCACAGGAACCACCGGGACCCCAAAACCGACCCCAAAAACCCTGCAGGGATCCACCAGGACCCCAAAAAACCCTGCAGGGATCCACCAGGACCCCAAAAACCCTGCAGGGATCCACCAGGACCCAAAAAACCCTGCAGGGATCCACCAGGACCCCAAAAAACCCTGCAGGGATCCACCAGGACCCCAAAACCGACCCCAAAAACCCTGCAGGGATCCACCAGGACCCCAAAAACCCTGCAGGGATACACCAGGACCCCAAAAAACCCTGCAGGGATCCACCAGGACCCCAAAAAACCCTGCAGGGATCCACCAGGACCCCAAAAAAACCTGCAGGGACCCACCAGGACCCCAAAAAAACCTGCAGGAACCACCAGGACCCCAAAACCGACCCCAAAAAACCCTGCAGGGACCCACCAGGACCCCAAAACCGACCCCCAAAACCCTGCAGGGATCCACCAGGACCCCAAATCCGACCCCAAAAACCCTGCAGGGATCCACCAGGACCCCAAAAACCCTGCAGGGATCCACCAGGACCCCAAAAACCCTGCAGGGATCCACCAGGACCCCAAAACCGACCCCAAAACGCCCCCAAATCCACCCCAAAGCCACCCCGAAATCCATTCCAAAGCGCCTGGAAACCCCAAACCCGCCCTAATTCTCCTCAAAACCCATCCTGAACCCCCCGAATCCCCCCAAAATCCCCTTCAGACCCCCCAAATCCCCCCAGGGCACCCCAAATCCCCCCCAGACCCCTTCATAGCCCCTCCAATTCCACCCCAGGCCCCCCTAAATTCTCCCAGACTCTTTCAAAGCCCCCCAAATCCCTCCAGACTGCCCCAAATCCCCCCCAGATCCCCCCAAATCCCCCCCAGACCCCTTCAGAGCCCCCCAAATCCCTCCAGACTGCCCCAAATCTCTCCCAGAACCCCCCAAACCCCCCCAGACCCCTTCAGAGCCCCCCAAATCCCTCCAGACTGCCCCAAATCTCTCCCAGAACCCCCCAAACCCCCCCAGACCCCTTCAGAGCCCCCCAAATCCCCCCCAGGACTCCCCAGACCCCCCAAAATCTCCCCCAGATCCCTTCAGTGCACCCCAAATTCCTCCAGGTCCCCCCCGTCCCTCCCCAGACCCCCCAAAATCTCCCCCAGACCCCCAAAAATCCCCCCCAAAACCCCCGAGGGCCCCCCAAATGCCCCCCAGAGCCCCCCAAATCCCTCCCAGAATGATTCAGAGCACCCCCAAATCCCTCCAGACTGCCCCAAATCCCCCCAAATCCCTCCCAGACCCCTTCAGTGCACCCCAAATCCCCCCCAGGACCCCCCAGAACCCCCCAAATCCCTCCCAGATCCCTTCAGAGCACCCCAAATTCCCCCAGGTCCCCGCAAATCCCTCCCAAACCCCCAAAATCCCCCCCAAAACCCCCGAGGGCCCCCCAAATCCCCCCCAGAGCCCCACAAATCCCCCCAGAGCCCCCCAAATCCCCCACAGACCCCTTCAGAGCCCCCCAAATCCCACCCAAACCTCCCAAAATCCCCCCAAGACCCCTCAAAATCCCCCCCAAGCCCTTCCCCAAAACCCCCAAGGGCCCCTCAAAACCCCCGAGGGCCCCCCAAATCCCCCCCAGAGCCCCCCAAATCCCTCCCAGACCCCCAAAACTCCCCCCCAAATCCCCCCCAGAGCCCCCCAAATCCCTCCCAGACCCCTTCAGAGCCCCCTAAATCCCTCCAGACTGCCCCAAATCCCCGCCAGATCCCTCTCAGAACCCCCCAAACCCCCACAGACCCCTTCAGAGCCCCCCAAATTCCCCCAAATCCCCCCCAGAGCCCCCCAAATCCCTCCCAGACCCCTTCAGAGCCCCCCAAATCCCCCCCAGAGCCCCACAAATCCCTCCCAGACCCCTTCAGAGCCCCCCAAATCCCTCCAGACTGCCCCAAATTCCCCCAAATCCCCCTTCAGAGCCCCCCAAGTCCCCCCAGAGCCCCCCAAATCCCCCACAGACCCCTTCAGAGCTCCCCAAATTCCCCCAAATCCCCCCCAGAGCCCCCACATCACTCCCAGACCCCTTCAGAGCCCCCCAAATCCCCCCCAGAGCCCCCCCAGAGCCCCACAAATCCCTCCCAGAGCCCCCCAAATCCCTCCCAGACCCCTTCAGAGCCCCCCAAATTCCCCCAAATCCCCCCCCGAGCCCCCCAAATCCCTCCCAGACCCCTTCAGAGCCCCCCAAATCCCCCCCAAATCCCCCCCAGGACCCCCAGGACCCACCCTGGCCGGCCTCGGCGCAGTCCACGGTGAAATAGGTCGGCTCCAGCGCTTTGAGCCCCGTCTTGGCCACGCCCGGCCCGAAAACCTTCACCTTGTGGGGGTGGCTGCCGGCCCCCACCCCCACCTGCGGGGCACCGGGCTCAGGGACCCCAAACCCCCAGACCCAAATCCGGGACCCACCCCCAGACCCAAATACGGGACCCCCCCGGAACCCAGGAGCCCTAAAAACCTCCAAAATCGGGTTTTTGAGAACCCAAAATGCAGATTTAGATCCCCTGAGGAACGCAGAAAACCCCAAAATGGGGCTGGGGAACCCCAAAAGTGGGAATAGGACCCCCCAGAACCCCCAAAAGTGAGAATGGGACCCCCCCAGAACCCCCAAACTGGGGCTGGAAACCCCCAGACCCAAATACGGGACCCCCCAGGAATGCAGGGCTCCTAAAAACCTCCAAAATTGGCTTGGAAACTCAAAAATGCAGATTTAGATCCCCTGAGGAACCCAGAAAACCCCAAAACGGGGCTGGGACCCCCCCAGAACCCCTAAAAGTGGGAATAGGACCCCCCAGAACCCCCAAACTGGGGCTGGGAACCCCCAAACTGGGGCTGGGACCCCCAGACCCAAATACAGGACCCTTTAAAACCCTCAAAAATTGGGTTGTAAAACTCGAAAATGCAGATTTGGGATCCCCTGAGGAACCCAGAAAACCCCAAAATGGGGCTGGGACCCCCCAGAACCCCCAAAAGTGGGAATGGGACCCCCCAAAACTGGGGCTGGAAATCCCCAGACCCAAATTCAGGCCCCTTAAAAACCCTCAAAAATCCAAGTTTTTTTGGTTTTTTGGCCCATTTCTCCCCCCAGCCGCCCCAAAATCCCAATTTTTGGGTTTTTTGTGCCATTTACACCACCCAAAATCCCAATTTTCGGGCCATTTACACCCCCTGAAGTCCCAATTTTTGGGGATTTTGTGCCATTTACATCCCTAAAATTCCAATTTTGGCGGGTTTTTTTTGCCATTTCTCCCCCCCAGCCCCCCCTAAATCCCAATTTTTGGACCATTTACACCCCCTGAAGTCCCAATTTTTAGGGATTTTCCCCCAGTTACACCCGCAAAATCCCAATTTTTCCCCCATTTACACCCCCCAAAATCCCAATTTTTGGCGTTTTTGTGCCATTTACACCACCCAAAATCCCAATTTTTGGGGTTTTTGTGCCATTTACATCCCCAAAATTCCAATTTTGGCGGGTTTTTTTTGCCATTTCTCCCCCCCATCCCCCCCTAAATCCCAATTTTTGGACCATTTACACCCCGAAAAAAATCCCAATTTTTGGCCATTTCTGCCCTCCAGCCCCCCCCCAAAATCCCAATTTTTGGGGTTTTTGGGCCATTTACATCCCTAAAATTCCAATTTTGGCGGGTTTTTTTTGCCATTTCTGCCCTCCAGCCCCCCCTAAATCCCAATTTTTGGGCCATTTACACCCCCCAAAAAAATCCCAATTTTTGGCCATTTCTGCCCTCCAGCCCCCCCAAAATCCCGATTTTTGGGGGTTTTTTTGCCCGTTTCTCCCCCCAGCCCCCCAGCCCCGATTTTGGGGTCCCTCACCCGGAAGGGGCTCTGGGGGATGTTGACGCCCCCCCAGGCCACCATGGCCGTGTGCTTCAGGGCTTTTTTTGGGGTGTAGGAGCAGCTGAAGGTCCCGTTCCCGTTGTCCTTCACCGCCACGTCCACGGGGTTCCCCTCCGCGTCCTGGGGGAGCCCCAAAACCGCCTCAGCACCCCCAAAACCCACCCCAAAATCCCCCAAATTCTGCCCCGGCTCCCTCATTCCCAAATCTTCCCAAAATCCCCCCGAAATCTGAGCAGGATCGGCACCAGAAACGCTCAGAGCGCCCCCAAAATCCCCCCCAGGGCATCCGGATCGTCCCCAAAACCTCCAAAATCCATCTCAAATCCTCCCAAAATCCCCCAAATCTTCCCCAAAATCTCCAAAATCCATCTCAAATCCTCCCAAAATCCCCCAAATCTTCCCCAAAATCCCCCAAAATCCCCCCCAGGGCATCCGGATCATCCCCAAAACCTCCAAAATCCATCTCAAATCCTCCCAAAATCCCCCAAATCTTCCCTAAAATCCCCCAAAATCCCCCCCAGGGCATTTGGATCGTCACCAAAACCCCCAAAATCCATCTCAAATCCTCCCAAAATTCCCCAAATCTTCCCTAAAATCCCCCAAAATCCCCCCCAGGGCATCCGGATCGTCCCCAAAATCTCCAAAATCCATCTCAAATCCTCCCAAAATCCCCCAAATCTTCCCCAAAACTCCCCAAAATCCATCTCAAATCCTCCCAATCCACCAAATTTCCCCCAAAGCCCTCAAAATTCCTCTCAATCTCCCCAAAATCCCCCAAATCATCCCCAAAACCTCCAAAATTGTCCCTAAATCCCCCCAAATCCCCCCAAAATGCCTGAAATGCCCCAAAATCCCTCTCCAACCCCCGTGAAACTTCCCAAAAATCCCAAAATTCCCAAAATTCCCCAAATGCCGAATTCCCACCTGCACTTTGAGGTTGCCCTTCCCACACAAACCCCCAAAATCGCCCCCAAATCCCACCCAAAATGCCCGAAATGCCCCAAAATCCCTCTCCAACCCCCGTGAAACTTCCCAAAAATCCCCCAAATTCCCAAAATTCCCCGGAATTCCCGAATTCCCACCTGCATGTGCACCCGGAGGCCGCCGGTGCCGCCGTGCCGCGCGTCCACGCTGAACTCGGCGGGTTTGTCCAGCACCACCCCCGAGGGCTCCAGCCCCGGGCCCTGCGCCTTCACCTGCGGAATTCGGGAATTCGGGAAATCGGGGGGATTTGGGGGGATTTGGGGGGATTCGGGGGGAATTTGGGGGGAATTTGGGGAAATTTCGGGGAAATTATGGGGATTTGGGGCAGGATTTGGGGGATTTGGGGCAGGATTTGGGGCAGGATTTTGGGGGATCTCAGGGATTTTGGGGCAGGATTTTGGGGATTTGGACAGGGATTTTGGGGGGTTTCAGGGATTTTGGGGCAGGGTTTTGGGAGATTTTGGGGCAGGATTTTGGGGGGATTTGGGGCAGGATTTGGACAGGGATTTTGGGGGATCTCAGGGAGGATTTGGGGCAGGATTTGGGGCAGGATTTGGACAGGGATTTTGGGGGATTTGGGGCAGGATTTTGGGGCAGGATTTTGGGAGATTTTGGGGCAGAATTTTGGAGGGATTTGGGGCAGGATTTTGGACAGGGATTTTAGGGATTTGGGGCAGGATTTGAACACGGATTTTGGGGGGATTTGGGGCAGGATTTGGACAGGATTTGGGGGGGATTTGGGGCAGGATTTTGGACAGGGATTTTAGGGATTTGGGGCAGGATTTTACGCAGGATTTTAGGGATTTGGGGCAGGATTTTGGGCAGGATTTTGGGGATTTGGGGCAGGATTTGGGGCAGGATTTTGGGGTTTTGGGGCAGGATTTTGGACAGGGATTTTGGGGGATTTGGGACAGGATTTTGGGGCAGGATTTGGGGAAGGATTTGGGGCAGGATTTGGACAGGGAGTTTGGGGGGATTTCGGGCAGGATTTTGGGCAGGATTTTGGGGACTTGGGGCAGGATTTTGGGGGGATTTGGGGCAGGATTTGGGGCAGGATTGGGACAGGGATTTTGGGGGATCTCAGGGATTTTGGGGCAGGATTTTGGAGGGATTTGGACAGGGATTTTGGGGCAGGGTTTTGGGAGATTTTGGGGCAGGATTTTGGACAGGGATTTTGGGGGGATTTTGGGCAGGATTTTGGGGGATCTCAGGGATTTTGGGGCAGGATTTGGGGCAGGATTTGCACAGGGATTTTGGGGGATATTTTTGGGGATTTTGGGGCAGGATTTTGGGGATTTGGGGCAGGATTTGGGGCGGTTCCCACCTTCTCGGGGAAGCAGTCCCCACTCGCAGGGCGGATGTCGGCCATGAAGGGGGGATTTGGGGCAGGATTTGGGGCAGGATTTGGGGCAGGATTTGCACAGGGATTTTGGGGATTTTTTGGGGATTTTTTTGGGGATTTTTTGGGGGATTTTGGGACAATCCCCACCTTCTCAGGGAAGCAGTCCCCGCTCGCAGGGCGGATGTCGGCCATGAAGGGGCTGCCGCGGATGTCGGCGCCGTCGCACAGCACGTGCACCGCGTACAGCCCCGGCTCCTGCGGCCAGTACCGCACCCGGCCCGAGCCGTCCCCGCCGTCCTCGCACTCCAACCGGGCCTGGGACGGGCCCTCCACCGAGAACCCTGCGGGACACACACACTGCACCCCGAAGCCAGAGAGAGCGGGGACTGCACCCCGAAAATCACTGAGAGAGGCAGGGACTGCACCCCGAAACCCAGAGAGAGCTGGGACTGCACCCCAAATTCACTGAGAGAGAGGCAGGGACTGCACCCCGAAACCCAGAGAGAGCTGGGACTGCACCCCAAAGCCACAGAAAAAACTGAGACTGCACCCCGAAATTCACTGACAGAGAGCAGGTACTGCACCCCGAAACCCACGGGAAACTGGGACTGCACCCCGAAATTCACTGAGAGAGCAGAGATTGGCACCCCAAAATCCACTGAGAGAGAGCAGGGACTGCACCCCAAAATTCACTGAGAGAGAGCAGGTACTGCACCCCGAAACCCACGGGAAAACTGGGACTGGCACCCCAAAATCCACAGAAAAAACTGAGATTGGCACCTCGAAATTCACTGAGAGAGAGCTGGGACTGCACCCCAAATTCACTGAGAGAGAGCTGGGACTGGACCCCGAAACCCAGAGAGAGAGCAGGTACTGCACCCCAAAGCCACGGGAAACTGGGACTGGCACCCCGAAACCCACAGAAAAAACTGAGATTGGCACCCCGAAATTCACTGAGAGACAGCAGAGACTGCACCCCCAAATTCAGAGAGAGCAGAGACTGCATCCCAAAATTCACTGAGATTGGCACCCCAAAACTCAGAGAGAGAGCAGAGATTGGCACCCCAAAATCCACAGCAGGGTTTAGGGGTGAGAAACCCAAAATTTGTCATGGGAACCCCGAAAGTGGTGATGGATACCCAAAAATTATTGATGGGAACCCCAAAATCATCCCCCAAATCAAAAATCCTTCCTCAAACCCCCCCAAACCCCAATTTCTCCCCCCAAAACCCCAATTTCTTCCTCCAAACCTCCCCAAAACCCCAATTTCTTCCTCCAAAGCCCCCCAAAACCCCAATTTCTCCCCCAAACCCCCAATTTCCCTGCCCAAAACCCCAATTTCCCTCCCCCAAACCCCAATTTCTCCCCCAATTTCTCCCCCAAACCTCCCCCAAACCCCAATTTCTCCCCCCAAAACCCCAATTTCTCCCCCCAAAACCCCAATTTCTCCCCCAAAACCCCAATTTCTCCCCCCAAAACCCCAATTTTTCCCCCAAACCCCAATTTCTCCCCCAATTTCTCCCCCACACCCCGATTTCTCGGCTCACCGAGGGTCCCCACGTCGTCGCCGATCGCCTCCACCATGAAATCCGCGGCTTTCCCGGCCACCCCCCCCTCCAGGCCGGGCCCCCAGGCCCTGACCCGGGGGGTGCCACCCTCGGGTGCCACCGTCACCTCAAACGGGCTGGGGACACGGGGGGTCAGCGAGAAAACAGCCCCAGAAACCCCAAAAACGGCAAAAACGGCCCCAAAAACCACCAATGGTCATCAGTGGTCACCCAGTGCTCCCAGTCCTCCCAGTGCCCAAACTGGGGGTGCCACCCTTGGGTGCCACCGTCACCTCAAACGGGCTGGGGACACGGGGGGGTCAGGGACAGCCCAAAAACGGCACCAAAATCCCCAAAAACGGCACCAAAATCCCCAAAAAACGCCCCAAAAAGGGCCCAGAGAACCCCAAATGGGCACCAATGGTCTCCCAGTCCAAACCAGTCCAAACCAGTGTCCTCAAAACCCCCCAATCCCCTCCCAGTCCCCCCCAGTCTGTCCCAGTCCCCTCCCAGTCTCTCCCAGTTTATCCCAGTTCCCCCCAGTCCCTCCCAGTTCCCCTCCAGTCTCCCCCAGTCCATCCCAGTCTATTCCACTTCCCCCCAATCCCCTCCCAGTTTATCCCAATCCCCTCCTAGTCCATCCCAGTACCCTCCCAGTCCCTCCCAGTCATTCCCAGTCATTCCCAGTCCATCCCACTTCCCCCCAGTTCCCTCCCAGTCCTCCCCAATTCCCTCCCAGTCATTCCCAGTCCCTCCCAGTTTATCCCAGTCCCCTCCCAGTCCTCCCCAGTTCCCTCCCAGTTCCCCCCAGTCCCTCCTAGTTCCCTTCCAGTCCCCTCCCAGTGCTCCCAGTCCCTCCCAGTCCTCTCCCAGTCCATCCCAGTCCCTCCCAATCCCCTCCCAGTGCCCCCCAGTTCCCTCCCAGTTTATCCCAGTTCCCTCCCAGTCCCTCCCAATCCCCTCCCAGTGCTCCCAGTCATTCCCAGTCCCTCCCAGTCCCCCCCAGTCCCTCCCAGTGCTCCCAGTTTGCCCAGTACCTGCGGGGCACGTGCTGCCCGCCCCAGGTCACGGCCACCGTGTAGTTCCCGGGCACGGTGGGGAAATATTCCAGCCCGAAAGTTCCGTCCCCCAAATCCTTCTGCTGGACGGGCTCGGGGCCCTCTGGGAGGGCAGAAAATCCGGGATCAGCCCCAAAAACAGCCCCGGAATTCCCAAAAATGGCAATCCCGAAAAAAGAACCAAAATCCCCCAAAAAAACCCCAAAAAAAACCCCAAAAAACCCACAAAAAACCCACAAAAATCCCACAAAAAACCACAAATCCCCCCCAAAAAACCCACAAAAATCCCACAAAAAACCCACAAAAAAACCCACAAAAGACCCACAAAAATCCCCCAAAAATCCCACAAAAAACCCACAAAAATCCCACAAAAACAGGAATACCCCAAACCCCAAACCCCAAATCCTTCTGCTCCAGGGGCTCAAGATTTCCCCAAAACCCCCCAAACCCCTCCCCAAATTCTGGGACCCCTCTCTGAATTCAGGGACCCCTCCCCAAATTCAGAGACCCCTCCCCAAACCCCCTCAAACCCCCCCGAAACCCCTCAAACCCCCCTCCAGCCCCCTCCCCAATTTTAGATACCCCCTTCCCGAATTCAGAGACCCCTCCCCAAATTCTGGGACCCCTCCCCAAATTCCGGGACCCCACAAGCCTCCCTGGATCCCTCCCTAAATCCCCTCAAACCCCCCCAAAACCCCTCAAACACCCCTCCAGCCCCATTCTCAAATTCTGGGACCCCCTCCCCAAATTCAGGGACCCTCTCCCCAAATCCGGGCCCCCTCCCCAAATTCTGGGCCCCCTCTCCCCAAATTCAGAGACCCCTCCCCAAATTCAGGGACCCCACAAGCCTCCCTGGATCCCTCCCCAAACCCCCCCCAAAACCCCTCAAACACCCCTCCAGCCCCCTCCCCAAATTCTGGGCCCCCTCCCCAAATTCAGAGACCCCTCCCCAAATTCAGGGACCCCTCCCCAAATTCAGAGACCCCCCCAGACTCATTTGGTCCTTCCACAGGTCCCTCCCCAAGTCCCAAAATCCCCTCAAACCCCCCCAAAACCCCTCAAACACCCCTCCAGCCCCCTCCCCAAATTCTGGGACCCCCTCCCCAAATCCAGCCCCCTCCCCAAATTGCCCGCACTCACTGGGTCCCTTGACGGCCACTTTGAGGTCGCCGCTGCCGCCGCCCCGGGTGTGCACCTTGAACTGGGCGGCCTCATTGACCCGGAGCCCTTTGGGCTGCAGCCCCCGGCCCTCGGCCCGCACCGCCCCGGGGCTGCAGGCTGGGGGGGAATTTGGGGTGCTCAGGGGGGGCTGCACCCCAAAAAACCCCACCCTGCCCGGGGGAATCCCAAAAAAACCCAAAAAACCCCAAAAAACCCCGCGGAAATCCCAAAAACCTGCAGGGAAATCCCAAATACCGCCCCCGACCCTCGGCCCGCACCGCCCCGGGGCTGCAGGCTGGGGAGGGGGATTTGGGGTGCTCAGGGGGGGCTGCACCCCAAAAACCCCAAAAAAATCCTAAAAAATCCCAAAAACCCCGCGGAAATCCCAAAAACTGCAGGGAAATCCCAAATAACACCCTCGGCCCGCACCGCCCCGGGGCTGCAGGCTGGGGAGGAATTTGGGGTGCTCAGGGGGGGCTGCACCCCAAAAAACCCACCCTGACCCAAAAAACCCCAAAAAACCCCGGGGAAATCCCAAAAACTGCAGGGAAATCCCAAAAACCTGCAGGGAAATCCCAAAAAACCCCAGGGAAATCCCAAACTCCCCCCCTCCCCGGGGAAACCCCAAAAAACTGCAGGGAAATCCCAAAAAATTGCTGGGAAATCCCATAAAACTCCCCTGGCCTGGGGAGCCCAAAGAAACCCCAGGGAAACCCCAAAAAACTGCAGGGAAATCCCAAAAAACTGCAGGGAAACCCCAAAAAACTGCAGGGAAATCCCAAAAAACTGCAGGGGAATCCCAAAAATCCCAGGGAAAGCCCAAAAATTGCAATGAAATTCCCAATGAACCCCGGGAAAATCCCAAAAATCCCGGGAAAAATCCCAAAATTCCCATGAAAAATCCCAAAAATTCCCAGGAAAAATCCCAAAAATTCCCAGGAAAGTCCCAAAAGTTCCCAGAAAAATCCCAAAAATTCCTGAAAAAATCCCGCGAAAATCCCAAGGAAGGGTTTTGGGGACCCCCCCCCAACCCCCC